TAAGGAGTTGTCGGAACTTGCAGGTCAAGTCGAAGGAAGTATATCACAAGGTTAGATTGATAGTGGGCATAAGTCAAAGTGGTCCTCTAGTAAGGTGAAGGAAAAGTGGGAAGGTAAAAGATGGGATTTGATAAAAAACACCCAAGCCCTAAGTACCACTACATCAAAGGGAAGATTATTTTCAAGGAACACTGAGGTACAGGTAGTAAGTCTCTCAGGAAGCGGAAGTGAAGGCAGGTAGTGCACATGGGCACAATACTCCGGAATAGGGGTCCGTGCCATAAGGGCATGTGTCAGTGTGATCCAGGTAACATTAGGAACAATGGGAAGAGAGATACAGCATACCAATGGACCTGGAAGGATGGGGACAGGACATGCGAAGGTTGTCTGATGATGCGCAGGAATATTGGATAGTGCAGGCGGGTTCTGAAGGATGTGCAGGAATGTGGAACGCATCGGATGATGTGCGGGAAATGCGGAATGTGCGGAATATGCGGAACTGATGTGAGATGATGTGGAAAGGACGGGGTTTTACACCTACAGTGGGGGAATTCCCCACAATGGGTAAGTTATTCCTCCATAATTGAATGAGAAGAACGCGCAAATCCTTGCAACTTTGAGTCCTTGAATGCCCACATCTTCTGACCCAATATTGACGAAAACACAGTCATAATAAGGGGCCTCGTTCCACCACATGGGACAAGTATGAATGTGCTCGATACACATTCCACCGATCCCACTTAGGTCGCTTGGGGCATAGAACCGAGAGCATGCAGAGTTGAATACCAATATTTTGCCCTCATATTGAGGGCATCCTGCAATAGGAATTTCTGATGCATCTCGTGGATCATCCAGACATGTCTGTTGAAAGAGAAAGTGGTGGACCATCTCAGGTAGATGGGGGTTATTCAGCTCTTCAGCGAGAGCCAAAACGGTGTGTGCACACTTCATCTCTGCATGCGAAATCAAATCAGACATTGACACACAAAAATGAGGGAATATACTTGCATGTGGTTCGTGCTAATTGCATATGTGCTTGCAGAATTGTTGGGCCATGATCCACACCGTCAATATCATCTTCAGGAACAGATGTGTTGAGGTTTTCGTCTTGAGCATTATCCATTGCATCATTAGCAGGTGCATGGTGACTTGGTCCATCTTGTTGTACTTATGGGATTAAAAATTAGCTTTCAAGCAGCTGAAAATAGGTTTAGAACTTACAAAGGGCTTCAAGGGCTGCTGAAAGGCAAGTTCCATTTAACATCCCATGGCTGGTGAAGTCAACTCATGCGGCAGCAAGTTTATCAAGCCGTTGATTTGTGACAAGCATTTGACTGAGCGCTTGATATTTGCTTGATTGCCTCCACGGACCTTTAACAGCCTTAATGTGTTTGCTCTCTGTAATAGACAAGCAGAGTCCATTTGGAGCGCCAAAGAGTCAGATGAGCTGCAGGTAATGAGAGACAGAGTGTTGTCACAGTAGAGAGAATGTAGATATAGTATCACTTTCCAGGAAAATCTTGTGATAATGATGGAAATGGGAAACAGCATCTTGCAGTTTCTCCAGTGTGTGCTCGGTTATAGCATTCTTCCATACAATGGAACAGAATTCGAGAAATGCATGGAATGTGCATATGATATCCACTGGGACGTGTCCCTCAATGGCTGCAATATAAACCTGATAGATTTTAGCTTTGTTAAGGTGAAAAGTAAAGGGACACGTACCTTCACAAGCACTTTTGAATCATCTCTGGTCCATTGCTTGAAGCCATGCCCTTACAGGAAATGTCTCAGGCCTGCAAAAGGGGCAACAATAGCAATTCTATTGAAGGTAGAGCCGGAATTAGACATTAGAAATGAGATACAAAATGAACATACCTATGATCAATGACATCCAAGATGTGTTGCGTGTCACGTGCTCCATGCATTTGTATGAGATACTTATGGACCCAGTCCATGAGATGGTCCTTGAATGTGCCTTTAATGAGCTGATGTAAGATGTTGGGTGCAATCAGCTGGCAAATATCAGCACAAGGAAAATTGTTAGTGAATGGCTGTGGATATAAATTGTAGTGAGAACAAGAAAGAAGATAAAAATGAGAAGACATATGACAAGATCCGCTACAACTCCAAACTCATCCCACAGTTCCAAATATGTCCCCACATCAACAAGTTCTTCTGTATACAGTTATCAATCGGTCCTTGAGACACTATCACTCCATGATACAAAATGCATCTCGCACATCCACAATTCACTTTATGGCCTCAATAATACCTCCATAAGCTTCATTGACCTTGCCTCTTGCATGGCATCAAATTTTGCCTAAACTTCATTTGCAAATTCTTACTCAAGATGTGTGTTTGTACTGTCTGAAGTCTTAGTTTTAGGTCTTTCAAAATTTAAATTCTATTGTGTTCAATATTCAACAGTGTGATGGCACACAAAACTATAATAACTGTATTGGCAAGTATTTAAGCTGTTCAACATTGAGAATTAAGTGTGTGGTGAAGAAAAGTGTGTTGGCAAGTGTGGCTGCTGTTTGGCCAAAGTTGAGTTGGGTTTTGCAGCACAATCTCACTCGAGCCCTAACTCATTTGACATAATTATGCTTGCCCTGGAACATCGAAGGCCTGCTGTATACACATTCACAAGTATTATTGACATATATCCACAGCAGGTTCCCAGTGCTGTAGATCTTAGGTGGTGTAAGCTACTTCAAATTCCGCCACTGTTCAGAGTGCCAAGACACAGTTCAAGACACAGTTCATGTGTGTCTTCTGCTCGACAGTAACTACACAGTCTGCAAAACCTCTTGCCACTCTACTACAATGCCTGGTCGAGTGAAATTGGCCACAAAAAAACAGCAAGATGCTCGCGAGGCTCATGATGATCTCATGTCCAAAGCAGTCTCTGCATACTGTGCTGAGTTGGCAAAAATGCCAGGTATAAAACATCGTGGATTACGGACTATTGCCAAAGACTTTGAATGAATGAATTTCGAGGCAACAGGCAACTACATCAAGCTGTCTCATACCACACTTGCACGCCTCACAGCTGGCAAGAGGTCACTAGCAGAGATGAATGCTGCAAAGTCATGGCTCTCTGAAGAAGAGACCAAGCAAGTACTTGCATACATAGAAGAGATAGATAATTGAGGATTTCCACTTAGTCACCGATGACTTCAAGAACACATTGACGAAATATGCTGTGCTCGCCTCGGTAATGACTTTCTGGGGTTGGAAAGTGTTGGACACACCGCTTCACTGAAAAGCACTCCAAACACTTGAAAACATCATGGTCAGCTCCGCTCAACTCAAAATGTGGTCACGCAGTCAATGAGAACACAAACAAGGCATGGTTTGATCTCTTGGAGGGTGTTCTGGACCAATATGACATTGCCAAGGATTGCATACATGCAGTTGACGAGATTGGGATCTCACCACAATCAGGCGAGGGTGAACAAGTCATCGGGAGCCATAAACCTGGGCCACAGTATCAGCAAAGAACTGGAAGCAAGGAAAACGTGACTGTTATCGTCACAATATGTGCCGACAGAACATCAAGTTCTCCCGCAGTCATCTTCAAAGGCAATGCATACCAAGTCAAATGGAAGCAAGATAACCTGCACATGCATCATGAGTAGTCCTTGTCAGCGTGAATGAATAAGCCTTACCTGATGATGATGATAGCCTTGGATATTTGAAGAAAGGCTGGACTGATGGTGAGATTGGTGTAGCATGGATCCAAGACTTCAATAGATGCACCAAGGACAAGGTAGATGGTCACGATTGTCTCCTCATCGTCAATGGACACAATTCACACTATACCAGAGGATTCCTCCAATATGCACATGCCCATCACATCCACGTGATATGCTATCCTGCACATGCAACACATGTCTATCAGGGTTTAGATGTGGTTGTTTTCGCAGTCTTGAAGAGTCACTGGAGTGAGGAAAGAGATACGTGGGAGTGAACAAAAGGAGAAGGTGTTACAAAAAGTAACTTCTTGTCAATTTATGGATGGGCTCACCTTCGTGCACTCACACCAGACCTTATTCACACTGCATTTCAGAAGACTGGTATCTCGCCATTCGACTGAGATGTCATCACTAATGAGATGATGGCCCCTAGTAAGGAAACATCATGCGAGGGTCAGCTTCCTATCATGCCATTGACACCCGTGAGAATTGTTGCAGACCTTCTTGGGAAGCTGTCAACAAAACATGACAACCATGGAGATGATGGCGACAACACTGAAGTGTTAAGGTCGTGCTCAAGGAAGAGGTCACTTAAAGGGCTTCAGCTTCAGCTCGTGCGCTGCGCCCCTTACCTGAGTATGTGCCCTTAATTTCTGGGGGACAGAGGGGAAGTCTGACAGAAGTCTGGGGAATTCCAGAGGACAGAAGTCAGTGGAGTTCGGCGGAACTCTGGAAGACTTATGTGGGGACGGAGTAAGGCTACTACAGAAGTCCGGAGTAGAAACTGAACAGAGGTTAGACTACCCTAAGGTAGAGCCGGAGAAGTAGTCCTAAGGTTTAACCCCTAAGACTCGGAGGTGGACAAGAGGTGAGACTCAAGTCCGGAGATTGCAGGAATGAGCAGAACTAAGATGATATTTGAACTGAGGAGTTCCAGAGTATTACAGGGGTTTATATACTGTAGGTAACATGTAAGTAAATCAGTCAGCAAAGGTAAGGGCTATGTACGAAGCATGTGGAAAGTCTATTAGTAAGTATAATGGATCAAAGCAGTGAAGTTGGAAATGAAGTAAGAATGGACAGATCAGTAAGCATAGCGGAATAGGACATAACCAGTAACTGGAGCAATAGCTAATCTAAAAGGAGTTAGGGGTGAGTGCGGAGATGAAGGTGAAGTGCTGGGCAGAATAGTAAGACGGAGGACCGGACTTTAATGAAGTAGATCTGGAATTCCGGATCTGGAGGTATGGGATATGACATGAAGCTGCAGCAACATGTATTTGACAACCTGTGACAACCATGCAATCCAAGATCGAGTCCTTGATTGGAAAACTACAAGAGACCTCATTGTCAGGGCTCGTCTCATCGGTCCCCTTGACTTTGGAGACACAACTGGAACACAATACTACCCACCTTATCTCCCCCATAAAAAAAAAACACCCTTTCACCATCAAACTAAAGACCTTGAATGAGATTTTACTGCTTGCATTGCTCCACGACACAGAAGCCACCAACATTACACTAAAGTGCCGTGTCCTCGAGCTTCAGGCCATGAATATCCTGAATGAGAGGTATTGCAAGGTCCTTCGTGGACAGCTTGCAAATCAGGAAGCAAAAAAGTGAAAAGGGAAGGAGAAAGGAAAGTTGATGGGCGACAGTTTGCTGTGTTTCCTTTCTGGTGATGAGTTCTATGAGAAAGTTGTTGAATTTGAACAGGAGCAGAAAAAGTGTGTCTCCGAGAAGAAGACAAGGAAAGAAGAACGTGAGAAGAGGGCCAAAGGACTGGCAGTGTGGAAACATCTTGAAGATGAGCGCAAGACAGAGAACAAGGACCAAAGAGCACAGTACCACACTGCATTGGAGAACTGGAACAAGGATAAGTTGAGGGCAAAGGCAGAGGGGTGGAAATTCAGCGAGGCAAAACCGGTCTTGGGAAAGTTGCATGGCCCTATTCCAAGGCCAGCACTGAATGTGGCATGCAAGGAGGATGCAGTATCTAGTGGTGGGGAAAGCTTTGATCTTGATGGCATTTCAGATGCCAGTGATGAAGACTAGTTAATGGACACTTACCCTCATAAACCCAACATGTTGAGGCAGCCGGCAGGTCCACGGCAGCAGTCAAGAATCTTTGTACATGCACTGTATCAGTATTAGTGTCAATTGAAGAATATTGAGACACATTACCATTTGAAACTTGTCAGTTAGCATGATAATGTTGTGGGGAATGAGCTTGGTGTAGACTGGACCATTAACACTATCAATGGACTCAATATCGATGCAAGGAGACCACTGGTGAGACGGAGTGAGCAACTGATAACAATTTTGCTAATGTTCAATAAGCAAAGATTAGCTAATGAGTCACGTGTATCATGGAGTGATAATGGGCAAAAAAGAGGTCCCCTCACCGTTTTGAATGACATACACAAATGGTTGTATATTTTTCTCTGAAACTTCAGATATGTAATTTTGACATATACTACTTGGTAGGAAAAATATAACAGGGCTTTTATAAAGTGTTGTAAAAGTACAGTACTTCATTTTTCAATTTCACATCTCAAGTACCAATTGATAACTGTACTCTTGACATTGAGGAAGTGCGCCGGCTGCATCAAGATCATGATTTGGTGCCATACATCTTGAATATACCATAAGTCAAAGATATAGAAGCAAAAAAGAGCCAATCACCATGGACACCAGCATCACACAATACACGCCAGCAGAACTTGTTCTTCACAGTCAGCAATGTAAGGTCCAAGGCCATAGATGACGTGCCAGAAATGCCCATTGCCGAATTTTGCAACCTCAGGTTTCATCATTCTGGGCCTAAGTCTTTCAAGAATCTTAGAAAGTGAAGAATGAAACAACTGGCGGTGGAATTTTTGGAAGTGTTGGTCACTTGCATGCTCTTTCGTAGCTACTAGGTCATCAGTATGTTGCATAATACAAGAAGCTATTTGACTCACTCTTTGGCATGGTGTTAAGGTCGTGCTCAAGGGAGAGATTACTCAAAGGGCTTTGGCTTCAGCTCGTGCGCTGCGCCCCTTACCCGAGTACATGCCCTTTAATTTCTGGGGGACAGAGGGGAAGTCCAACAGAAGTCTGGGGAATTCTGGAGGACTTAGTGTCGGTGGAGTTCGGCGGAACTCCGGAAGGTTTATATGGGGGATAAAGTGAGGCTACTACAGGAGTCCGGAGTAGAAACTGAACAGAGGTTAGACTACCCTAAGGTAGAGCCGGAGAAGTAGTCCTAAGGTTTAACCCCTAAGACTCAGAGGTGGACAAGAGATGAGACTCAAGTCCAGAGATTGCAGGAATGAGCAGAACTAAGATGATATTTGAACTGAGGAGTTCCAGAGTATTACAGGGGTTTATATACTGTAGGTAACATGTAAGTAAATCAGTCAGCAAAGGTAATGGCTATGTACGAAGCATGTGGAAAGTCTATTACTAAGTGTAGTGGATCAAAGCAGTGAAGTCAGAAATGAAGTAGGAATGGACGGATCAATAAGCATAGCAGAAAGAACATAACCGGTAACCAGAGCAATAGCTAATCTAAAAGGAGTTAGGGGTGAGTGCGGAGATGAAGGCGGAGCACCAGGCGGAATAGTAAGACGGAGGACCGGACTTTAATGAAGTAGATCTGGAATTCCGGATCCGGAGGTACGGGATATGACACATGACAAGAAAGCCAATGACTGCAACTGCATTCTGGTGCACACACTGGATGTTGTTGTGGATGTTCCCAATGGACAGATAGAGCGGGTAATATTTGTTGTTCCCGGTTCCTACAGAGACTGTCATTTTGTCACTTCTGAGGATGACAGGAACAAAGGTGGTGCCCATTGTATCTGGATCCTCAGAAATGGTGTCCTAGTATAATACATTAGATACCTAGAGTATTCATAGCAATGGACATGTACGTACTGCTTGATCCCATGCCCAGTCAGCAGACATGAAGTCTCCATAGCAGCGCTCCTCTCCTAAGGTCAAGTACTCTTGATAAGGTCAAAAGTCCATCTCATGTGTGAAATTGGGGTTTGCTAGCATGTTGTGGACCACTTGATGTGGATCTCAGTACCATACATCAAAGGCACCATCCATCCAGGGCGGATAAGTACCCTCAGGCTTCTCACCTGTATACAAGCACAAGAAACTCTCCCACTTGACCTCTCCCAATGGTATTGCATCAATCGTTGCATAGAGATCTCGATGGTCTGCGAAGGGTGGTGCATCACCATGTTTGAGCAAGGTAGACGCCCATAAGGCAAGGTGCACATCAATTTTCCAGGCAGGTGTTGGGTTCTGAGTGTAGAACAAATTGGCAGTTTCAAATTCAGTGTGGTTATGGAATGTGTCATATACCGGATCTGAGCACCTCCAATACCACCTGTGAACATCCCCACCCCTGTTCCGACCTCCTGTTTCCCCGTCCACTCCATCCCTCCTTTTCCAACAATGCACAAAGTGCATCTCAGCAGGACTAGACCTGCTACCTCCGCCCAACTCTGTTCCACTCCTCTGACACTACCCCTATTCCCTCTGACACTATACCCTTTCCATCCAACCCTATCTGGAGTTCCGCTCCTCCGCCCTATCAGTCCGCCTGATCCTATTCCTACTCCCTCCGCTTTTCTGACCTGCTCAGTTCCTTCAGTTCCGCTTATGTTGCCCCACCTGATGATTAGTCCACCTGACTGCCTCACCAGTCCACACCTAGACTAGGAACCACTCAACTGGTCCTATCCCCATTTAGTATCATAGTTCCGCCTTTTGGATCACCAGTAATCCCTATACCCAAGTGATTATTGATCCATTGTGGGGAATTCCCCCACTGTAGGTGTAAAACCCCGTCCTTTCTGCATTGCCTCACATCAGTTCCGCATATTCCGCACATTCCGCATTTCACGCGCATCATCCAATGGGTTCCACATTCCCGCGCATCCTTCGGAACCCGCCCGCACTAACCGATATTCCCACACATCATCGGACAACCTTCGCATGTCCTGTCCCCATCCTTCCAGGTCCATTGGTACGCTGTATCTCTCTTCCCATTGTTCCTAACATTATCCAGATCAAATTGACACATGCCCTTATGGCACGGACCCCTATTCCGGAGTATTGCGCCCATGTGCACTGCCTGCCTTCACTTCCGCTTCCTGAGAGACTTACTACCTGTACCTCAGTGTTCCTTGAAAATAATCTTCCCTTTAAGTAGTGGTACTCAGGGCTTGGGTGTATTTTATCAAATCCCATCTTTTACCTTCCCACTTTTCCTTCACCTTACTAGAGGACCACTTTGACTTATGCCCACTATCAATCTAACCTCGTGATATACTTCCTTCAACTTCGCCTGCGAGTTCCAACGAATCTGTACGTTCCGCATTGTATCCGTTTGAGTTCCATTTCATTCCCTTCCATTCCGCTTGAGTTCCGCTCGGGTTCCGCTTGTTCCGCTTGTTCTGCACTTGTTCCGCTTGTTCTGCATTTTTGCGGATCCTCATCCTACTTGCGGTAGGGTTGATTAAGGTCGTTTAGACAGAGACTAGTACTCCCCAGTAGCAATCCCCTTAAGGGTCAAACGTGCTTGTTCTCAAGTGAGGCAGCAGGCAGCAAAGACCCAACTGTGTAGTAGACCAATTTCTCTCTGCTGCACTTGTTGTACCCACACCATTGTGTACATACTGTTCTCCAAGCCATATTCTTGTATGTCTCAGTCATCCTCTTGTAATCCTGTACACTCGGCACATAGCTTTCTGCTATGCTATGCTCATTACTTAGAGTATATAAACCTATGTAAATTTGTCTGTAGATACTCAGTCTGAATATTACCTTTTCTAAGCCCTGCTCTTCTGTCCTTTGACTTAGGCTTAACCTGAGTCAAACACCTGTTTGCTGACCTAGGGGATTGACTCCCTAGGCCGGCCACTTCCCTGCTCCTCTGTTCCTCTGTTCCTCTGTTCCTCTGTTCCTCTGTTCCTCTGTTCCTCTGTTCCTCTGTTCCTCTGTTCCTCTGTTCCTCTGACTCCCCGCACATCGGCTGCCTTTCCCACATGTCAGAACTAATCCCAGCACCCTGCTACATCTGTCCCCTTCGTTCCGCTCCACTTCTACTGTTGGTTCTGACTGCGGTAGCCTTTGACCTCTCTCCTGTTGGGTGGAACAACCCCGCCTGACTTTCCTGTGCTCACCTAGTAGTCCATCAGTCCTCCTTCAGAGGACCCCCGTTCCAACGTCCTGTCAGAACTCATAGAACTTGTGTCGGACTACATTCCGAAATTAGGGGCATGTACTTGGGTAAGGGGCGCAGCACACGAGCTGAAGCCAAGCCCCTCAGATCTGTCTTACCCCTGAGCACGGTCTTAACAGAATGGCATCCAGTCATTTGGAGATTGAGGTTTATGAGATGGCGGCAGCACATTATCATCGAGAAAACGACCATGGGCGTCACATGGACGTCCTGTAAGCCATGTTAGTAGCTAACTTAATGAGAGATATGAAAACAAACCATTGAGTTGGGTGTGATAGTTGCGAAAAAAATGGTTTCTGTGCCCAAAGAACTCAGTATCAACATCAGGCAGGGGGAAGACCTCAGCCCGTCAGCATGGTGATCATGACCATGCCCAAAGTCATGTTCCTTGTCATCAGGTGGGAGGGGGAAATCTTGACCGTTGTACCAATTTTCAAGTTCTTGCAACAGGACATCTGGGACATTGATGTTGATGTCCTGCTCTGGTGGTGGGGAAGATATCACAGGATGGGCTGACAAGATATGTTTTGTGCACCCTGAACCTGTCTTGAAAAACTGCTTGCACCCTGCATGTCCACATGGGAGTTGCAAGGCGTTAAAATCCCTGCGCTGAATCTGAGTGCGAGGGATAGTATCAGGCATAGTTTCAGCATCAGGAGGATTGTTATCTGGGTGTTGGGGCAGATAGTGTATTTTTGGTGTCAGGAGGAAGCGTCAGTAGGATTGCTGTTTGGGTGTTGGGAGGAAGTGTCAGCAGGATTGCTGTTTGAGCATCACAGATAGTGTATTTTGGGCATCAGGAGGAAGCATCAGCAGGATTGCTGTTTGGGCATCGGGAGGAGAATTATCACAGGTAGTGACATGGCCAGGAGTGAAGCTGAGATGTTCGAAGACTACTAAGGTTCAAAAAGCGCTTAGTGCTAAGGGTTAATGCATTCTGGACAAAACAGGGTGCCACTTACAAATTTCCATTCCGTGTAGTTGTTTTCCTTTCTACCACCCACACACTAGTACAACTCAGCCTGTGCATCCTGGTCCTGCCCTTCTTTTCATTGAGTCACCGCTTGTCATGGCTTCTCATTGCACACATGCTAAAAATGCTACAACCCATCCTAGTCAGATCGTTCTTGACGCACAACCAAAATGACGCACCAAAGCTGAAAAACAAGCAGATGATGACCGCTTGACAGCAGCCAGGGCACAAAAGGAAGTGGATGCCCTGGCAGGGCTCACCAGACTGGCAGAAATGCAAGTCCGGATGGAAGCTACACAGACTCAAGCTACTGAAAAGCCCAAGGCAGTCAAACTGCGACCATCACCAAAGGGCCACCAGCCACATACCAGCCACTCAGAGGAACCTTTTTCCTTAGCAGGTTGCCAGTATACCATTGGCAATATGGATGGTCCTGGTGAGACATTAAGCTTGAAGGATCAGATTTTCGATGAAGATGAGTCATTGGGTCATAGCAATATTGGAATTCCAGGTGGTACAAAGCAGAAGTCAAGGAAACAGACACTTAAGGTGGCTATCTCAACTGTTAGAGAGAATATTGATGCAGATGTCAACAATGCACATGCAAACAATGAGAAAGGCAACTCGTTATCATGCATGTTTCTCTCAAATTGTTATGATGATGTTTATGCTCACTGAATCTACTCTATATTTTCTCAATTTCACCTAGGCATCTAGAACAAAATCTAGTCTAGGTGGCCACATTCAAAGCTGGAGGACTGTTAAGGTCATGCTCAAGGGAGAGGTTACTCAAAGGGCTTCGGCTTCAGCTTGTGTGCTGCGCCCCTTACCCGAGTATGTGCCCTTAATTTCCGGGGGACAGAGGGGAAGTCTGACGGAAGTCCGGGGAATTCCAGAGGACAGAAGTCGGGGGAGTTTGGCAGAACTCTGGAAGACTATGTGGGGACAGAGTAAGGCTACTACAGAAGTCCGGAGTAGAAACTGAACAGAGGTTAGACTACCCTAAGGTAGAGCCGGAGAAGTAGTCCTAAGGTTTAACCCCTAAGACTCGGAGGTGGACAAGAGGTGAGACTCAAGTCCGGAGATTGCAGGAATGAGCAGAACTAAGATGATATTTGAACTGAGGAGTTCCAGAGTATTACAGGGGTTTATATACTGTAGGTAACATGTAAGTAAATCAGTCAGCAAAGGTAAGGGCTATGTACGAAGCATGTGGAAAGTCTATTACTAAGTGTAGTGGATCAAAGCAGTGAAGTCAGAAATGAAGTAGGAATGGACGGATCAATAAGCATAGCAGAAAGAACATAACCGGTAACCAGAGCAATAGCTAATCTAAAAGGAGTTAGGGGTGAGTGCGGAGATGAAGGCGGAGCACCAGGCGGAATAGTAAGACGGAGGACCGGACTTTAATGAAGTAGATCTGGAATTCCGGATCTGGAGGTATGGGATATGACAAGGACACACATTAAGCCTGAGACATTAAGTTCCCAGCAAGGATCACTTGCGAGTGCCACTCAACTGCCACCCACAATTTTTTCTGAAGTATTGAAGAGGACCTCCGGCAGTTCATGTGCACCTCCCCCTCCTAGCAGCAAAGCAGATGATACTGAAGATCTTGTTGGAGCTTTTGGAGATGAGGACTTGGATAAAACACTTGAACGGGAGGTAGTGGCACTTATGTTGAAGAGTCAGGGTAAACAACCAGTGATGGTGAGTGAATTTTTTCAATTGTGATTTGCAGGTTTGCACCTCTTAGGCTGATTTGAATCTAGTCTACCATTAGTATTTTATCTACTAGCACCGATCCTGACTTTGAACCACCACCAAGCACTCAACCCTGCTTGAAGAATCGCACCTTGATGCCACCACCCAGCACTCCACCTGGCCTGAAGAATCAGGATTTGATGCCACCACCTTCGATGCAACCCCAAGCCATATCCAACACAAAGAGGAAGAAGCTCGCTGAGGTCATCAAGTTCTCTGAGAGTGAGATCTCTGAGTTTCCAAACACAGATGATGACCTTATGGAGGTTGATGGCCCAAATGATGAATCAGATGCTGATATCAAGCCTGAGCCAGTGGGTCAGAATACTCAAGTTAGATGCACTACAGCTTCTGTATCTCCCTCCGTTATTTTCTTTGTTTTTTCACTACTGACTTCAGTCACTACCACCACTCACAAGACTCCTCTTCCTCCCTCAAAGAAGGTGAAGCTCAAGAAAAATGCCAAACTCGAGGGCAACATTAAATCTGAGGGAACATTGACTGCATTGCCTGGCACCTGGGTAGAATCAGTATCAAAGGTGCGTTTGTCATATTTGAACACAGACCTCCTGCCAGGCTGTCATGAGGATGGAAAATGGGCTCAAGTCTTTTTACTGACAGTCTTTCTGTGGCTCAGCGCACAAGAGGAACTCTGGGTTATCGCTGATGCTAAGTTGCTCATGGCATGCAAAGAAATTTTCAAGGTTGTCTATCTAGATATTCGCTACAATGTCACTACATCTGGGTCCGTTTTTGGTGTTGTCTGTGTTACTATTTTATTTGGGGGATGCTACTGATATGTTACAGGTCACACAATGTGTTGGCGAATGGCGTAGCAACTTCAGGTCTACAGCACTTGTCATCGCAATTGATTTTTGTGCCTCCAATCAAGACTCAATGCCAGCAGAACTTGCAGAACTCCTTCTTGTGCACTATGTGTTCTTATACCCTAACCCTGACAACATCGACAAGTCAGCAACCTTCCACTCTGTGTTTGTCCAGGAACTTCTCATGACCACGCATCTTTCTTGAATTCTAGGACATGCTGATGTCACTGTTCTCAACACTGATGGTTTAATTAAACACGGTTTTGTTGGGGCATTGGGGTTGTGTGCTGTTTCAGTAAGTCAATCATAAGTGGATTGTCACCTACTAATTTTTGTATCTGTAGCTTGAATGTGCTTTCTCTCTTCTTGCTGATAATACTGTCACTATCGACCATGAGGATAACTCAGGGCTGCCAATCACTGCATGGAGAGCTTGTCTCAAGACGTTGAAGACCTTCAACAAAGCTATGGGCAAGGAGACGGTCTCAGAGCATGCATTTCCAATTGCTAAGTGGAAATCCAAGACTGATGCATTTATACATGGGGCGGCTAAGAAGGGGGAGGCATCAACAGAGCTCACTGTCTCAATGGCATGGAAGCTTCTGAAGAAGCCCACATCAGCAAAACCAAAATGGGGTATGTGGCACTGCACAGGGCTCACAGGGAAGTCCCCCCATGTGCAGCCGAGCCACAGCATGTGCTTCAGATGTGTCATGCTGTGCAGTTCGGCACAGCTACTGCCGGATCGTACAACCCTGCACAACACTGTAGCGCTGTGTGACGCTGTAGCGCTGTATGACACTGTGTAGTACAAACCTGCGATGTAGTGTTATACAGCAGCATATGGTGTTTCATAGCAGTACTTTTAATATAGCAATTATTCTGAATTTTGCATGTGGATTAATACCAAAGTCAATGATGATTCTATTCAAATGATGCTGCAAAACAGTGATAGTAGTAGTAGTAGTAAGTATATAAAACTAATCCAAATCAATGTCCCACTCAGAACAGCCGTTGTCACCTTCGTTAGTACTAAGGCCAGTGCCATGTGCATTTCTAACTCGATGGTCAATATACTGCTACTTTTGTCGAAAATCATGTGGAAAGACTTACATGCCTTCCAATGCCCAAGCTTTGAGCATTTGACGTAGTTTCAGTCCGTGATACTCATGTCTGTTCGTGCGGTTGAACAACATCGAAATGCGGTCATAGGAAGTCTCTGAATCCTCAATGGGTGTCTGCTTGGCACCATTTACCTGGCCATATTTGCTGTAGATATAAATCACATTACAAATCTTAGTAGAAATCAGTAAACGCGCTGTGAGCATGCTACAGGAATACTCACGATAGTCCCAACGAGGAAGAGCGCTGGGGGCGGAATGGTCTTCTGAAATTTGGTGAATTGCTTCAGTGATTTGAAATCATTGTCATAAAATGACCTATGGCAAACGATGCAGATCACAACATTCGCAAAGTTAGATGCATGGCCCTACTAAATATTTAGAATTGATTATCGAAGACAACGAAGAACATACCTCAGCATCAGGATGGCCACGCAAATACATTGCTTTCTGTAGCAAAGCGGCTGCCTTGAGTTTGACACTATTGATTGTATTCCCACTAATGCCAAGTGCTAGATCATATGTCATCGGAACAATGGTTAGCACAATCTACTTGATCTTGCTGCGGAATGTCATGGTGTCATTGAAAACCTGGATCCGCACGACGTAGTGACATATGCATCAGGAAAATGTGGTAAGGCTATATAGCCACCCATAGCGCTATAGACTGCTATACAGACTCCATAGCCCTATAGCTCGTATAGCCAAGTGCCCAATTGTGCAGGCTTACTACACCAGTGTATAGTGCTATATAGCTCTATTAAAGTTGCTATAGCTGGGTGGAACATACCACAACTATTGTAGCTATTATAGCTCAAAACACAAAGCAAAAATTTCTCTTAATAGCTGTTTGTTGCCATGATAGTGTTCTCAAAATTAAAAAAAAGCGAAAATTCCAAATTATATTTCAACTACTACAATACATGTAAACTAATAACTACAAAACAGGCAAAAATGTGAAAATTACAGGAGGAAGAGGCAAGAGAACTAGAAGGAAGAATCAGAGAGGAAAGATGAATACAAAAAAAAGAAAGACTTACCAAATAGTGAAAATTGCGAAAATTCTTGAGGGAAGAGGAGGGAAGGGAGCTAGAAGGAGAGGATCAGACAGGAGGAAGTGAGAGTCAGAGAAAAGACTTGCCAAATGGTCAAAAATGCGAAAATAGTTGGGGGGAGGAGGAGCAGGAGGGAAGAGAGCTAGAAGGAGAGGGTTAGAAAAAAGATTAGTCAAATAGTCAAAAATGCGAAAATTATGGAGGGAGACTTACCAGAGTTCAAAGCACCAGCACCAGTACCAGCACCAACAACATCAACACCAAGAGAAGGATAGAGAAGCAAGAAGAAGAGAAGAGAGGCAAAAACTCGAAAATTGTAAGAAAAATATGGAAGATAATCTAATGAGGGGGCAGTGGGGGGGGAAGGAAAGAATGGGAAAAGACTTGTTGGTTGACCGCATTTTTGCTTACATAAGCAGTGCCAAACAAAGCCACAACACAAGACTTGGTGAATTTTCGAGTTTTTGGTTAATAGGACTAGGATTATGACAGTAAGAAAAAGACAATGAAATTGACTGTTAGCATTAGGATTTTGAATACACATAAGGTGAATTTTCGCATTTTTGCTTACATAAATAAGGTGTACCTTAACACTTTTGAACCCTTCAATTCCAAGTATTTTCCTTATAACTCACTAAGATCTTGACCTATTGAAGTCATTAGACTATGGATAGACTTCCCTTGACAAGGACTACAACTTTGATTTAATCGAAAAAAGTTCCCATGGTCAAGTTGCTTTCTTGAACCCTTCAATTTCGAGTATTTTCCTTATAACTCACTAGGATCTTAACCTATTGAAGTCATTAGACTATGGATAGACTTCCCTAGACAAGGACTACAACTTTGGTTTTCATCGAAAAAAGTTCCCATGGTCTACTGGGGTCTATAGTTGTTGAAATGTTTTACTTCTAAATACACTTACCAAACTTTATGGTAATATATAGACTTTCATGATGTCTATACTGGTCTATAGTGCTGTGATAGCTTGCCATAGACTGTATAGAGCTGTGGTGTGCTATCGGGGCTATATAGAGGATGGTCCTCTATATAGAGATATAGTTTTTCTTGATGTGTGAGAACAACTTAGAGTACCTACCACAGTAGCCATCCCCGTTTTGAACTCAGGGTAGAAACCTTTGTAGGCGTGTCAGTGGGTAGCAATATTGTAGTTAGAGAAGGGGAAATACCTTTCTCAAGCTTGTGTTTCTGCTCTTGCCATTGTACAATTGCTTCTGCAATCACTTCACTGCAGACTCCGGTATTACCGATGGACTCCTCTTTTTTGGGAAACGGGACGGAAATAGTGAGATGAAGTCTGAAATTAGCCTTTGTGTGGTCAAGAAGTTTTTGCCAGAGTGGCAGGTAGAACCCGACATTAGTTGCATTGCAATTAGTAGCAGTACCCTTTGCTTTCTTGGTGCGGCGGCGCTTCCCAGTATTCTTGATCTCATCAAGATCTTCCAAGTCGTCCTGCTGGTCATTGGAGTCATCACTTGACAGGGAGTTGCTTGTGCGAGCACGCTTAGTCTTTGGGTGGCGATTTCATACACTGTTCAAATACGATGGGGATGGAGAACATGGCCGCCGGTTTTTCGTGTGGTGAGCCTGGAGGATATCATAATCAATATTAGGCTGAAAAAGGTGTCAATACACAGTGACAAAATGGGTGAGTGCTTACAACTACTACTGGAGTGCCCGAATGACCTGGAGCTCGTTGGTTAGTGCTCTGCAGGCTCGCTCGCATTGGCACCTGAGCTACATTGATGTTCTGGTCTCTACCCTTCCTGCTAGTGGTGCGATCATTCCGATGATCATGGTCCATGTCAGCCACTCCCGTGTCGTCATAATCCTCGTCTTGCAAATATGCACCTCAATCAGGTACTTGTGCAGGGCATCTGACTTGGTTGTTGCTAGGGTAGGTTTGATTATTGTGGTCTGAGGGGCTGGCATGATGTCATCACTCCTGTGAACATCCTGCTCCGAGTCATAGTCCGTATTGTTATTATTGATGTCGTCTTCTGCAAAATCTCCACCCTTGTTAGATATGTCATCCTCTTCAACATCCACTTCTTCATCATGATTCGCCTCTTTGTTACCTTCTTCAGTTCCATCAACAAACATGTTTTGGCTAGTGGAAGAACCAAAAGCAGGAGGAGTATGAGAAATGGTGTGATGGGGTGTTATGGTGGTCAATGGCTCACGCTGAATGGCAGAGTTGATAATGGGAATAGATGAGCCTGAGCATTGGTCGCTGACAGACCAAGGAACTTTGTGAGAAACAATACGAGTGTTGACAGACTGATGAATGTCACAAGAAACAACGGGATGCTGGATGGCTGGAATTCTGATTCCATCAGCCTAAGTGTCATGAAGAGAGGTGCCATGAGAGACGCTGCAAGAAGCACCACAAGAAGCACCATGAGAAGTACTGTGAGAAGCACCCTGAGAGGTACTGCGATCATGGACATAGGGCTGGGCAGGAGATATTGTCAAGTCAGGCTGAAGATCTGTTTGATGGGACTGGAGCGGTTTGGAACCAACATATGCTGAGGGAATTGGATGATCCTAAAATCCAAACCTTCCTTGGTCCGTGATGTGTAGAGCAGGTGTGGGGCCTGTGGCAGTGGGGCCTGACTCGGATGCCTCCTGCTGAATACTAGATATTAGTGCTGAGAAATGAACATTGACCAGGCGGGTACTTACTATTACACTCAAGTTACTCTCAAGCTGGCAAGGTGCCACTTTTCCTCTCCCCTTCTTCTTTGTCACTAGCGGAGCCATCACATTTTCGGGCTCATCAATGGGAACAACAACATTCCGAACATTTGATTTGCCAGGTGCTCTGGCTGGAGTCTGGATAGCATTCCCGATCTTCTCTAGCTGAGAATTCCTTCCTCCAGCGCCAGTGCCAGGTCGGTTTGTATGGTGATGGGGAGGTTGGACCAATGTCGCTGGTTCATCGTCATCGATGCCATCTGATTTGACAACTTGAACCAATGTGGCTCCGACTCGTTGCTTTTTCTGTCAGCCCATGGTAGCACACGACTAGATGAATGACAGAGAAATCGAACCTGCAAATCGAACTTAAATGTGGCTGTACGATGTTTAATTACTAAGTAGTAGTAGTATCCGAGTCCGAGTTGTACCAGCGTGTTAATGTTACGTACCAATCACGTACTAGTAGTACACTCCAGTGGCTGACTTGGATGTTACTAGTAGTACTAGTAGTACCTCCGTCCCCACTCAATGGCAGCCAACTGCCCTAACTGTTTGAAACAATTTAAGAGTGCTCAGGCAGTTTCGCAACACCTGAGCCAGCCCCTTACATCCTGCCTACGATGGATTGATCAGCTTGAGAGTGCAGTGCAAATTTTGCAAAACTCACAGTTGGTGGACCAGCACGCAACTCCCGACTCATCTGAGTCGTCATCTGACCCTCATCATTCCAGAACACCAAGTCCTTTTCAAGATTCCCTAATGAACTTTCAAGTTCAAGTTGACAGTGGGGAAAAGGTGGATGCTCACTGCAGCATGAGTGACTCGGGCTATTTCTATGGCCATGACAGAGGCATGGTGGGCTTGGAGAATGACCTGCCAGGGTCCATTGAAGAGCCTTTGGGCAGCCAAGCTTCAGAGAAGCCTTACATCAAGCATTTCAGGGATGCTGCGAAGGTATATCAGCGTGGCCAGACCTTTCTAGATAGGTTTAACATGGATCCCTATGCAGTACATCACGAAGACAATTTGTACTATCTATTTGCATCCCGTCAGGATTGGGAGCTCGGCAGTTTTCTCCTGTGCTCGTCATTAAGTATGGCAGCCATAGATGAGTTCCTGGGGCTGGAACTAGTACATCTTGAGTTAGCGAGTGTGTTGCTGTCACAAGTGCTGATTTCTTCTAAGGTTAAAGCATTGCCCCTCCCCTTTCGTACTGCCAAGGAGTTACGTGGTCATTCTGAGCTGCTGCCTTCTGTTCCAAAGTGGCAGTACCACATCATCTCGACGACTCACCCAACAAAGAAACCTCTACATCTTTACTGGCACAATCTGTTGGATTGCATCGAATCGCTTTTTAGCCACCTGCTCTTTGCAAACAAAATAGATCTCACACCTCAGCGTGTGTATGATACAGCGGAACGTACATCATGAGTTTACAGTGAATGGGTGATGGGGGACACAGCATGGTCAATGCAGGTATGTACTCTACAGTATCAACAATCTCCAAGCTCGTTTTACTAAGTCTCACACCCTGTCATAGTCACAATTTCTGGATGGTGCAACATTGTTAGGTGTCATCCTTTCCTCCAATAAAACCAACATTACCAACATGACTGGTGGACGTGTTGCTCACCCACTCCTGATCAGCCCTGCCAATATCAAGATGGCGACTCGAAATAAGGCATCCTCCCATGCTTTCCTCCTGACAGCGCTGCTTCCAATTGCTGAATTTTTGCATCTGGTGAAGTGGATGCAGAGTGTTCTCGAAGCCCGCTTAGTCCACCAATGTCTAGATATTGTGCTGGAGCCACTCAAGCAAGCTGCACGCATCGGGCGGATGATGTCAGACCCACTTGGGAACCTCAGATATTATTTTACCCCCTTAGCCTCATACATTGTCGATACACCCGAGGCATGCATGCTCGCATGTGTTCAAGGAAAGACCTCGCCAGTAACTATGACTATGTACAAAAATTTCAGAGACACCTTCCAACACCCCCCTTGAACAGCTAAACGACTCTCAGCCAGCTTTCAAGCATCAATTGTGATCCCCTTGATGTTGAAGGCTACTTCAATGCATGTGCCACCTTCCGCCTGAGCGGTGTAGCCCAGCCATTCTGGCGCAATTGGCCACTTGCAGATCCACATCTGTTTTTGACTCCAGGATCCCTGCATTACTGGCACCATGAGTTCTATGACCATGATGTTAAGTGGTGTCTCGCAGCTGTTGGTGAGCAGGAACTAGACTTTCGCTTCTCCATTTTACAGCCACTCATGATGTTCCGACGCTTCCATTGTGGTATTTCAAAGCTTAAACAAGTCACTGGAAGAGCCCAGCGTGACATGCAACATTATATTGTTGCTCTCATTGCAGATGCAGCCCCCCATGGCGTTGTCATAGCTATTCATGCGCTGATGGATTTTCGCTACTTATCACAAGCGACAATGATCAACCAAGCACATTGTCAAAAGATTCTGGGTGCCCTCGAGGAATTCCATGAACACAAGCAAGATATAATTGCTTGCAGCACGTGTCAAGGTGCCAAGAACAAACAGGTCCTCAACAACTGGCATATACCCAAACTGGAGTTGATGCAGAGTGTCATGCCCAGTATATGTCAAGTTGGTTCTCTCTTGCAGTGGTCTGCCGACACCACCGAGCATGCTCACATCACCCTTATCAAGGATCCTGCAGATTCCACCAACAACATCAATTATGATGCTCAAATATGCCGGTTTCTTGATCGCCAAGAAAAGTGTCGAAACTTTCAGATCATGACATCAATAACCGCTCAGTCAGAATCACAGTCACAACTTGAAGCCTCCGCTTCTCAAATGATGGATGCTGATTCTGAACATCATGACTCAGATGAAGGTCCACTGGCATATATTGATGAAGCTCATTTGCAGACAGTTTTGGATGATCTCTGGGGGCCAAAGCATGTTGTGACCAATTTTTTCAGGAAGGCAGAGCAAGTCTCTTTGGACATCAAAGCAGCCAGACCTCTCCGCACATTCGTGGTCGGTGCAACAGCAATTCACCTCAATTTTGATCCTTCCATACGATGCATACCAGTCAATGTCATTGCTGAAAAACTATCTCTACCTGACTTGCAGGGAGCACTCACTAACTATATTCAACGAGAGGGTACTACAGCTCAGAAATTCCACTTGCTGGGGGGACAACACCGAGTACCATCCGATGCACCTCTTCCATTTGATGACCTTATGGTCTGGTTCAAAGTGCGTGTGCAGCAGGCATCGTACCATACCCCATCGATCATTCCTCCTGCTCTCATGGTCAACGCATCTCCCCGAGCGCAACTTGGAAGCATGGCCACTACGATGCTGCTATTTTCACTGTTGATGACACCAGACGTGAACAATGGCCCACTAGTGGGCTTAAAGGTATGTTTTTCAAATGTTCATTTGTATATTATATCCAAGTTTGACGTCTGAGCAACTTGCAGGCCATGCTGTTGTTGAGGTGCACCTTATCATGCAACCACTTCCTCCACAAGGAACTAGTACTAGTAGTGCCTCTTGGGCTGCACGTTTCCTTATGTATGTTCAACGGTTGGATGTCATGCCTCAGCAACATGGCAACTTACTAGAACACACAATGCAAATGCATGTTTTAAAGCGTGCAATGCAATCAGCAGGGACTCCTTTTGGTGACATCCTCCCACTAGATCAACTTCATTCTCTGGCTCACATTATCCCCTGCTTTGGCTGTGTTGCCAATTCACGTCTAACAGCAGAAAATAGTGCTCATTTTGCTCAGATGTTCTTCTTGAACAAATACATTGACAAGGACTTCTACTATGCTATCTCAAACTCTGAGTCGTAGTAGTAGTTTTTCAATTGTGTTAAAGTAATATATCAATGGTTCAGCTCTATGCACTCAGTGTATGGCACTATATATCACTATACATTACTGTAGCATCATGGAATGTACGCTATCCTGCAAGGATCCACTGTGTAGTGATGTACAGCGCTACCTCAGGCACATGGCTTTCAGCTGACTAAATCTAAATGTCAGTTGGGCAGGCCCTGATTGGCAGGCCACTGGTTGTTGTCATCATACCTCTCTCTCAATGCCTGTCACCAGCACAATCATGGCTCTTCCAGTTATTTATTCTAAGTTCTCAAAGAGTTCAAAGTCTTGGCTCCCAAAATCACCATCACACAACTTGATCCCCCCTCCTCCATGTGTACAACAAGAACAAGTCAAAAAAACCCCATGTTCCTTGCACCATCATGTACCAACAGACACAGAACTTTATGACAAGCAAGTTCTTGAAGACCTTAAGACAGCAATAAAGACAAGACTCAACATTCAATTTACAGACTTGGATAATCAAGGTTCTTTAAGCTTAGGTTAGTATTTCTCAGATTGCTTATTACCTACCAATCTTCTTCCTAACCATTCATCATTACAAAGACCACTGTGCAGTCGTCCTTGAAGCACTTCAACATCCTCAAGCCAATACAATTGTAGGCTGATTTATACTTGTCATAGATTAATCTTTACCATGATCTGAGGTCATCGCCGATATTATGCCTGCAGAATATGCAGCAGTGGTAGCATTTACATCAGAAGAGCGAGATTTCGAAGTCAGAGCAAAGTGAACCTCAGAGTAGTAATTGAGTTGTATTAATACACTGACCACATCCCATCTCTTACTACAGATTTGTCTACTTTGTGGATACTCAAGATCTTCATATCATGCCCCCCCTTCCCATCCACAAACAACCAGCTGCACACCTTGCAAAGGCCATCAACAAGTTCACGGAAGCCATCCCTTACGACAAACTCCTGATCAACATCACTATGCACCTCAATCACCATATCCAAAACAAGGACTCCACGAACATTCCAGACCTACACCTTACTGTCACAGCACAACCACCGGAGGATATGGAGTCAGATGAGATGGTGATAGCAAAGCCAGTTTCCAAATGGGTTGGAGAATGCAGGCTTTCCTCAGATATGAACTGCATGGTGCGCAAGCTGAGCATCACATGTGACGGTCATCAAGACATTGATTATGCTCTCATCATATCCTTCAAAGAGCGAGCTAAATGGCACCAGCCAAAAGAAGAGAACATCCCTGCCCAACAACTTCACTCAGCTCCCGCATTGGATTATGAGGAGTTCATCCCTCCCCATATCAAGAAGAGCTTGAGGTTTGGATTGGTGGAGCTCAAGTCTCACATCTGGATCAATATCTCTGAGGTCCACTACACTGTGTATAAGCATGGCACAGATGGTCGCTTTGATTTTAACAACAAGAACGCTGCTACATTCGCAGAGGGGGTGCATGTATATTCATCTTATTAGTAGTACTACTTTCTGATATCAACTCGCCCCCTGCAGACCCTTTACCCTATGTTGCAGATGGATGACATTGAATGGATGTTGAGTGACACTGCTGAGAGTTTGAAGGGGTATATCATATCGTTGATGGAGGGTATGGCACTTGAGGAGGCTGCAATTCAGAGTGTGCATGATTCCCATCCTGTTTTCAAGCCTGTTTGGATGGCGGCTCTCAACTCTATCTCTTCCATGATATACCTCACAGCTTATTGCTGCTACTTGGATTGGCGCAACCACAAATACGACAAGTGTAAGACAACGCACGTCGATGTTCAATCCTCAGACTCCAGCACCCAACTGACAAGTACTTCATTCTCGTCAATTCCAACAACTTCCTCATCTGGTGCAATGACTTCCTCATCTGATGCAATGGTCTCTTCCTCTGCTGGGTTATCGCTTGATGTGCAGCCAGAGCGCTCAGCAAAGAAGTCGAAGATCCAGCCTGAGGAAAAGCATGAAGAGTCTAAGGCGAAACCAAAGAAGAAGGCAAATGGGAATGGGAAGGGGAAGGGTCATTAGTAGGCTCTTGCCGTGTCGATCATTGAGGTGAGTGTCTGTCGTTAGACTTGATTTCCTCTAACACTGACAATTTACATGATTGGTACTCATACTTAGTTCCATCTTTGCTTGTTCTGTTGCGCTGCTCTTCAAGTTTGAATTCACTATCTTGTTGATCTCCTCATTGTTGTCATTCATGTCGCATTTGTTCTTGTACTTCTAGGACCACACAAAACATACTACTACTCATCTAGATACCACACGCGTAGTACTATGGATGTTTCTCGCTGAATGTACCATGATATTCGTGTACTAGCAGTATACCTAATTTGTCACATCACATTTAACCACTGAGTTGGCGTGACTCAGGAAAATTTGTTAACAGCACAACTTGAAAGAGTCTTGAATGTCCTCCAGTGCCCAACTTGTGACAGCCTCGTCTCTTAGAGGGATTTCACTCGATCGAAGACACTCACATCATGATGAATCCCAGACCCATCCAACACAACTTGAAGCAATTCACAGAACACTTGTGCTGGTACCACCAAAGTCAATACTACTAGCAGGACCTTCCCCTAAGGTCTCCAACCTGAGCACAGATAGACCAGTTGTGAACAGCACATCATCCATTCAATTGCACCCATTGACCATTCACCACACCCCATCCTTGTCCATCTATCAGGCTCAGGCTCAACATACATCTACTACTATCCCAGTACCCACTACTACTATGCAAGGCATCTCGCACCCTAACTGGAAGCGCATTGGAACTCCCAGGGCTATTGGTGCTCTGTGAAACCAATCCCCTGCATTATTGTGTCACTTGACCACACCAATTGTTGTGCGTTCTACTACTAGTAGGTTGAACGTGGACAAAAAACTCCCATCACCTATATTCCCGATAACAACGGAGCCAAACTCTGACTGTGAAGACAGCAATAATGCAAGTTCAACGGTACCCATACATGCTCAGGATTCAAATGATAATGTTGCCCAGGAATCTACTAACTCCAATGACACCTGGGCTAGCGAGGAATTCAAGGCCCAGCTTGTTTTGAATGTGACCCAAGCACAGCGAGATGTTTGCCTGGCAGAGAAGACACTCGCAGACTCCGTTCTCAAGCAGAATGTTGCACTTGGGAAACTCTATGAGTTCGAGGCTACAGAAGCTGAGAGGAAATTGGAGGATGCTGATATCGACATTGGTTATGTACACCATTCGGTCTGCAAAAGTGGAATCACACTGTTGGAGGACTTTGCTACTAGTAAACCTCGAAAACACTGTCGCAAATCTACTAGTCACGTTGATAGTGATACACTCAGCCCGGAAGTAGATTTAGCTCGGCCACCACCACTGGCAGGTAATTGTAGTCTGTTAAATTTGTTCGACCACTTCTACTACTGACACATTTTTTAATTTAGAAACAGGATCTCCGAGCACAACTCCGAGTCAAACACTCGATTATGATATGGTGTCCAATTCTTTGGGCTTCAAGTTGTGGAACTGAAGTATTCTGGAACAGTAACAGGGCACTCGTTACTCACTGCAAATATGCACGGTCGTAAAGTCGGCCCACATTCTAGTGCAAATGTCACTAGGTACGTACAATTTTAGGTGGCGTTCTACTGGCATTGCAAATATCATCAGGTAGATAGGTTCTTCCTACATCGCTATGAAGAATAAATTCAGCATATAAAAGCAAGCCGTCTTCCTACTGTTCCCTTCAGATTTATTAAATCTCATATCGCATCCTCACAAACAATGTGTTTCTCCTTTATCCTCGCTGTTGCTGTTGCTTTGACAGCATCAATATCTGTAGCTGCCAGTGAATTTTGTTACTTGTGCCATCATGATGAAGACTGCAAAGGCTGCACTTTGAAGAAAACCTGCGTGTGTATGAGTAGTTTGTGTCCTGTATTTAACCACATGACTCACCGATGTGGTAGCAATTATTGATATGCTCTGAATAGTGTGCTTTCACGTCGGCGCAGTATGGCTGATGGCACGACGAGTGAGTTACTAGTAGCGAGTCATAGGGGAGGACTCTGAATTGGATCTGCTAGCTTCGATATCATCGAGAGCATCCAGGCGTGAAAGACGAGGATACATATATATGGTCGAGACTTGTATCAAGGAGACTGATCAATGGGACGTTAAGAACGTGACTTGACAACTTTCAGCTAGAATGCTTCCGAATACCGCCCCGATCATAGTTTAGGGCTGGCATGTGATTTCATGTATCCTGTTAACACCATAATGACTATCCCCCGGATAAAATCTATCGGGAGATCGATTTCAAACCATACCGTTCGTCAGCTCAAGTTTATCATCCCCGGAGCTGTGATCACGTATGCATTCAATACCCATCGCGTCTTTCTGGAGTTGTTAACCAGACAAGATGTAGAAGGGTTGGCAAGGTGGGCATCCATCGACAGTTTTCTCAATAAATATTCACGCGTAATCCAGACTGTTTGCCCTTGCTTCCACTGGTTTGGAAGCACTTGTGATCATACTTTTTCTCTACGTTCTCCTTGTACCGTGGATACACGGCCTCGAACCAGACGTGAGTTATTTTCATTGCAGCAACTTCATCATACATAATCGATAACGTCTCAGTACCAGTCTTGGCGAGACTCGGGGATACTCTCTTCTGTCATCCCAATATTGACCGTTGCGATCTTGGTTGGCTGGTCACTTCTGTCCTTTACCCTCGGGAGGTGGTCTAGTTTGGGATATCTAGAAGGAGTAGTAGGGGGTGAGCTCAGCATCAATCAGTCTGATTACATCCGTGATCTCAGTTTTGTGTTTCAGCATCAGGCATTTATGCACTCACGTTTGGACTATTAGGCCTTCTTCCCGCCCCGAAAGTTCACCGCTCATGATTCAGTATCGCAATTACGAGTAGCTCGTGTCTCACGCGGACTTGTTACTAATGTACTGTCGATGTATGTACTTTGATATTGTAGGATGCTATACAGTTAGTAATACTTATAAATACTACCGGTGCGCCCGGGAGGGAAGGAAATACTGTGATTCAGTGAGCCAACCCCAACCGGCTAAAATCTTATGCCTGGTGTTATGTATAAGTATGATGACGGTCTCAAGGACACGTTGACAGATTGTGACGCGCTCTCTGCTTCCTAACCACCATAATTCACCTCGTATTGGCGCCATGCTACCCAAAACCTTTAGCCAGATTGTCCTTCGCGAACGCCCCATCGCAGACATTCTCCCAAATACCTTCGAGTCTAAGACCCAGGCGTTCGATGGACTCCATGTCGGCAAGAATCAAGCTCTAGTCCAAGTGACATACCTCTCACTTGATCCTGCCATGCGTGGATGGCTCAACGATAAGCGAAGCTACCTCCCTCCTGTGAAAATCGGGGAGGTGATGCGCGGGCTTGGGCTTGGTGTTGTAATGAGCGTGGGCGAGGGGAGCAAGTTCAAAAAGGGGGACCTGGTTCATGGGACGTTTGGTGCGTCTGCGAGAATGGCTCTTTTCTCCCATCCCCGTCCTGACTCCTTATGTTACACGCAGGATGGACAGAATATGTGGTTGTGAACGACAACTCGTTGGAGAAGATCTCGTGAGATTTGCTTCTCATCAGTATTCTGCTTTTATACCATTATGAATCACAGGCCACCACCGGGAACAACGTCCCTCGACTTCTTGAACACTTTGGGGATGCCAGGTCTGTCTTCTTACTACTATGCATGCGTCCTAGTGCGTCTGACATAGTACGACTGACAGGCATGACTGCTTACTTTGTCCGTTCCGCTCCTGCCCCATGTCTCAGCGTACTGATTAGGTTATAGGGCCTTCACGAAGTTGGTCAGCTGAAGGCTGGTGAAACATTAGTCGTATCCGGTGCTGCTGGTGCAGTCGGTTCTCTCGTCTGCCAGCTCGGAAAGCGAGCAGGCGCACGCGTGGTTGCCATCGCAGGCACAACAGACAAGTGCGCCTGGCTCGAGAACGAGTTAGGCGTGGACAAAGTGCTCAATTACAAAAGCCCTACGTTCCGTAAGGATTTCGTTAAGGCTGTTGGGTATCTAGATGTCTACTTCGACAATGTTGGAGGCGAGATGCTTGATTTAGCGCTCTCGAGGTTGAAGCAAAATGCAAGGGTTGTTCTGTGTGGTCCGTGATCTCACTTCTACAGGAGAAAGGACTTACTTTGATGTGAAAATGCAGGGGCTATCTCCCAGTATAGTGAGTATTTTAACAAAATTCATGTATTCGGAGGCTCATTTGTGTACTAGATGCTCAACAGCCCAAAGGTCTCATGCAGTATCTGAACCTAATCTCACAACGTGCCAAGATACAAGGTTTTATTGTGTGCGTGCGAGTGGGACCATGTCATATGACATACTGACTTTCTTCACAAGTTTCGACTATGTTAAGCAGTATCCTCAGGCCATCCAGGAAATAGCAACTGGATTGATTGATGGATCGATCAAGCGCAAATTCCATGTTGTGGAAGGACTCCAGAATGCTCCCAATGCGCTAACTATGCTCTTCTCTGGGGCAAATTCAGGAAAGTTGTGCGTATCTTCTCCTTGGCCTTTGCCTCGTTATGTACAAATGGCTGATACCCCAATCTAGAGTTGTTAAAGTTTCGGATGAGCCTGCTATGCTCGCGAAGCTGTAGATCAACAAGATGCATCCTGATACCCTGCCTCGTCTAAACTGCGTGTTTCATTCCAAGCCACACTGAGTAGTTCAACCGACACCGAGCTGGTCAATTTATATGATTTCTTATTGTCTAACTTTCATCTAGTATACAATAAACTTAGTGCTGCCATTCGTTGGCCATTCGCGATCACAAATTGTGCCATGGTACTCGCTGATATTCTATGGTCCCTCACTCACATAGCTCGGCAGATATTGCCAAGTACAACGACTTGAGGACCATTTTGCTGACGAGCGCATTTTACAGATTCCAGAGGTTTTTCCTGGTTGCCGGATCATGCACTGCGTGTTGCACCTGCATCTAAAATGTGTCTCTGAAGTGACCCTTCCGGATGCTTCGTACGGCAATCATCATGAATTAGGGGGGTACATGCTGAATATCGGGATGGCTCGTATTTGTAAAGCTAACTTTACCAGAATTCGAAACTGATCACCGGTCATACAAAACAAGGGCATGAACGTCATAGTACGTACGAAAGCCTCAGGCGTTCCGAGCTCCTCATTGCTCATATCGTTACTAAACGCGGCCTCCAGATACTTCCACTTCCTCGGTACGACCCTCTCGCACTTTCTCGTCCATGTCGGACTGGAAGGATTCCGATTGGCCACGTCGCATATCAAGCACATCGAGGTACCCGTATGGGGCGATCTTATTGTCCTCGTAGTAGTGCTTGTGAGCACGGAGGAAATTGATATGGTGCGGTGTAAGTGCTGCAACCGACAGTCAGCATTGCATGACCTGTGAGGGGATAATACTTACTCCGCGTTGCAGAGCCCAAGAATAGCTCATATACCAGCGCAGCACAAATCGTCGCTGGGATATTCGTCAGCGCGGCAATGGCTGCATATGTTCCTCCTGAGGCTTTGGATCCCCAGATGGTCATGGCCATGAGGCGTCCACCAAGGTCACGAGCAGTGTTAGTGGCGACTGTACTGCAAAGTCAGATGATAATAATGCGCAAATATGATCAGGGCTTGCCTGAGGTGGGCGAATACCCCCAGGCGGCAACGGCGCTGAGGAGATGCGTTAATATGTTCAGGAGGTGCGGTCGTGGTACGTACTACGCCATTCCGATGAGCCAAGGTGCGGCTGCTGGCGGAATCATGTGGTTTGTGGGGTCAAGGCAGCCCCAAATGACCAGGCCGAGGACGAAGTCCTGAAGGGTGACAGTTAGATGAACTCGTGCGTGCCCTTGGGAGTTAAATATCAAATACTTACAGTGACAAATTCATTCATGAACACGCGGTGTAGGTTCGTCCCAGGGGCGACAAAGAAGCCGAACACACCAGCTGGGCCACTGCTCGAGAACATCACGGTGTCATACAGGCCTTTTTCAATGAGAACTTTCTCTGCAACCTTCGAGGGGTAAGATATCCAAATACTGAGCATATTCCAAGTCCTCTACGTACCAAAAGCAAATCTTTCCATTGGACATAGACGATCAAGCAGGTGAGGTAACCTGACAAAATCTGTGCAAAGATATATCTAAATCATGTATCAGCGGCGTTGACGGGCATGGTGTTGCGACTATCACGGACCTCGCTGCTTTCCGCATGGGAAAGTCTCGGAAAATTACAGAGGAAATTGTGACGGCTGGGTTGAAATGGCCTCCTGACGTCGCACCACAGAGCGAAACCGCAAACACGATGCCCATGGCGTAAGCGAAGCCAATAGTATATAACGCTGCGGGGTCGTCAAAGACAAAATTCTCGAAAAAAAGGTAGAGACTTGCATCCTAACCCATTGCTCCCGATGAGAGTTCCGACGACGAATGCAGCGGTGGCTCCAAGACCTACACATCAAACGAGAATAAATGAGTGGGGGGGTCAAAATTCTAGTCAAGTGAACTGACCTGCATAGACGTAGAGAAACACCCCCATCTACTCGTGGCACGTCAGTCAGACAATATCAGAAAAGAAAGGAGCGCATGCCATTTCTGCGATCATTTCTACGAGCCAGTGTGCCTCCTTGTGTCTGAGCCTCTCCCAGGAGGTCATCCAGCGAGGCCTTGTCGCAATTTCGCTCAGATGGATTTTCGAAGGTGACATGGTTGGAACTTTGGAAGAGGGAGGTTTGGAAAGCTGGGGAGGGATGTGACGAGGCCTTTTAACGCCAGGGCAAAGTTCAAACCCATGAGGCCAAAACTACCATTCCAGGTGAAGACCGCTATACCAGATCTAGACTCAGAAATACAGGTAGACGTATTTACTCGTATCTAGCGCCGGAAGCAGCGCAACGTAGCAGGTGTCAATCGATCAAATCTGATTTGACCAAGTTTGAAAGTTTCGGCTATGAATTTGAAGATCGACGTATGTTCCCTGATACAGTTGGTTCCGCAAGTTCGAAGACCTTCTTCCGAGGAGGCTTCTCGACAGAGTTGAGTGAGTCGCAACAGATGCTATATCGCCATTGGCTTGAGCTCTCGCGGCGAATGAAGTTCAGCGTGTAACATGTTTCAGCACCCGTATGTTAAGAGGTCATGGGGTTTGCGAGTGCACCCCGCCGTGGGGTATAGGATCATTGGACCCGCTGAAGTCAAGAATAGAGCTGCATGTTCCGTCGTCACCAAGTCGATATTGAATATTGAAGGGCTGAATCTGATGGGGATGGGATTGGGTTGTGCCGCTACTGATTAGGAATAACAATTGAATAGGTAATACCCTTGTATCATTGGAGTCTCCCGCAATCATCCTATTCACTGGAGTATGATCTTGAACGTTCAACCTCATCCGGAACATGAACCGATGAAACTTCCTGAAACTTCCGTGTCGCTGGCGATGCCAGCGACTGGTGAAGTCGTCTGACGTGTCGCAATTGCTTCCACACTCAAATGGTGTTATGTATAGATATATGTGGCAGAAGGCAGAAATAAAATGGGTCCATGCGGGGTCGTTCTCCATAACACTGTGAGACTACGCGTCCTAAAATGTTTACAATTGATGGTCTTTGTCAGTTTGGTCAAGAGGCATCTGTGATGATCAGATTGTGCCACAGGCTCTCGAGTCCCCAAAACAGATTTGAACGTCTGAACAGTTCTATCGTCCTACCCGACGTCGATAGTCACTTGTAAGGTCCCCCACGCATATGGAGATTCAATATTCAATGACGAACCGGAAATATGTCATTCAGCCACGTCCGAGGACTCATCGACCGGTAGATTCTCTTCCACACCACCAGAAAAATTCGTGGAAACTCCATTACCTTAAGCTTCAAGTCTATCAGTGACTAGTGACTCTGGTGAGTAGTAGATGTCGATCATTCAAATGTGATCACTGCGCGAATTTATTTTTCTTGCAGCGTAACAGTGCAGTGGCAACCGCCGGTCGCCCACAGAAGGTAGCAGTAATCTGTTCCACCCATTCTGTTCAAGGGTTCAGCCTGTCTGTCTACCACCTATTTTCTCGGACCGCTCTTCCTCCAGTGTATGTTCCTCGGCGACAGACATCCTCGGGCACGAACTGACATGTGGCATATCACATTCCTGTCGGTTTTATGCATCATGTCATGTTTGACGTGGGCACAAACGCGAACAAAAACTTGAATCCTGTCAGAAGACTGAGTTTTTACTCAGGATCTACGTGGATAGTGTAAATATCTGCAAGTTTTGCGGCTAGCGGTATCCTTGGTTAGCTCGTTCGTTCAAAGTTCTGGATGCTGGATTTCCATCGAAGAACACGGAAGCTCTCCTTGCAGAAGGTCCATCTCGGAGTCCCAGGCAGGAGCCCGACCGTCGCTTCTGCCTCCACGTGGTTCTTAGAAGCCACCTTGGGATTCTAAGTGCGCAGGATTTATTTCTGATTGCGTTTATACGGGAAATGACATAGCGGCTGTGTACTCCGCTGGTAGGACCTCCTTGTTCCGTGAAAGTGCTCTCAAAGTTACATCTCCTGCGCCGCTTTGGGACTGGATCGCTCTAGCTAACCGTATCTTTCGCTTCCGATATCAAGCATTGGCTAATTGTTTGGAGACCTAGTGTTCGGCTCCATATAGGCAACGTGCATACCATTGTAGCAGGACCATGGATTCAAGAACGTCCGTAACGAGCTTCGCGTCTTCTGGACCATCCTCAGGCCATGAGGCTTTTTCGAAGGCGTCATTTAACAAGCCAAATTCCATATATTGACATGCACGCCTGTGCCATTACGCAATGTCTCTCTATCTTTGGGTTGATCCTGTTTCAAAGTGGATGCAACTCTGGTGCTGCTGTTTGTTCTTCACACTCATTCCTTCTATCTGGTCACTGCATGTTTGGTTCACTGATATCCTTGAAAGTTCGTTTTCAGCGTAGCCTGTATGTCGAGGTCGGCGGTTATGGCTATCTCTCTAGGACTTTGGGTTCTCGCTTTCAGCTTGGCCGATGGCTATCCAGTCACAGCAGGAGTTTGACTCTCTTGGCGGCCTTTCGATAGGTTGCCTCAGGGATAACGGTCAGGGAACGGTCACACCCTGAAACCCAGGCTGTGGACCCCTCGCGCTTTTCAGGGTCCCTCGGTGGAAAGTCTGGACCGTGAGTTTTGGACGAGGTATTTTATGAGCACGCGTTCGACGCAGCCCGCTAACGAGTTCATTGACATTGCACCCGACACCGACTATACTCGTGCGGTATGTCTTCGCAATGGACGTTTCCGTGATCACTCACTATTTATCCAGGTTTGCGACACGTCATGAGAAATGATCGCTGTCGCGATGGATCAAAATGGTTCCGCTCGGCGAGCCGGGGTGCTCTCTGTCCGTTTCACTTTATGGCGTTCTGGTGTTATCTGTATGGTGAATCTCGTACAGCACGTTGTGTGCATGGATCAACTACTGCTGTTCCTGTGCTTCAAGAGAGCATTTGGTCTGTGCCTGTAACTCGTGGCAAGGACCCCGAGAACGATATTCAAACTCCGGGTGTGCTGTGTTGGGGGCGGGAGACTGATCATCGAGGAGAAATTGATGATTCGAGTCGGAGATGGAGGAGGTGATTGAATAGAGATGATGCTGTGGTATGGCAGGGATAGTTGGACTGGAAGATGTTTGAGATTAATTATGTATTGGATTAAAAAGATTAGGGTATCCGGGGAACTAAGGAAGCATTCTTCCCGCGGGTTAGATGTTGTATTGGGTTTCAAGGAATTGGTATTGAAAGCGACTCTTGAACTGACGACTCACCGTCGACGCCGTTTCCGACGTTGCAGCCTCTGGCCAGCTTGTCTTTTCCCCTCTGCCAGTTTCTAGACCTGCAGGCATATATTTTTTCTTACTTTCTGTTTTTCTTTTCTAAACAAAACCTGCTAGCAGAGCTTAGGTCGAAACAACTCCCAAGCCGGCCTTTAGTCGCGTCCTACTCGCTATCTGTCTGCTGCATTTCATAGCTCTTCTCACTTTATTTCCTGTTTTCATTGCTTTTTCTCCTTTTTTACGGATTCACAAATGGCAACTACCGCTCGCCAGCCTAAAGCAAGAGGGAAGGGAATGGCAGATCCTCCTCGGTCAGTCTATCATAACTTTTACAACAAGCCAATGCATCCCTTACCCCTTCTTCATTCAGCCGTCCCGGTGCTTGGCAGACCGGTGCTAGGGCTTCTCCTACTTTCTCGCCTGCCAACAATCCCGCGCGTCTTCCTCCTTCAGCTAATCAGGGGGGCTTCCCACCACTAGGTGCTCAGACTAATGGCTCTCGCATTCATGACCCCGTGCAGGAGCGCCCTCTTCATATTCTTTCTGGTCTTACCGTGTGTTTTCACTCTTCTTGTGCCAGGAATATGTCCACCAACGTTATATTTTTAGGGCACAACTATCACCCTGACCACCAAAACTGCTCAACGGTATGAGGGTGTCATAGCATCTACTACTGGTGAGGGTGATATCGCCGGGGTTACCCTCAAGGATGTCAAAGAGATATCCAAGCCTGGCGCACCACTCAAGGAGTCATTTTTCATCGCCTCCACTAACATCGACACTTGGCAGTCTGGTCCTGCTGACGCTAAGATACCGGTGCCCAATGGCGACTGTGAGTGCATCATATCAGCTTCCTGCTCTGCCACAGGAAGTTGATTCTACCAAATCTTCGATGCTGATCTCGGTACTTTCTGTGCACTAGCCTTCCGAACAGATGCGGATATCAGCAAGAATAAGTCAGTCCGTGAACGGGAACTACAAGCTTGGCAGCCAGCTCCTGTCGCAACCTCTCCGCCTCCGACAGTCACGCATCACGAGAGTGCCGGCGACGAGGTTACCTTTGGCCCGGGCTCAAGCGCTAACATATCTTGGGATCAATTCGCGGCTAATGAGCAAATGTTCGGCGTCACTACTTCTTATGATGAGGAGGTTTACACCACTAAGTTGGATCGGACGGCTGCTGACTATAAGGAGAAGGAGCGTAAGGCTCAGCGTATTGCTAGCGAAATACTGAGCGTATGTCTGAGGCGCCGTAGGTTTATTTTAATCTGAGATAATTCTTTCAACAGGGCGCTATAAACAATCCTCATATAGCAGAGGAGAGGAACTTGAACGTTGACGATAGCGGTGTGAACGAGGAAGACAAGTGCGTCTATCGGGTGTCTGGTCCGGTTTTGGCTGACAGCATTCTTCTAGATATGGGGCTGTGGTCCGAGGGCAGAATGCTTACATTCCACCAGGCGCTCGCAAATACCAGGGCGGTGTACCAGCTTTAGGAACAAGTCCGCCTTCGAAAACTGATGTTCCTAAATTATCTGTCAATGGTCCTGACGGTACTCCTGTTGCTGCAAAGGACGTGGCGCCTCCTGCTGTCAAGTCCCCTTCTCCTGCGCCATCAACATCGTCGGCTTCTAATAAGGTATGTATCTGTCATGAATTATATTCGATCTTGATCTGTTCGTTTCAATTCGAATTGCTGTGATGCGATGCTTTACCTGTGATCGGTCGAGACTGATGAGTTGCTGACGATCACTTCTTTTGCCCTTGCTGTGGTCGATGATAGCCCCCGGCGGATCCATTGCCGGCGTTCCGTGACTTTGTGACGAATGAGAGGCAGCGCTTGACGCAAAAGAAGCAGGCGCTCGTCAAGAGTGAGATGGACAAACGGAAGGCTGAGTTGCTGAAGTTCAGCCAGACATTCAAGGTCAGTGTTGTGGTGTTTCTCTCGTCATTGGTTTCGACTATCGAGGTCCATGTAGCTGAACAAGCCCATCCCGGATGATTTGGTTCCTATTCTTGCCAAGGATGAGGATAAACAGCGACAGATTCGCGAGAAGGCCTCGCAGGATGCAGCCTCGACGACCGCTCGGGCTATCGGCGTCACCGCTACTCTCAATCCCTCTCCCAGCGCCTCTCGCATGCCAATCTCCACCTCTAACAAGATCACCCCCATTGCCTCTAAGCCTACTGCTGCGCCTGCCGTCGCAAAGGCACCTGTCGCTGGTACCTCTACCTCTGTCGCTAAACCTACCGCTACGAAGCCCGCTGAGCTCGCCAAGAAGACCTCGGTTAGTATGTATATACAGCCCATCCCCCCGTTCAAAGGCTCCAAGCGCTCAACCACACCGTTGCCTGCCGCGGCGACCCACACGAACGGCGCTGCCGTGCCCATGTCGCCCACTAGCACCGCAAACCGGCTCAACGCGAATGCCTCGTCGTTCAGGCCCAATCCAAAGGCAAATGCTTTTACTCCTGTAATACTGGCTGCTGGATTTCGGATCCCGTGTTACTGACTTGATGTTTGCGTCTGTGTGAATAGGGTCCTACATCTCCGATTCCGAGTTCCACGTCGGCTTCTGCGTCACCGAAGACTAAGCCTGCTGAATCGGTGAATCATTTGGTTTCTGAATGCGGATGATGGATTAACCTAGCCCCTAGTCTCCTCCCACTCCCAATCCGTTCTTTGGCACCAAGGTCATCAAGAAGGGAGCGATTCATATCAAGGATGATTTCAACCCATTCAAGCACAACAAAGTTGTGGAAGCGAATCAAATTAGTTCGTGCCGCACCCTCTCGTTAAGGATACAATCTGATAACTCGCCATTGCAGCTGCTATCTGGCCTTACAGTGGCAAGCGCTACATCAATATGTTCCCTCCCCTGCAACACCAATCACCTCAGCAACCCGTCCACATTGCGCCACCCGGTCCGCCACCCGTCTCCCACCCTGTATACGAAGACAGCGGAGAACAACGTGTTTACTACTACCCTTATTACCCTGGACAGGTGTGTATATCTATAATCCGTATATGGAATCCTGCTCAAATGTTGCCCAGGCTATGATGCCTGGCATGGCGCCTCCCCCACCTGGTGCATATGTATCAACACCTTTCATGCAACCAATGGCGTATCCACCAGGGATGCCACCGAATGGCCAACGTGAGTGGAGGGTTTCCTGCTGTGTGGACTATGACTAATGATGCCCTACAGCCATGTACGCTGCATCGCCTATGCCCCAGATGCCTCGTGCGTATTCATCCTGGCTTCTCTCTGACTTGAGGCTTACCTATCCGTCATAGCGCCGCAATACATGCAACCACCACCTGGCACGTACCCTCCTCCACCCAACGGTGCCGGCCCACGCCCATCTATGCCGCCTACTCCAATCCCCGCACACGCGCATGCATACTACCACCAAAGCCCACAATGTACGTGCTGATCAAATCTCAGGTTTGCTGTGACTGATGATGGACTCTTCTTGCAGTACAACACGCCGTCCCTTACCCTATGATGATGCCGCCTGCAGGACCGAATGGTCCTCCCCACCCATACGAAGCTGGCCCGGCTCCTCCACAAATGGGCGGTGTAGGCCACGCATGATTGAGTGACGAGTAGCATGGAGTCCGTATCTTTTCTTTTCGCTATCTGTTGTTCGCTGTCTCCATGCAGTTGTGCCATTGTTGTTGTGTTTCACAGCTCAGATGACCTCTGGGTTCATGTTGTAGCTATCATCTCTGGCATTAATTGATGTGTGGACTGAGAACTGAGTACTTGAGGGATATGGCGTCAGGGTATGTGGATAGAAACGTGAGCGGATAGCTAAACTATGAACATACGAATCGTGGGTGAAGCGAGATACTACCGAGTGTGCACTGAAAGCTCGATCTTTTTCAGTAAGAGTCGGAACCGTTCTCACTTAGACTCGTGACCAGTCCTGTTAAACCTACGAGGCAAGCCGTCGATACACGGACTGGTAAAACTGGCTTTGAATTTGGAGGTCGAGCAGATTCGCAGGATAACGTGACCTTTAGCGAATGAAAAAACCAGGTTTTTTCAAGCTGTAGCATAGAATACAAAATAAACAATATAATTTTCACTATTGACGTGACGCGACGCGATCTACACTTGCAAAATCAATGGACCAATCCTCCATCATCCAAGCCTTTCGTGATGCTTCCCTCGATGCGTTGGAAGTCGAGGATACTAATACAGGCCATCTCGGAGGATTTTGATGACAGCTTTTGATGCGCTCCGTTGACGAGAGGTGTGAGGAAGGTGTGATCATAGGATCCGTAAAAGAGGCGCTTGACGGAGCATCACCAGAAGTTCTGGACAGGATTTATGACACATCCTTTGATAAATATTTTGACGCAGGTGATTCAGTGCTGTCTGGCGAGTATCGTAGCTTCGAAGAGACCACTGTTAGGCTTGCCTTGGCACAGCTGACAACAAACTGTCAACAAACCCGCAGCATGTTGGTGTAGCTGGACATAAATTGGCAGATGTGTGCTTTGAAAATACACAGCGGAAGAGAGGCGTTATACCTCTATCATAAGCCTGCTAGGAACCGAGAATCAGTTGACGGAAACTAACTGAAACAGAATTGAGGCTAGGGAACGCGTCCTTAGTTTCCTCACCTCCCAGGACAGTGTTGAATCCAGGGGAGAAGGTCCCTCCATGAAGGACAAGGGCAAAAAAACCCGACCTCGACTGGGGTAATACCAATCGTGAGTGTGAAGAAGTCGACCTTGACTCGCAGCGTTCCAATTGGCAAAGGAGCAGGATGTTGACATCAAGTCTCAGCGAGCCGCCCTGCAAATGTTCACTGAAAACCGTGCTCAAGCGGGTGATGAACGAGAGCAAGGGGAAACTCACCGTGAAACTTCGAGCATAAGCCTGAGCGAAGGAGGGTGTGTCTCGCGTAGAAAAGCCGAAGCGGCTTGTGAGGGTTATTAAGGGCTCGCATCCGCGAGTTGGAGAAGGGACTCTCCAGTCCTGTCTAAGCAGGCTAACCACGTTGGATATGACATTTCATTGCGCTCACTTGGAGGTGCCTAAGAAGAGGCCTGACAAATGGGTAGTGCAGTAGTCAAGTCTCGTCGAGAGCTCGGTGTGGATTATTTGACAGACGCGTCAAACGCTCTTAAGTCTGGATCGATGAGGTATTGTGTATGGAATGCGATGATATTATTGGGAGGAGTCTGGATGGTGACCATGACGGTGTATGCGCCGTCCGATATGTCTGGGATAAGCATTGATGTAGTCAAATTCATTCGAGTTGTTTGATGAATCACATTCTGTCTATATTTCGACAGTCCGTGTCGGCAAGCGCCGAGCGCGGTCAAGTATAATGTGATGTGATGAGCCGTGCTATGTAAAACGCCGTAATCGACGTAAAGTACCCTGGGTAGACTCAGGAGTTCTCTGATGACTGGTACGATTGTTATCGTGCCTTCAAACGATTTGAATCATGCCTTTCCGATCTGCGTCGCATAACGGATGATATATCCGACGATGTGGGTTGTGCACGAGTCCTGCGGAAGGAGAAAAGAAACGGAACACGATCTGGAATATATGTCCCGACTCAGATATAAACATCATGGATGAGATCTGAGATGCAAAGGACGGACTCTAAAGGGGCGCTGTGCTCCGACCACCCACAAGAAGTACGGCATGGATACTGGACTTCTTGGAGCATTAAGATGTCACTTTCGTGACGGGGACGAAAATTGACGAGAAGGTGAGAGGAGTGCAAATTTTAATTAATTCTGAAGATAACTGGGTGAGATGGAGGTCATCGAGTCATCGACCCCATAAGCTGGGGTAGTGCACACCGACTGGTGTACAATTCAGAGTGTTGTAAAATACAGGCCGTGACGGAGATAGAGAGATAGGAGAATATATTATAAAGTCTAGAGATGAACGTCGTCTTCGACGTAAGGGATAGAGTCTAAAGAGAGTGCCATGTATGGGCTGTCCCACAACGAGAGCGTAGATGCTGGCCGTCTCGACGAGATGGAGATTTGAGTTGAGCTCGTGCCACAGTACATGCATACTCTGTTTGATGATAGACTTGATCTTTGATGGTTTTGAAATTGTGCTGAGGTAGTGCACACCGATGCACGAAAGGACATCCAGTGTCTTGGTGTAAGTTGCGAAGTGATAGAAGGGAGAGAGGAGATGCAGGATAAATTTGTCATTAACAAGATGAGACTAAAGACAGGGCCATGTTTCAAACGCCCGCCGCAAGAGCGAAGGTGATGGCCATCATAAGTATGGAAATTTGGGGATGTGAGGGTTGCGAAGGAAGACAGCACTTAGTAGGATCATGATCAGCGTCGAAGGGATGATTGAAGGAAGGAACATAACTCGGAGCTGTTCCCTTTGAGGATAGACTTAGAACTCGGCAGTTCACGTAGCTTTTTATACACTCTTCTCGTCGGCCCCTGACGACAGATTCGAGCTGGCATTGACCTTGCTCCGCAAGGTGACTTTTTGTTTCGCGCTAAAATTGCCAGTAGACCTTGGAGTAATCAAGTTACGGTCGGACCCGTCTGTATGAACCAAGTTCTCAATATCTTAATTAGGTGGCATTGTAGATATCAGGTTCCCTACATCGCCATGAAGAACGATATTTAGCATATAAAAGCAAGTCGGCTTCCTACTCTCCCCTTCAGACTTATTTCATCCCACACCGAGTCACCCTCACAAACAATGCGTTTCTCCTCTGTTCTCGCTGTTGTTGCTGCTTTGACAACATCAATATCTGCCAGTGATGCTGCCAGTGAGAGCTGTCCTTTCTTTTGCGTGCATATGAGAGAGTGCAAAGGCTGTGACCTGTACTATGGATGCGTGAGTATGAATAGTTTGCGTCCTGGATTTAACCACATGACCCACCGGCGTTGTAGTACTTCTTTATGTGCTGGGGCGACGGCAGCTCACGAGTGAGTCGTGTTTTTGCTTTCACATCGGTGCAGTGGTTGATGGCACAACGCGCGAGTTACTAGTAGTTTCAACTTTCAACGTGCTTGCTTCTGAAAATTTTCACTGCCACTCGCGCAATGGAATAGAGAAAATGTCTATTCCCGCTACCTTTAGGTAGCTGGGTATTTGTGGACGTGGAAAAGAGAAAAAAAGCGAGGATTTGCAGTGGCGGTGCAATGTGGATATATTCAGTGGTTTTTTCTCACATCTCGATTTTGTCGTCTTTTGTTTCATGGATAGATTCTTTATGTCATTTTTGGTTAAGGGTATAAATGTATCTGTTGCACGAGACGACTCTTCTCAAATTTCTCTACTCTCTGTGTCTTTCTTGAATTCTCATGCACTCGCTCGTTCTCGAGAGGGTGTGTTTCGGGCTCTTGTGACTTTGCTCGAAGGAGATATTCGGTTCTCTACTGATTTTCCGTTCGCACTTCGCGATACCTTGCCGGTCACGGTCGTCCTAGGTCGTGATTGGTACGCTTTCGACCACTGAAAAATGCGGAGCAGGATCATCAACAGCACTGACCGACTTTAAGATTCAGAAAAGTCCCGTACCAAATGACTGACAACTTTAAAATGACAGCCGCTTGCAATCTTTGTACTATCAGCTCTTTCTCGCTCCTGTGTCCGTAATCACTGTTATCAATGTTTCTTGAAATAGTGCATTCAACTGTATCTCTAATATTCTTGTAACACCAATAATCTTGATTGGCATTAGAACGACAGACTCGTTTGGAAACAACAATCCCAACATTAATTACAACGACTCAAAATCAAAATCGGAAAGAACATACCCCCCCCAAAAAAAGAAAAGGGTAGCGGGCACTGCCACGGATGTGGCCTTTCGCGACTTATATTAAAAATATGTTATGTACGACCAATGAATGACGCAGTTTTGTAGTCTCGTTGTACATAAACGTAGAAGCCCTCGATGACACCACGAAGGAAAAACTCAAAACTCAAAATTGTAAGTATTGATATGAAACTTAAGCTTGATGTGCGACTATCATTGCATCAGAAACCCACACCGCAGCGCGCATGCATACTTACTCTCCTTCCTCTACAGAACACGATTGATCAAGGATAAGAACGAGATAACAAGACAGGGAGCGCCCATCTCGAATTTTACGTCTTCGAATTTCCTCAAGTTCCTCCTCGACTGCAAGCCCAAAATGGCACCCTTGGCAGACTCGATGAGCTCGAGTACCTCAAGTACCTCGTAGCACAAATAAACGAGAAATTCACGCGCTCTAGGAGAAAGCAAAGGTTGTCGTTCCACCTCGGAAGACTCCCGCTCAACAGCTTAGGACTATTCTTATTGGTTCTCCTGGTGCCGGTTCCTGTCGCTGTCGTTTGAATACGTGGAAGACGGTTCTATGGTCTGTGATACGTGGGCTGAACACGGGGAAATGCGTAGTCTCCCATAGCCAAACCCATAGAAGGAAGACAGTCGTTCCGTCGTATTGGAAATGCGTGAACTGAATACAGGGAAGGAAACACAGGCCCCGCGGATACGTGACGAGTTCCGTGTCTGCCACTGCCTCGCGATGGGCGATATGCTTCGCGGCAAACGTTATATTTTTAGGGCACAACTATCACCCTGACCACCGAAACTGCTCAACGGTATGAGGGTGATATCGCCGGTGTTACCCTCAAAGACATCGATAATTGGCAGTCTGGTCCTGCTGACGCTAAGATACTGGTTCTCAATGGCGACTGTGAGTACACCATATCAGCTTCCTGTTCCCCAACAGGAAGTTGATTCCACCAAATCTTTGATGCTGACCTCGATACTTCCTGTGCACTAGCTTTTCGAACAGATGCGGATATCAACAAGAACAAGTCTGCGAACGGGACCTATACAAGCTTGGCAGCCATCTGCTGCTGCAACCTCTCCGCCTCCGACAGCGACGCATCACGAGAGTGCCGGCGATGAGGCTACCTTTGGCCTGGGCTCGAGCGCTAACATATCTTAGGATCAATTCGCGGCCAACGAGCAAATGTTCGGCGTCACTACTTCTTATGATTGGGAGGTTTACACCACTAAGTTGGATCGGACGGCTGCTGACTATAAGGAGAAGGAGCGTAAGGCTCAGCGTATTACTAGCGAAATATTGAATGTATGTCTGAGGCGCCGTAGGTTTATTTCAATTTGATTCTTTCAACACGGTGCTATAAACAATTCTCATATAGCAGAGGAGAAGAATGAACGTTGACGATAGCGGTATGAACGAGGAAGACAAACGCGTCCATCGAGTGTCCGGTCCGGTTTTGGTCTTCTAGATGAGGGACTGCGGTCCGAGGACAGAATGCTTGCATCTCACCAGGCGCTCGTTGGGCGCTCGCAAACACCAGGGCGCTGCGCCAGCCTTGGTAACAAGCCTTCTCCTGCGCCATCAACATCATCGGCTTCCAATAAGATATGTAACCATCATAAAACAGAGCCATTTAGGTTGCAAGCGCGAAAGAAGCCGTTAAATCAGTGTTCGCTGAGGTTGGCTGAGGTCTGCTTATAAGCACCTTAAGCTGATTGGCGCAAAGCCAAAAATGTCGAATGCATACCGAGTTATCATAAATTGATGATGCGGACCGACAACTGAGTACTTGAGTCAGAGTATGTATACAGAAACGTGAATGAACAGCTAAACTATGAACATACGAATCATGGGTGAAGTAAGTAAGATGCTACTGAGTGTATACTGAAAGCTCGATCTTTTTTAATAGCCCCTTGAGCGTGTTGCTACTCCGATTGCAATGGTGCTGCAACCAACCCTCCATTTCATGTCTGATATCAACAAGCTCCTCGCACAGGGGCAACTTGCCATCCGGACGCACGAGGCCAGGATTAAGCAAGAGATCGAATAGTTTCATCCATAAGTTATTCTGCCAGTAGCGCTTAAACGGCGTCGTGATCTTGTAAGGGGGTTGGGGCGTGATGGATGACGTTTCGATGTATTTGCCGAACAGCATGCAGTAGATGATGCCAGCGAGACCAAAGTAGTCGGTCTGATATGTCCAGGGGCGGTGCTCTCTTAGCTCAAAGCAATCTCGTGCATCTGTTGGCCAATCACCCGTAAACTGTTGGTTGTGAGGAAAGAGGGACGTGTCCAGTGTTCGCCCGAAATCGATGACTTTAATGCCCTTGTATTTCCAGCCACAATCACCAGAGGGCTGGTATAGGCTTGAGAGGGCAGATGCTCCGCCTGGGACGTCTTCGAGACGTAGAAGGCAGTTATCGATCTTGAGATCACCGTGGATGAAGCCTGCGCTGTGCATTCCTTCGAGGAAGCGCATGATCTCGATAGTGAAAAACATGACAAGCAGCTCATCAAGGCATGCCCCTTGCTGCGAGATACCAGTAGTGCCAGCACGGTTGACGATGTCGAGTAAGGTGCCTTGTGGGCATAGCTGCATAAGCAGGTGGCTTTCGTCGCGATACGCGTAGAGGGTATACGGTAGGACGAGGGAGCGGCGGAGTGGCTCGGGGAGTGTGCGGTGGATTCTGCGTAGGACGTGGAATTCCCATAGGTTCCGAGGCTTCACGACTTTGAGGGCAAGCAATGAAGCACTGTCCTCGTCTTCGTCCTCCTCATCGAAGTCTTCGTCTTCGTCATCTTCGTTCTTGGACGAAACATCTCGAGCTGCAAATACTGCCCCGAAACCGCCTTCTCCCAGTTTATCCACCACTTTCAGTCTCTTTCCTTCTAGGGTGACCATAAACGCATCGTCATCGAACCCCTTGGGGCTTGAGCCGCTCCCTCGCCTGCTCTTCTTGGCCGCGAACTTCTGCAGACCCTCGAACATACCTGAGTCCTGTCCTCGCAGGTCGTGGAAATCTTCGTCTGCAGGCAGGATGGAAAGCAGCGTGGACATGATTGCAGGGTCGAAGGGATTGCATGGATTTGATGGTCTGAAGGCAGACACTACTGCTAGAGCGTCTGAGAGACTGAGCGTCCCCGTGCGCTCCTCGATCACTTCCAGTTCTGCTGGGTGGTATTGCGGGACCGGTCCTGGACGGTCATAGGAAGCGAATGATGAGTCCGACTCGTCCCCGTCGTGCACGTATCCTCGCTCACGTTCGTCTTCCTCTCTCAGCTCTGCGGCGAGACGTTCTGCAGCCTCGACTGCACCATTCTCACCCGGCGTAGGGAACCCGCGAGTGCTAAACTCAAAGGTACGTTCCGTGATGGGCGTCATCACGTTAATCCTGCCGAAGCGACCTCCAAGAGGCTGCGGTAGCTCCTCCTCATACTCTTCTTCGAATTGGTCGCTGATGCTTGATGATGAAGAAAAGGGTACATCGGCTTCTGCCTCGATATAACCATCCTCAAAAGGCTCGTCGCTCGAGGAGAAGTTCTGCTGAGGGTCATCTGCGGGTTCACTGGATTCATCAGTGTAGGTCTCGGACGCCGGTGTCTCTGGCGCTAGAGGAACATTATGTTCCACTTGGTCTTCAGACGTGACAACGGCATTGTTATCCACGAATGCTTTGAACGTGCTCGGCTTCGGGGTGAAGACGTGCCCTGCATTCTCACTCCCTTCATGCGATGGTGGGCGACTGAAGACCTTGAATGGCGTTTTGGAGTCGACGAATGCAACGAATGGCGCTGCCTCCGACTTGGAAGCAGGAGGTTGAAAGACACTTGCGTTCTCATTTAGAGGGCTAGCCTTCGTCCCTTGTGAGTTGGGTCGGGTGAAGGGCTCTTTCTGAGATACAGGGGTGAACACGCGCGAGAAAACATTGTGTTTGACATTCTCGTTTTCTCGCCCCGAGTTTTCTTCGGAGATGGCTTTGAGGGAGGTGGAAGGTTTGAAAGAGGCAGCGGGAGTGCTGTCCTTTGTTGTGAGAGCACGCCGACCCATGTCAGGAGTGACGAATGTTTGTTTTGGGGGTTCGTCCACAAATGGTTTGAACTACCAGCAGATTTAGCATCGAATGAGAAAAATCAGTGTATGCGTACCTTTGCTGCAGGAGTACTATTGTCCTTGCGATTTGCGTTCTCGTCCACGAAGGGCTTGAATGCACCTTTCAAGAATAGAACTACAAATGAGCCCCAAGGACAAAATGAATATGCACTTACCCGGTGTCTTAGCGTTCTCGTTCTCCACATGGACAGCAGGTGGTGATTGTCTTGTTGCAGGTGTCATGGGCTCAATCCTCTTCACTGGCGCATGCTTGCTCCCAGGTACCATCCGTTTGACGGTCTTATCTGGGGAGTTATACATTCCAAACACATCTGCCAGCGCCTCTTTCGTATTGATCGTGACTGTTGGCTCTCCTACAGTCACCATGCTCTTGCGCTTCCCGTACCCCATGTTCTGTGTGCTTCGTGTGCCGTCGTCGTTGAAGTTCACTCGGATGGAGTCGCGTGATTCTGAAGGCGGAAGTGAGCCCCACTTCTTGTTGAGAAGTCCCATGGAGCGTGCGCGCACTTCAGCAGCGCTGTATTCGACACCATCCTCAGTGAAAAGCAGTGAGAGATTGAAGCGTAGCTTCTCTGGGCGCCTCCCTGGGACAGGAGGAGCGAGCATCGGGGCATAACGACCATGAGCTCTAGGACTTGATGAGGAAGCTTGTGGAGCACTAGATTTAGAGGATGATGATGGGTTTGAAGTACTCGAGGACGATGAGGGTTGCGGATCGTAGTTTTTGAAAGGATTCCTGCGAAGAGCATCGATTTCTTTGGACCCACTTGGTTTGGAGGTGATGGGTGTGGGTTTGGACGAGGAAGGGTTGCCTTGGAAATCGCGATAACGTTTCTTCAGCCTCTCGATTGGACGAGCATTACGGGTGATCCCGATACGGAACACCTTGTCCGCCTCGGTGTGTCTAGATCATGCAGATAAATGGTTCACCCAACTCGCACTACACGTTCCGGCATACAAGCCACTCACCTTCCCTCCTTTTCCAGTGCCCCAGCATACTCTTCATAGAGTAGTGCATACACGCATCCGATGTCGTGCTTTACGAGATATGAGTAAATTATGGTCGGTCTCTCGACTTGCTTCGCATACGCCGACCAGAGTTTCAGATATCTGAGATCGCCCTTGTACCTCAGATCATCCTTGAACCGTCTCGTGCTCTCCTCCAGCAGCTCAAGGAGACCGGATGTTATGTCATCTGCAGAATACTGTTGTATGGTCCATTTGACAAAATCGTCGTAGGCAGCGAGCGGGTCTTCGTCTTCCTGGAGGGCCTCGGCGATGCTAGCGCGATATTCCTCTTTTTCTTGATCGAGCTGAGGGTTGCGAGCGGGCGCCATTGCGATTTTGTGGTGGCGACGGTCGTGTGCACCGAAGGCAGCAGTGACAACGTTCGCGGTGTGCAGAACCTTTGTTGAGGTGTGTTTACGTCGCCGAACGCGACGCGTTGGGATCACGTGGCACAAAAACTCCCTGCATTCATTGATTAGTGACGTGTGGTCGTTCAGGAAGAGTGCCAAATACTGAGGCTGGAAATGTGTTTAGGCCATCACGTAGAGAAGGTGTAGAGTTAGTTCGCCGAAAATGCACCATGCCAGCTCACATGAGCAGTAACAGAACTCATGTATTACTTGCCGCAATACACATCGAATATCGTAAGTACCCAGCCAATATCAAGACAGCGTTGGATCCTTCATCAAATGGCCCAACACCCCTCCCTCAACACTCGTCTCCCATAACTCCACCTTTGCACGCTCAATCTCTCCGACAATTTGTCGCCGACGTTCCCGTGCCTTCTGGAGAATATCTTCTTTATGAATCGCCTTGACGCCAGCGCGACGAGAAACGGTAGGGGTCGATTTGTGTGTGGATTGAACAGACGATGCGCGAGAAACTTGAGTAGATGATGGTTGCAATGACGAGAAATGAGATGGGCCAGCCTGAGGATATGGCGTGTGTGTTGTCGGCGGGATGTATATGTGTGAGGGTGCAGAGGATGGTGGTGGAGGTTTAGCAGCGAACTGCAGTAACATTTTGGCAGCGGCCACTGAATCTACACCATTCGCGTGAAACAGGTGAGCAAATTTAGCGATCCAACTACTATGAAACAATATACCTTGGTCACTATATGCAGGTGGGGTGAGGGCTCCATCAGACGAATCAGTGGATGTGAATGGAGAGTGAACGAGTGCGGGAAGCTGGGAAAGTGAATTGTATGTGGCTGATGGTGGAATTGAAATGGCAAGAAGTGCAGGATCAATGGTGCAGTCGGGAATTATATGCTGAAAGGTATTGGTAGTTGTAGGTGATGCAGGAGATGGTGACAGCGTGCATCTCGAGGATTCAGAGGTGTGTATGGATAACTGCGAAGAATGTGGAACCTGATCGACATCAATCGGAGATGGATCGGATACAGTCTTGATCGACTCCAAGAGTTGTGTAATCAGATGCCTCGCCCGTTCCCGCTCCCATGTAGCGTGATATGCCTCAGGCCCCTCACCTTCAGGAAATGGATAGGGCACGTCCCAGTCCACCGCACCAGCAGGGACGCTTGTGAGTTTGCGACGTTTCAACGGGGGTGGACCGGTCGTGGTGGGCACACTGCATGGGGGCGAAGATGGGTGATGATGGGTAGATGATGGATATGTAGACGCAGCTGGAGAATTTCCCAGGAGTTTCAAGATGCTTGATAACACGGGAGATATACTTTTCTGTCTCATGAGGGTTGTGATGGCATCTTCTCCGTTGAGAGGAGGGAGTTGACTAGGATCGAAATAAGGCAGGTGAGAGAACTGTGCGACGCGCGTTGGGTCCAATTCCTCGACAATGATTGGATTGGAAGGCGTAGACCCCCGTTGTTGTGGAAGGCTGGTGGGCTTCACGTTCCCGACGAGGCCCGCTATGCCCAATAATGCTTCCTGGTTCCGCAAGAAATTAGAAGGCACCGGCTCATCTGGACCTGGGAGCGGAATGGGAGGGGGCGGAGGACGGGGTATGGAAGATGTTGATTTGGTTATTTTCCGTTTTCCCGCAGCCCTCGAAGAGGGACGAGATACCGAAGGAGCTCCTGATGACGCAACACGAGGCGATTGCGTCAAATGCAAGCTATTTTGCGCTAGCTGCAGTGGCAGGGCATGTGAGGGAGGAAGCTCGCGAGTGCTAAAGCCACCAAACGGCAAGGCTGGTAGTTCGGCTGGTAGTTCAGAACATGACATATGGGAACCAGGAAGTGCAATGGTCCCCACATTTTGTGTTATGCCTGTGCCCCTCTCTTGGGCTGCTTGAGCTGGTAACGCTGGTGACCTACCTCTAACTGGAGACGGGGGCGGCGAGCCAAAGAGAGAGTCTTCGTCATCTTCAAACATGCTGTTGCACAGGTTGTGTGAGTTAATGGGAGGCGAAATTTAGGGGGAGGGACACCTTAACAAGGCTGCGATGAATATCGGATAACTCCAGATGACACGAGGTAATCGTGTTCAGGGTTATGACTGGATAAGCAACGCGATATTAGGTCAATTGTCAAGTACTCCAAGTAGTTCGGCTCACAAGCATCAGATCATTTCTAAAGCAAACTGGAAAATGTCGAGCTCAACGTTGATATCGATGGCGACAACATTTGAAAAGTAGCCTTGGAAAGAATTTCGCATCGATGAAACATCACCAAACACAATATGATCACGTGGCACCTACAGCTAACGCTGAAGCGTTCAACTCAGAACCTGCAGCATTCAACCTATTTTTTTCCGAGCGAGCATTGGACTGATAACGCGAAAAATTATTCATTTTAATTCTTGGTCTGTGACACCAGCCCCCTCCTAGTCTCCCCTCGAAGGAAGATAGTCATTGATTTGATTTTACGCTCGAAGAAGGACAGCTATTGGATCAGGATTTCGAATAGAAAACCTAAGGAAGACAGACACGAGGGTATAGTGTCATAGGTTTCGCCATGATTCCTGCAACGATACTCACTGCTCACTAGCTTCAATCGAAGATTAGACACATGATAATTCATAACACACGCATATTGAAGGACTCGCGCGGGGCTATAATCAACCTGTATAATGCTGCTGGGGCTCGCGTCGAACATATAGTGAGATAACTTCATTGCCCGTCCGTAGCATCTGGAAGCCTTCCAAATGGTAGTGAATGCGTAATTTCCTGATGTACTCAAATTCGCTGTCGCGCACAGCGGCGAGTGCCAGGCACGAAGGTTACAGCGCTGAAGTGGCAAGACGTGGCTCGGCTACATATTGCAGGGGTCGCCGGTTAGTGGGGCAGAACCATTGAAGTCAGTTCTTATCTTCCTTCTATTGGGTCTGGCTAGGGGAGGCTAGTTCTGCCGGCACAGCTACTGGGAAATAGGTTCTGGACTTGCTGCGTGGAGTTCTGCCAAGTTCCGCCTAATATATCAACACCAGTACTGCCGGTATTCATATGGTGTTGTTGGTAGAACCGGTGCTGCCATTCTACCAATATTAATGACAATTCAGTCGAAGTTCGTCGGCAGAAGAAGGGGGGATTTCAGGCAGATATGTTCTTCCTACATCGCCATGAAGAACAATATTCAGCACATAAAAGCAAGTTGTCTTCCTACTGTCCCCTTCAGATTTATTTGATCCCATATCACATCCTCACAAGCGATGCGTTTCTACTTTGTCCTCGCCGTCGTTACTGCTTTGGTGGCATCAATATCTGCAGCGTCAATACCTGCCATTGACCCTGCCACTGGCGTAAAATGTCCTTTATATTGCCATTATTTGCAAGTGTGCTGCGTTGGGACGCAATGCAGACCCAGTGTGAGTACTATGAGTAGTTTGAATTTAACCACATGGCTCACCGGCGTGGTAGATATATGGCGCTGATATGTGTATGTCCTAAGCCAGTGGCGTGTCGTGATGGTGAACTACAGTGAGTCGTGTTTCTGCTTTCATGTCGGTGCAGTATGGTTGATGGCACGACCCGTCAGTTACTAGTAGTTTGTTGCTGAGTTGATCAATGCGCTTGCTATTTCACTGCCGCTCGAGCAATGGAGATATTGGAATAGGGGAAATCTCGGACACTTGAATACATACAATATGACGTGTACGACGCAGTTTTGTAGTCTCGTCGTAAGCTTGAACATAGAAGTTCTCGATGACACCACGACCTTCGATTACCCCCGCACCTCAGGCAGCACTTCTCCGAACTATTTAAAGGGTCTCAGACGGTGTTATTATGTTAGAGTTAATGGTCTAAGAGACCCGGCCTCGCCGATGTTCTAATATAGCACATACCTAACACTTATGCCTGGCTTTATCCAGAATCCTCCTGCAGCGCCTCCCTCGACCCTCACCGGTCTCCCCTTGATCCTCTGGATGCCCCGTACATCCTCTGCGACGCTCGGATACCTCGCCGACCTCACCAGCATCCCGTCCTGGCCAGGCTGCCAGACTTACCCTTGTGGAAACAAGCCGTGGCCAACGACGAGAAACACTGAAAAGACACGCGAAGCTAAACAGAACCACGTTCTGGATTGCGGATGACGACGACGACGGTAGGTACAAGCTAAGGAGAAGACGTGTCTAAGGCGAGATGAACATATGTGCATACGTACGTAAGCTACCAGGCTGACGTCATGCATTCATGCCTTCCTTAAGTGATCGTTTCAGTTGTTATACGCGCCGCTCAGCTACTGACATTAGTACTTGTCTTAACCAAGCCTGCAGTCTCTCTACCCTTAAAGGAGGACTCGGATCTGCTAGCTTCGAGTCCTCGAGAGCATCCAGGCGTGAAAGAAGCGGATACATATAACAGACTTATTTTGTGTATCCGAGACAGTGATGGAGAGAGAATAACTGCTCAACACCGACGAGACAGACGTTACTCAAGTACTCACCCCTTGCGCCTTGTAATGCTAATAGCCTGCCGGTACAAGTTCTGCAATACTTCCTAGTCCGATGAGCTAGCATCCTGAGCGGCACATCGGGACAGCGAGTCGCGTTTCTGCTTTCGCATTGCCACCGCGTTGCGGTTGATGCATGATGGGCCATGGCACAACGAGTTGTCCTTTGCTGACTTGGCCAATATGGTCATTCTTGGAGTCTCGACAAATTTCACCGCTGCTTGGGTAATAGAGGTCCTTTAATAGAGGAAAATACTCAATATGGGGCACTAATGTTCAAAGCGTTGCATGCTGGCACCTGTTACATAGAGTCCTTAGACTTAGCATTCGAGTAACTCAATGTCACGTGATGCCACAAATAACGCATCAACAAAGGACTCGTCAGATGGCGATTTCTTGCTCCACCGTCTCCAAGGACTACCAGCACGAGAGAACTGCGGTCCGCCTTGCAGATTGCACAAGCATGCTGGCACATGAGTACAAATTGCTCTGCTTGGCCAATTTTCCCAGAGCTCAAGCTGCACCTCCGGGACGTGCGCAACCCAAGCCACGTAAGGTAAGCTGCTAAGTTTTGATTCTCTTCTCATACTCGCAGAGAATTTGACGCATATACGCGCATATACTCACTCTAAAATGCCTGATGTTATTCTGAAGGTTTTATTAGGGCTGGAGGTAAGTCAACTAGTTGTTCAGCCACGTCCAAGGTAGTGGTTTGACTGAACACCAGATCTGCCTTCTCCGCTTTAAACTTGACCTCAAGCCCCCGAACATTGTCTCCTCAGTGTCAGCTACAGCTGTGGCACTCTTACCATCTACACTGTTAGCCCGGAAAATTATGATTGCGATATTATCGTCGCCGCCTCCATAGCTGACTCGGAAAAGTACTATCGCGATGTCGACGGTATCACCTGTCAAGAACCAAGTCCAGCAACGAGTCCCTCAAAACGGCGCTTGCTCCAGATGAGATGTGTCTCGAGATGGTCAGGGTAAGTGTTTCCCTCTGAGTTCTTCTGGCTCCGTGACGTGGATAACTTACTATCCTTACACAGACCACATTACCAGCGAAGACCCACCAGACACTGCAGAACTCTACGGCACTCCGAGGATTCGGTCTCCAAACTTCACTACCATAGTTATGGACTGTAATATATTTTCATGTCAAATTTTTACCACATGCCTGTTACCTGGAAGATATAATGTGCGACACCGAATCTTGGAAATTTGAATCCTACTATGACAGTGAATTTCGATCAGACATTGATTTTCACTCTGACACTGATCTTCGCTCTAGCATCAAATTCATTGTTTGTCAATGAGCGATTCAGTGTCGCCCAGCGACACTGATTTTCATCAACTGATGATTATCTTAGCAACAATTCCACCATTGTTCCGAGTGTGCATGTTTTCGTCGGACAGGATGGCCAGTTCCGTGAAGTTATCGGTGATGATTCTGGTTGGTGGGCGGCCACCAGGATGCTTTTCGTCAAGCATTTTAAGATGTCCCAAGTGCAGGGGGTATGCACGACAGGACGGTACAAATGATACAGTTCAACACACGGTAAAAACATATAGCTCCGAGTTTGCCGGCAATTGCCAGAGTGCCAAAACTGGCGCGGCGCAATGGCGTAGTATTGCCAACAACACTATAGAATGTGCTGAAACTGCGAACTTGAGCCCAAGGATTGCAATAGCCTCCTTGCGATCTATCTTCGCTTTAAAACCACCCTTCACCCATTGATCTACTGCCCGTTTGCCAATAATCCCACTACGCACGAGGGTAGCTGTGATAGCCCTTACACCAACAATAACTGGGGTTGCCATGAGGAAGTGAAGGAAGAGAGCTGGTGTGGCTATGCGGAATTTGATCAGCTGTAATGCGATTGCCGCGTTTCTTGAGAAAACCTATCACCGCCTCGATTGCTTTCTCAATTTCTCGCTGTTGTTTAATGTCATACCTGGCATTGCATGCGATCTGGTCGCCCATACAAAACTGAATAGCGCTGAATTTCTAGAAACTAGTAGTAAGTGGGATACTGGACACACAAAGTACCCCAGATCCAGCGTGCTTCGTTCTTACACAGCTTAGCTCTCGCCCCCCTTTCACTGGCTTGCTGTAAACGCCGATTCCCATTCATTGATAGTAGACGCTCATCCAACAATAAATAGCCGTGGCTATGAACCACGTTGCTTCCTCCTCCCTTTCGACGCATTGGCATCGTGCGTTTACTCCCTATTGTCTCTTCCTGTCATGTCACATACGATCATCACTCTCCAACAGAACATCTATAATGCTGATCATGATCCCATACTTGTCGAAGACGTTGACGAGCACAGCGTTTCTCTTCCAGCCTTGCAGCGCTTTATCAACTCAACTCAAGGCCGCGCCGTAGGAGTGGCAGCCACGTATCGCACTGACTGTACTATTTCGTGTCTGGCATTTGCAACGCTCACTCGAGCGCTCGTCGTCCACTTTTTTCCTTCGAAAAAATCGAATCCGCAGCGGAAGAAGAAGAAGAAAGCCCAAGAAGAACAGCCTCCGGTTTCCCGAGGACGCACCCTTATACAAGACCAAATTCTATGCGACGCTGTCATCAAACTCTATGGGTACAGGATAGACAGGATCGCACTTGGTCTCTTCCTGGACCTTTCGCTTCGGATCAATGCTGCAGTTGACATCCTGTCGGTGTCTAATACTAAGAGCGGCCGGCGCTCCCTCCAGGCAATTATGGACGCCTTGGGAGGCGAGACCTTACTTCAGAAGGCCAACGTGAAAACCCTCTTCGGTCATAGAGGAGGGCATGCGGCAACGAACGACGTGGTGCTCCAGGCTTGGGCAGCATGTCGCGCTGCCACACTTCCTCGCATGACGAAGAGATATGCTGCCCTATCTCGAATCGCTACAGACACAATGCCAGATCTTGTATGTAATCTTCGTCACGTCTTCGACATATCCTCTTCCTCTAATTCACAATGTAGCATCTGAGTGCCCTGGCAAAGATCTCTCGTGACGCTGAAGTTTTGGAGTCTTCGAAGCCGACGAAAGTCGTCAACAATGTTAAAGCAGACTTCCAGTCCAAGAAGGGTAGCGTCAATCTCGAGTGCACTCACTTCCGTACTCGTATCATGAGGGGTAGCGATCAGGTGTGTAAATTCACGAGACGTCATGCCACCAACTCTAAATGTTCGAACTGACAGGTCGTCCGCATCGAAACGCTGGTCGGAGATAAGAAATCAACGATCACTGGTCGCGCATTGCAACCAAAAGGAAAACAGGCTCAGATTATCGTTAACAATAGTGGTGTACAAGCTTCGGGGAAGGTTCTCTCCGTGACCACTATCGGGAAAGGAGACCTAACACCCGCTGAATCATACAAAGAAGATGTAGTGCTAAAGGTGCTTCAAGGCACCATCACATTCACCGAACATCCATTCTTCTGTAGTATCTGGGCACCGACGTTAAACGTCCCATGGCCGGCTCCTCAGAAAACTCGCAGCGCGCCGTTCGTGTACTATCCGAGCGGTTCATTGAACCCCTCACAGCACATAGCAGTGGAGCGAATTCTTTCGCAAGCGAACAAGGACCGTATGGTGCTTATTCAGGGTCCTCCTGGCACTGGCAAAACAACAGTCATAGCGGCTAGTGTCGACAGTATCATCAAGACTGGCGATATGGAGAGTACGGTTTGGCTTGTGGCGCATTCGAACGTCGCTGTCAAGAATATCGCAGAAAAGCTTGACAAGGTTGGCTTCCGTGAATTCAAACTTCTTGTATCCTATGATTTTCATTATGACTGGTATGTCGCACCTTCCTCGGCTCCCTGTCGTCCTGAAGTTTCGTATTATAGGCATGAACACCTCTACGAGCGACTGGAACATTGCTTTATACGATCCGACGAGATCAGTGACGACATCGCTGGTGATTCCCGCCTTTTGCTCGACGCAAGAGTCATACTTTGCACGTTGAGTATGATGTCTAATCTGCGTATCGAATTCATTACTGCTGTCGTCCCGGTACAAACCGTGATATTCGACGAGGCAAGTCAGATCGAAGTAGGAGACTACCTGCCGCTGCTTCAGCGTTTCCAGCACAGCCTCCAGAAGATGGTGTTCATCGGTGATGACAAGCAACGTGAGACCCGGGTATTTGTTCCATCGACCTGTACTGACTTAGATATTAGTGGCGCCATACGGCCAAGATGACTTTGGGAAGCTACAAAGTATTTTCGAGTTCCCTCACCTCCGAAAGCGGGCGCACTTTTTGAATACCCAGTGTAAGCTCTTATCTTGACCTTATCTCTTCGTCATCATCTCAACTTGATATCCAGACCGGATGCCAGTTGTCATTGGCAACTTCATTTCCCATCATGTATACGCCAATAAATTGAAGACCTCGCACGGTAACTTCAGCAAGACAGTATGTCATTTCCTGGATGTCAAACGGGGCCAGCAGAAGAAAGCGGGACACAGCTGGATAGTACGCTTATCCCCCGCGCAATCGTGATATGTCAGCCTCACGTCTTTTGCATCAGAACATACAAGAGATAGCCGTGATTATCCACCTCGCCCGTATATACGTGAAGCAGGGCAAGCAGTACAGGATCCTCACCCCGTACGACGCTCAGAGGACGGAAATCGAAAAGCAGCTTAAATTAGCAGAGCTCCCTTGGGCAGATAAGTGTTTCAACGTGGACTCCTTCCAAGGCAAGTTGTTTCTTGACATGCTACAGGATCTGGCTGACGTTCGCCCCAGGAAACGAAGAAGATCACATCATCGTGTCTTTAGTCCGTTCCAAGGGCATAGGGTTCTTGAAGAACGTGCGCAGGACGAACGTCATGCTGACGCGCTGCAAGGAAAGCATGATCATTTGCACGAGTCGTGATTTCGTGACGAAGGGTGAAGCAGCAGCCACGCTGGTCGGACGGCTTGTTGCTACCATGGGCCCAGAGGCGTGGCTGGATGCTCGTGACGTTATCAATGGCATCTTAAAATTGAACTAACGTGGACTATTTACATTGTACTTCTTGGATGATCTTCTGACAGGGACTGGATCACTCTTGTGTATTGCACTGCATTTTGTACTATTATATGGTAATAGATGTATGTACATGCTGTACGTCACGGTCTACATAGCAAAGACTGGTTCTAGCTCTGTACATATGCATATGGGAAATTGTATTATGCGCGCTCGATGCTCACAGGACAGTCAGCGTTAACCTCCACGGAGGCTACTTCGGTGCTAAGGTCTGACACTGACCACCCGTCAAGAAGTCCATCGCTACTTCGAGAGACTGAAGCCTTCCGAGGTAGTAATATGATATCCACAATCGTGACGGCGAGTCACATTATATACGGCGCACCGACGCTTAGAAGGTGTGGGCAGAGCCGATGGTTGGACACTGCTGCCAGTCTGGCAGCTATTGACGAGCACTGGGATTGAGAATACCGTATAGTCGAGGGAGAGCTCGACATGATTATATGCGTTGGCGTTGAGCTCAGCTGCGGGTATGTTCTCCATATCGTATGATTATGCCAGTCGGATAGGAGCTTAATGCGCACATGACAGGCGGAGCGCATGTAGTCAGATAGACACGTCAACATCAGGGAATCGATCTGCTATAACAGTGAATGCCAGATACACGCTACACAAAGGAACAACTATCTTCCTTCGACTAATCTATGTTAGGGAGACAACGGATACGGTTCAGGCTGATCGATGATGAGCCAAACAGCGCGCATAACAGAATAAATTGGACGCGGCGAGTCGAGGCCGACAATCTGTGAAAAACTGTTTGATCCTCCCACTGGAGTTCTGGAGCTAGACAAAGAGCTGGAGATAGTAAGGAGGTTCTATAAGAGTGTGGGTGACGACATTGGACAAAGCAAAAGCGGCGCGGGGAGATTGTGATTCCGATAGACAATGATACTCTCGGAAGGCCGCTCAAAGGGACTGAGAACAAGGAACCACGAGGACTGCTTCGAAATTCCAGCCTTCAGCAAGCGCCCGTAGTCATGAGGCTTCTTCCGCCTCGTTGCAGAATTCCAATCGAGTCGCACTTTATTCGTTACACATTGCCACTCACCAACATCACCCTTCAAAGCCATCATGCCCTCAGCAACAAGGCTGCTCTATCAAAATCTTGTGCAAGTCGACAGCGGAACGTTGACGGCCCACATTATTTCTGAATCAGACTTGATCGAAGAACAAGATCAGTTACGCGCTCTGCTAGAAAGGAACGAGGGACGTGCCCTTGGCCTTGCTGGCGCATATTCATCCACTGGAGAGCTCGCGATGCTTGCCATCGCCGACACGTCCACGATTATCATTATCGAATTCGTGTTGAAGAAGACCAGTCTCACCAAGGGCAACGAACACGATGGAAAGCCTGCCACACCCGCCAGTGAGGTGGACAACACCGCCGCTCGGCTGTTTTTATCCGATAATCTCCTCCGCCGCACCGCCGGGTTTTTATATGCATTCAATATCGCTCCCATCGCCCTTGCGCTCTCTCAGACGCTCGGCCTTCGAATCGCAAATGCGATTGATATGCAGTGCGCAGGACCGAAGCTAACACGCGCTCCGCTCGCTACTGTTAAACAGGCCGTCGGTGATCTTCACCACGTATATGATGATAATATCAACACTGCATTTTGCAATGATACCATCAGCGAATCTCACCCCGCTAAGAAGTTAACTACTCTACATGCACTTCATCCATGGATTGCACTTCGTGCATGGATTGCACACTATATCTCGCAGCTCTCCTCGATGGAAGACCGTTTGGCGCAAGTGCCCCCAGTGGACACCTTTCGACTTTCTGACGAGGTAAGTCACCGCTTTCTGCGCGAATGACGGCACTGATCACAATCACAGGCACTAGAGTTCCTCTCTAAGAGCTGGAAGGATTCATACCAGCTCGAGCAGAAGAAGCCGACGGAGGTCACGCGCGAGTTCACCACTTCCGTCGATGACCAGACCCACAAAATCCACGCCCAACCAGACCGATACCAGGACAAACTTCGAAAGGGTCAACAACAGGTATGTCATTCGCGCGCCGTGCCTTACCTCACGCCTAATTTTATTAGCGTGCCTTAATTGAAATTGGCGAGGGTCACGGCCCGGGGCGGGGCTTCACTGTCAATGGTCAGGTTGCCAAGTCTCAGGGTCGCGCCGCCCAACTCGCTACTGGCACCACCAATCTCAGCCTCGCTGGCAAGATCATCGGCACAATCAAGATCATTGGCCGTGATGACCCTACCCAGGCTGAGACCCAGCGTGCTCAGAAGGTTCTTGAGATCCTCCAAGGTCTCATCAACCTCGAGCACGAGAACCCATGGGTCCAGCTTATTTTCTATTCCTCTCCAAAGGATGACTTCCAATGGCCCCCTAGCTGGACGGAGGAAATGAAGGATGCAGTTCCTGTCAAATTCCGGGCTGACCATGTCAGTCGTCCCCTTAATTCATCCCAGACCAAAGCTGTGAAGCAGATGCTCCAGCAGTTGGATGATGAACGAGTTACTATCATCCAGGGACCCCCTGGAACTGGTAAGACCACTGTTATTGCCTCTTTTGTTCAGACTGCCATTGCCGGTGGACTCTCTGGCATCTGGCTTGTTGCTCAGTCCAATGTTGCTGTCAAGAACATTGCCGAGAAACTAGCTGACTTTGGCTTGACTAAATGGAAGCTTCTTGTCTCAAAGGAGTTTTTTGAATATTGGTGAGTCCTTTCACTCTTGGATGCAAATCTAGGCACACTAACATACTCTAGGCATGAGCACCTCTATGCTAGGATTCGGGCGAATATCATTATCTCCGAGGACTTTGCCACACCAGGTTTGCTTCAAAAGCACCTCTACAACTGTCCGGTTATCCTCTGTACCCTTTCCATGCTCTCATCTTACATGTTTCGAAAGAATGGAGGTTTTATTGCTGCACCCCTGAGGATGCTTGTCATTGATGAAGCATCTCAAATTGAGATTGGTGACTACATTCCTCTCTTTACCTCCCACACCACCATTAGAAAGGTTTGTTTTATTGGTGATGACAAACAATGTAAGTCTTTCCCCTGCATGTCATTGCACATTCTGACATTTTCAGTGCCACCCTATGGTCAGGAGGATATCCAGGACCTCAAGAGCATCTTTGAGGTCAAGCATCTCAAGGATCACGCAATATTCCTCAATACCCAATGTAAGTTTTCCTCTAATTACCTCCCTGTTCTTGATTTTATTGTGTTTATTGTAGACAGGATGCCCCCTCAAATTGGGGGGTTCATCTCTGCTGCTATATATGATAGCCTACTGGAGTCAAACCCACAACACCCCATCACAAATGAGAGGATGGCTTGTCATTTTATCAACATTCCCAGCGAGGAACAGCCCCATGGAACTAGCTGGAAGGTGAGTCATGTCCTTTCAGTCATTTGCAGTTGATCAATCTCGTCACTCGTGCACAGAACCTTGGAGAGTGCCAAACTATCATCTGCATTGCTACCATGTTGCAAGCGAAGAAGAAGCACTTCCGGATCATCACACCTTATGATGCTCAGCGGAGCACAATCGAAGATGGGTTGAAAGCCCATGAGCTCGATTGGGAGAATAAGTGTTTCAATGTTGACTCGTTTCAAGGTTTGTCTAGTGACACAAATTGTGACCATCACACTTACTGTTCGTGGTTCATTCACGGCAGGTAATGAAGAGGATTACATCGTGATCTCACTCGTGCGGTCTACGGCGCTCGGATTCCTCGCTGATTTGCGCCGGACTAATGTCATGCTTACTCGGTGCAAAAAAGGTATGATCATCTGTACGAGCCAGAAGTTCATGAAACGGGCAGGCTGTGAATCCCTCGTTGGGAGCCTGTTAGAATACTATGATAACCACTGGGTGGAGAGGGATGAGTTGGAGAGGATTGATATGTAGACGGGCTTCCGAAGGCAAAGTTGCCATTCGAAAGGTTACTAACGGAGGTGATGAATCTGAACTGGGTGGTTTCGCGGTGATGCAGTTGGTTGTACAATACCTTGTACGATATCCATGTTTTTAAAGTTTTTCTTGGATTGAAATCTCGTTTCAATTGAGTCACAGTGGTGAATGGCGCGGTATGCGATAAGTAGGTATAGTTGTGCGGGGACAAGTCACGACATAGACATCCAATTTATAAATCGTGTAGAATTCGTGGAATGTTCGACAAGCTTCTGATGAATCGGCATGTTATCCGATCGCAAGTGATTATCTGCGGTCAATCAATCACCATCAGTAACAGGCCCTCGCGTTCATAAGCCAAGGCACGGACCTCGATCCACGCCATCAGGATCATAATCGGGCCTGCGCCCGCGTTTCTACCCCACCCACTGACTCATTCTTTCCACCTGTCAATTCGAGCTCTCCAGCCTCGTAGATCGCCCACATATCCAGGATTGTATCCGCGATATACTCCTTGAATTTGTTCGCGGAGGTGAGCGGGGATGAAAATCTGGACTCGACGCAGAATGTGATGCGATTCGGTGCTATGAGGTCTGTGAGGGGTGAGTGTGAGCTTGCGGTAGGTGTCAAGGGAAAGCGTGAACGTAAAAATTCAGAAATGAGCCGACGTCGGTCGACCTGGTCAACCGGCGGTGACATCGACATTAACAACGAACGCAGACGATAAACCATGTACAACCCCCGCTAATGTTCGACGACCCTGCAAAGCGATTCTGAAAGAGACAATTCATGCTCACAATTAATCCCATAACCATCCTCCCAGGGTGATCCAAAGCCCGTTCCTCGGAAGTTGTATCCAGCGCTCAAGCCACTGGTACTGAGTTTCCACTCCTGAGAGCGAGAGAAAAGCGGGTCGGTGAAGAGAGGGTGCGTCTGTTTTTGCGGGGGTATTGCCGAAGTGAAGGTGGTGCTTGAGCTCGAGGGAGAATCCGAGGAGGAAGCGGATGTGGATGCATCCACAGCGAGCCCTTCTAGCATCAGTTTCAGCCCTAATAAGTGCTTATCGATTCCACGTCCGGTTGCAGCTTCCCTCGTGCGCCTGTGCGTCTGGATGGCACGCTAGAGGAGGGGAAGAAGTACGCGGGGCTGATTAGTGGGTCGAACGTAGTAGACCACATGGAGAGGGAGATAAGGAAGAAATCCATAAGTCCCTTTGCCAATATTAGCGTATAAAATTCATTTGCCAATATTAGCGTATAAAATTCATTCACCTCCACCTCACGTTGGCCTCCCTCCGCCACACAACCAGCTCCACGTTCCCATTCCTTGGCAGCCTGCACAAAATCTAGCCCTTCCACACTCACACTCCTCACGCACTCTGTACGGCCAGCATTGAACATGCGCGTGAGCGCGGTCTCGTAGGTCGCTGTGAGGATCCCGCGTGAGCGGTACCAGGCGAGTTGAATTGCAAGTTGGGTGTAGGCGTCAGGTGGGAGGCGGGCTGATAGCGAAATGGTTAGTGACCTTTGCGGCGGAGGAAAGAAGGGACACAGCAGGGGGAAAATCTCGAGCTTCACCGATATAAGATTCAAACGTCCACCACAACACAAGACCCGCAAAAAAAACAACTCCAAAAGGGGAAAAACACCAGAAAAATGATATGGAATCGCAAACTCACCATTGCTAATCCAATCAGCGCCATGTTCCCCGAACTCCAAATCCCCTGCCTCAGAGTTATCAATTAAGGCCTGAGCCCGTCCTTCCGCTTCTCTAACTTGGGATTCAATCCGCTTGTCGGTCACCCAATCCAAATGAGTCCATCCCTTTTCACCATCGTCTCTCAAACGAGTTTCTTCTAAAGTAAGAGGGAGTGGCACAGGCTCTGAGAATGTTGAGGTGTCGATACCAGCAGCAACACTGTATTCAAAGACGATGCTGGGCACTAACGCATCGACAGGAGTTTGTTCGCCCATTGCACCAGTACGCGTATTGCGTTCCTGTGATAGGGTCAGGCACTTGTCGAACCATATGTTCCGAGCTTGGGGAGGGGAGCGGATGTTGTGGAGATGTGCGTGGAATTCTGCGTCGGAGTCTAATGCTGGGACGCTTGCTCGAGAGGATTGGGAAGAACTCAGCGAGGTAGGGGTTGGGTAATCCCATGGCATGGCGGTGTAGTGGTCGAAAGAGAGAGCCATGATAGACTCATCAACTGCGCGGAGGGTGGAGGCATTGTGGGTGAAAGGGAGAGCAGGTGTTGATAGTTCTGTTGGAGATGTGTTAATTAGTAACCGAACCAGCAACAAAGAAGACGAAGAATGCAACTACGCAGAAAGAAAATATAGAGCATACTGACCTCTGTCCAACGGTCTGTCATCCGACGTCAAGACGCCAATCGGTACAGCGCTTTCCCCGGCCTCTATTCTGTTGATGACATCCAGTGCTACCGCACGTATATGGCTTTCAGTGGTCTGTACAGGCAACGGTGTCCGATCATCCTCACAGACTCTTACGGTATACACAAAATCACATAACATGAGCGTGACGTCCTAGACATGCTCAGATACCGGATTCCTGGTTGCAAGGGGATTCGCTCCAGCTCTTGGCAAGCGACAGGTATTAGTGAGAAGCCAGACACCGGTGCGGGTGGTATCAGGGTCCGGATGCTGGTTGGGCATGCGGGCGCGCCAGTCGAGGACGCGATGCAGTATACACGCGGCCCGGCGCACCTGCCAGGGCTCTATACCTGATGCAGTGTCACCGCACAGAATGGATTCGGGTACGGAGGAATCATTAATGAATGTAGCCACCAGTTGGAATTAATGAGGAGTGAGGCACGCCATGAGAGGTAGGCGTAGGTCGTCCAAATATTATCGTCTAGCCAGTTGTGTGGCGAGCAAGTATCCAATTCTGCAGGCAGGGTGGGTTGGATTAATTTGCGTTGGATTAATGGAAGGACATACCATGGAGTTTGCGCTGGCAAATGCGACCGATGCCTTTCTCGAGGTCATCTGCCCATTGAACGCGTTTCGCGTAGCTGACGTCAAAGAGAGAGCGGCCACGTGCCTCGTCTTCACGCAGAAAAGGCTGACTGGACTGCAAGTGGGCGGCCCGTAGCGGTCCAGTGTCTTCCGGAGGTCTGGCGCGGGTAACCTCGGCAGTTTTGCCATCGTGCTCAACCCAGCACACCTCGATGAGACGATGAACAGGGATAACTTCGGGCGGTATCAGAGTGGTATACGGCCGCCTAACGATGTCCTTGAGATCATGCCAGTCGCGGCGGTGAGCAAAGTCAATATTCTCGTACACGTGACTCAATTATAAAATGATTTGACACGCGTATTGATTCAATGATTGCTTCTTAATCATAATGGGTGAACCCGCCGCACCTGCAAACGTCGTTAAATGGATCAATGAACAACATCCTCGTCCACTAAACTATCAATCAATGGTTTGCATTTACCTTTCCATTAATATTTATTCACCCGCAGGTTTGGCTTCGTGACTGTTGTTCATGGATTGCGGACTCCTACTCCCTTTCTCCAACCTCTACAACAGACTTTCCCCAGTTTAAATCACATGTAACTTAGTTTTTTTCAGTCTAGCCTCGCAGACTCGACCCTGCCAAATACTGGTCTCCCGCAAGACATCCATGCCATCAAAAGAGGTCGCGTTTCAGGTCCTCCCTGTCTCGTAGAAATTCGTGCCATCAGCGACGTTGCCCACACTGCATTTAGCTTGATGAACGTGAGGCAGAATCGCGTGGATCGAGCGGACTTAGCCGGCCTTGTGAGGGAGGGTCAAGAGGATGCAGAAGAGGATGAGGGCCCAGTCCCAAAATATCCGAGAGCTATTTTGCGTCTCGAGCTCACCGATGGTTTCACAACTGTCGAGGCTGTGGAATATCGTTCTATACCACAGCTTGAACTTGGCGTCACTCCGTTGGGGTACAAGGTACGTGTTGGTTGATCCCTTTGTGTCATTTGGAATTACGCGTCGTTAAAATTGTCAGGTCCATCTGTATACCCTCACGGCTCTATATACTGCAATAATGACTACTTTCATAATATTGTGTACTAGTATGTACATCCGCGCTCACCAAACTACTTTGAGCTGAGTTGTGACCAATTGCCGGCACAACTGGCAATTGGCGCACTGGCAAAACTTGGCAAAACTCCCAGACACATTGCATACTACTACTGATTATTACATCGACGAGATACCCTTCATGGTCAACAGAGACTGCACATCCCATGACAAACCATCCTCTGAGTCAGATCCCACCTGCTGAACATCATCTGCGAAAGCTGCGGGGATAATCCCTTTGTCAACCTGTTCCAGCTCTGTGATGTCGTACGCCTTTTCCGCCAAGATCTCGTACCCTTCCAGCTGGGGATCAATAGCTGATAGGAATTCCGCAATGCGTTGCTCAATCTCGTCAAAGGCAGCTGCAACCTCATCCTCTGTTGAGCTTTCCGGCCCCTCCAGTTCGTCGTCGACCTGGCTTTGGCTTGCCAGTGGAGGTGTCCATGTGAAATTTGCATTGAGATCTGTCGCCAGGTCCGTGTCAATTGACACTGGTATTCAATATCACCACTTCCCTCAGTGACTGCGAATCATAGTTTTATTGACGAAAAAGACAAAATACAATCGTCACCTAAAGTTCGTCAGATCTCATTAACGTAGCTTTTTATACACTCTCAGGCTCCTCGTCGGTCCCTGACAACGGATTCGAGCTGGCATTGACCTTGCTTCAAGATCTTAGGTGGCAATGGGCATTACGGATATCATCAGTTCGAAAGGGTGGATAGGTTCTTCCTACATCGCCATGAATAACAATATTCAGTATATAAAAGCAAGTGGTCTTCCTACTGTCCCATTCGGATTTATTTGATCCCACATCACATCCTCACAAATAACGTGTTTCTCCTTTGTCCTCGGCGTTGTCGCTGCTTTGACAGCAAGAAATGACCTCTCTTTTGCTTGCATGCTGGCGAATGCAAAGACTGGTGACTGGCATAAATGTGTGAGTATGAGTAGTTTGTGACCTGGATTTGACCACATGACTCACCGGCATGGTACTACTGGTAGTCCCTCCTTGGATGCATTGGCTACTAGTGTATCAGTGAGTCGCGTTTCTGCTTTCCCATCGGCGCAGTGGTTGATGGCACGATGCGCGAGTTGCTAGTAGTTTGTTGCTGAGTTGATCAATGTGCTTACTTCTGAAAATTCCACTGTCGCTCGAACAATGGAGAACTTGGAATAGAGGGGATCTCAAACATTTGAATACATAAAATATGACTGAAGTACTTACAATTTTGTAGTCTCGTCGTAAGCTTGAACATAGAGTACTGCCACGCTTGCCGATATCGACTGTCCAGTGTCTGTCCAGTCCGGACGTGCAGTCACCCCAGATCCGAACGTACTCCCTTGTTGCTAAGTAGGCACGAGATACGTAGATAATCTGTCGACCCTCCTGGCTTTTCTTTTGGATCCCCTTCTCTCCTCTTCAAAAGGCAATTGAAAACCGTTGGTGTAGAGAACCGCAAACGATTTGAGGTGCCGATATACTTCGGCAGTCACTGCCAACAGGCTTGAACTGCAGTCGTTGTAGGTAATTCGGGTTAAGCAAAGGAGCATGTAAAAAATGATACGAGCAACAGCTTCAACATCAGCTACATGAGAGGATGTCAACTTCAATATGCGCAGGGTGGTATGTTGAAATGACTCGGCTATAGGGTCGATGTCGATATTCGCACCATCCACCGATATTTGCAGCTCTTGCAAGCGGGGGCATCGACGGAGTACTGCGAATGATCCGCGAAATGTAACGGTAGGTGGACGAAGATGTGCCAGGCCCTCTAATTGCAGAGTTTGGATGTGCGGCCAACTTGACATGGCTTTCAAAAGAAGGTAGTTGTCAAGGTAGATGGAGCAATTAACAGGACGCAGCTGTACGAAACAAAGAATGTGTGTAACCGTCGCATAGTTGCTTGAGTGGTCACTAAAAGATTCGATTTTAATATATTGAAGAGTCTGGATTACTTTGCACCGTGACAGTGCATGGCAAAGCTGCTCAGCTTCTTCCCAAGACAAATCACCGGTTGTCGAGAACACTTGTAGCGAGAAAAATTCAGAGTGTCGCATGGACCGTGATAACATCCATGGCACTTCTGAACCGCAGATCCTTGACGTTGAGGAAAGGTACGAAATTGTCCAACGGGCAAAGGACTTTACCTTCGACGTCTCCCTCCAACCCCCGAATCACCACTTTGAGAAGGGTAGGGAGGTTGAGAGATGTTCCCATGCTACCAAGTTCGGCGGTGGACAATCAAGAGTTGCGAGAGTATTGCATGAATAGATGGCGTCAGATAGCGGGACAAGTAATCTGCAGTGTAATGACAGATCACGACGGATAAGCTCTTCAGGACAGCACAGCGGGTCACAATGAATTTCAAATCGAAAGGCAAGTTGGCTGGAAAACAATGACGCAGCGTAGGAGGCAGGAAGAGATGCAAGTATCTGATATTTGTACGTCGTTCCAGCCAGGATAATTACGGCAGTCTTGAGAACTATGTCTCGATAGGAAGAACCGCGGGAAGGTGGATATATTCGTAGGTGAATACATGCATTGAGCGCACACGGGCCGCATAACGCAAAAATTGGCGGGCCTCGTGCTCAGATAACGGTTTGATGTCTTGGGAACAGAAGTGATGCCCTTGAGTACAGAGCAACAACAGTTGGTTTAGGTGGTTTGTGTGATAATGGACGAAAAGAGATGAGCATAAGGATACCGCATAACGAGTCTGCACTTGCATTTGCGTCGCCAACGTATATCATCTGATGGAGCCTCGGTACACAGCCTAGCAGTGGTTCTATCCCATCCATGTTAGCCCAAAGCCAATCCGTTGCGGGCTCATGGAAAGTTTTACACGTCCTTGCACAAGTTGCAAGTGCCTCAAGGGACTTAAGGGATGTGGGAGACAATTCGGCAGATGACGATGCAATTTGGTTGAAATGCGTGAATATGTCCAAGAGGACTTCTGAAATAAGCAGAGCCCGATGCATTCTACTTCATTTTCGTGGCGTTTGTAGTGGTGAACAAGACACAACGACTTGTCTTTGGCGTGCCCCCTAAGGCTGTAGCCACCAAACATGTGATCACGTGGCACAGTTCTGAGTACAGTCGGAGTTCGACTTTCAAGCTGGTCCTCCGAGTCCTCGTCCAACAAGGGAACACACATTCTTGTGTCGTGAAACTAAATTGAACGTCCTCAGATGATAGGGACCTCATTTGTATGACGGTTTAATGTTCGGGTAAAATCACCTAGGTGCATATTAATTTGCCGTTGCACAAGCGCCTCAGCTGCGCTTCTGCTCGGTGCCCGTGACTAATGTTGTACAGCCCTCCGGAGTGATACGCATGTCTTGCTCCATGAATATTGAATGGTGAGGTGCAGCACCTTGATGTCGGATTAACTTATGGCCTAGCGGGCCGCACGTTATAGCGTCCTGTAATCCCGTGCCCCACTCATCCTCCTCGCCCGGTGCACCCAGTTATAGGTTAATGCACCGAGAATACCCCGATATGTCCCCGTGACGTTGTAAATGGTCCGTTATCAATAATTAGCACGAGCATCCCATATCATGAAAGGGATATAAGCTCGAGGTCACTTTCAAAAGCTGTCTTTGTTACAAGCTTCTACATTATCCGCAGCAAGATGCAGAGTATTCCTTGGCCAGAGCGATTTGTTGACTTGAAGCGCCAGATCGTCGAGGCTACGCCCGACTATGAGCAGCGTCTTACAGAATCCTGGAAGGATCTCCTCCAAGAGCTTGACAGGCGTACTACAGATATTGCAGAAGCTGGCCCGGATGTGAGCATCCATTATATCCCTGCTCTTATGCAAGTTGACCGTATACACAGTATATCCCCCAAGTCCAGTACAAGGACCTTGCTACACTCTCTGCTGAGCAAATCAATATCATTCGGCGCAAGGGTACCGTCGTGATCAAGGACGTTGTCGATGATGGTGAAGCTCTCGGGTGGAAGGCTGCCCTCGAAGACTTCATCAAAGCCAATCCCCATATTCAAGGTATGGATTAAATGATCCGAGTAATAAGTTATTGATTCGGCAAACAGGATTCCCCGAGCAGGACAAGCAATTCTTCATGCTTTAGTAAGCACGTTCTTCAATAATTTTTGAAAGATGTTAAGATCACTCTACTAGTTGGACGCGTTCGCAAGTGCAAGCTCGCGCACACCCAAATGTCCTCAAAGCTTCCGCATGGCTAAACAACCTGTACCACGTCAAGTCAGGCAAGCCGCTTGAGGGTGTTGACCTTAGCGTTCCCCTCGTGTATGCCGATCGATTCCGTATTCGCCATCCTGGCCCAGGATGGACCAATTTCCCGCCTCACGTCGATGGTGCGTTGCAAGATACAAAAATCGTTTAACTTTGGAATAGCTGAGCTTATGCAAGGTGGTGCAATTGAGCGCTGGGAGGATGAAAGCTTCCGTAAATGCTATGCTGATATTCTCAGTGGTAACTGGCGCGCGCATGATCCGTATGAGCTTGAGGGTCGTCTGGATGCCCGGAGCTCGTTATACGGTAGACCAGGACAAGTAGGGGTCCCTTGCGCCCTCTAAGTATGGCTACCTAATCTTCATTTTTAGGCGACGATATTTAGGTCCTTCCAGGGCTGGTTGGCCATGAGGTTTGTATCCCACGGGAATTTTGTCCTATCCGCAAAGCGAACCTGACGTGGTCATAATTTCAGCGAGGCTGCTCCGACACAGGGGACGCTCCGGGTGTTCCCTGACCTCATGCTCTCAAATGCGTACACCATTCTACGCCCATTCTTCCGCCCCACCGTCCCGCTCGACTCGGAGGATATTCTCAAGCCAGAGAGCTGGGTGTTTGGTACGTCTGCTTATTTGAACAGTATTAGCTCAAGCTGACTTCATCGGAAGACATCTCAACCCCCGACTTCCCCGGTATCTTAGTCCTGGAAAACGGGTTCACTGGCCCGCGCCCGACGCCAGAGCAGCACCCGCACCTCATGCTCGAGAAGACAATGACGTCCGTACCCAAGGTCAACCCGGGAGATATGGTTTTCTGGCACTGCGTACGTTGTTCTTTTGTCACATTCCATCATTTCATATACGAGTGCTACCCGCAGGATGTCGTGCACTCCGTCGAGGAAGAGCACACCGGTACCGGAGATTCAGCAGGTACGCTCTGTATTTTGAATCTATGGATCACCCCAATGCAAACCGATGTATTTCAGTGATGTACATTGGCGCTGTCCCACAGACGCCCATGAATACCGAGTACGTCAAGAAACAAGCAGAGACGTTCCTCGCGGGCATCAACCCTCCCGACTTTGTCAAGGACAAGCCGAACACCGGATACGTTGGCTTGGGTGTCGATGCGGATGTGAAAGAGCCTATTGCACGAATTGCGATGGGGCTGCCGATCCAAGTTGCATGAACATTAATTACCATTATAAGATGAGCGAGGTAGATATTCTTGTAAAACTAGTACTAAATTCAATAGAGGTGCCGAGGTGGGCTGACAGCGTCTATGTAGATTTTGTGGAGTGGATCAAGATTTTCACGTTCCCAGTATTTGGGCTAAGAACCGTTCGCCAGAATAGATCGTTAAAGTATGAACAACCTTAGCAGCTTCAAGATATACAACATTTAGAAATACAACAGCATGATGTGTAAATGATCGTAATGTTCCAAAACATAAATCCCTTTGATAATTCCATAGTGAGGTGGAGAAAATCTACCAAGGCTGATTAGCATTTAATGGTGCAGGCCAGTCGGGCAAGTTCGTCAGTGCAGCATTGCAGGACTCGCGCACGCGTCGCTTGCTCACAGCATCTCCTGATTGTCTATAAGAGGAGTGAACCTCTTTCAGCTGGAACGCAGAGGCTGCAATGGTATCTGCAGAAAGTGCAGCATGAATACTAGCAATACTCGCAGTAGGCGGCAGATATTACCATGATTCGAGTTAGCTTCTTTCACGATCTGGAGGAGTGGGTGAGCAAGTCCAAAGCATTCGATGAGGAAGCAATTACCTTCTTCCACTTCTGAACTTCACTGCCATACGCCTGATAGCCAGTTGGGTCAAACAGACCGGGTTCGCTGTTTCCACCCATCTGCTGCACCATCCTCTCTGCCTCTTGCTTGCGTGCAAGCCAGGCTGCGCTGAGTGCATCACAGGCGTTGGACATCTGCTTCCACGTATAAGGATCCCAAGCCTCCAATTCTGATTTATGCTGGCGGATATAATCCCGAGGGTGCATCGCACCGCCGGGATTCTGGCTTGCAAGGTTGGTGGGCTGGGACTGGGACCTATTATGTGAAGGCGAGGGACGCGGGGCGGCGTATGGGTCGAACTCAGAGAGGTAACTTGAAGTTGGGGGTTGCTGCTGAGGCTGGTAGCCACCTTGGAAACCTCCGTATTGCTGCTGCTGAGCATACTGGTTCTGGTACCCATTAGGGTATTGCTGGTAAGGCTGATGGAAGTCTATTTGAGGCGCTAGCTGTTGTCCAAAAGGACTAGACGGTTGAAAAGGCATGCCGGTCGGCTGTGGGCCGAGTTGCCTGATGAGACATAGAAGAGAAGTATAACATCAGCCTGCGGCACAGTACATACTATGCACAATTTACATACCCCAAACCGTAAGACGTAGACGCATACTGGTTCTGTTGATATTGCTGTGGTTGGTTATAGGGCGTCTGTCCTTGAAACTGTGGAATTTGTTGCTGTTGGAACTGGGATTGTTGCTGATAACCAGCATCATAGGACTGGTAGCCCACCTGCGGTGGCGTCGGCGACGAGGGAAGGGTCGATGCAGAGATATCGGGGAAGCGGGCATGTGCGGGTGCAGCATCATTCAAGAATGGGTTGTTAGACGTCTCAGCTTGGAAGCCGTTATACATGTCCGTCAAATATAAACACCTGGACTATCACGTTAGATGGTATAAAGGTGAGTGGAAAGGATCAGATGAGAGTTGTGACAATCTGGACGTTATCGTGGGTAGTCGCAGCTCGATGGTCACGATGTGTGGCACCTCAGACTGCGGCAATCCTGGAAAGTACTAGGAGTAAAAACTATTGTTCAACTTTATTTCGTACTCGGAACTCCTACTAGTAAAATCTCTTTCGAACTCGACATGCTCATTGACTATCAAACATGTCCGACACAATCCAACTCAACTGCTTATTTCACGAAGACGACTCGGACCCCCGCAAAGGCACCTTCGTTCCCAGCAAGACCATGGAAATCAGCATCCCCCAGGAACTGATTAAGCAGTAATTAGAGAAGTCGAATTCATAGGTATTAATTCTGATGCTTTTATCATGTACAACGTGAGTGGTTCCCAAAGTTAAGAAGAGTGTACTGCTGATAATGTGATCAAAAGGTTGACGCGTACATCACTGTCGGTGCGCCTTGCGCAAAAAGCACCATGCGAAACAGGATGAGAGTTTACCCAGATGGCATTGGAGGCTCTACGAGTTGACATGTGGGGAAAGCCAGTCAAAAACACGGACATTGTCAGGACTCAGCATCGATAGTGCACATTCGTACACCTTTATCGACCTTCAAAATAACACGACGGCATTGCGACGTGTAGCTTTGGATGTCCAAAGTCGACTACTTGTATGACACCGCGCTTGGTTACATCGAGTCAAATGCCAAGATAACTCGGAAGTGGAGGAACCCAGCCTATATCATTATAGAACAGCCTGGGATAGGTAGGCCAATATATTGGCTATTCATGACGCAAATGATAATTTTGTGCTTGATGTCGTTATTCGTAGGTAAGTCATTAATGTTCCTGGTTTACATCCTCCTCCAGCGACTACAAGTAGCGAAGCCTGTTGCTCTTTACACTTGTGATCCTTGGTACTTCTTATTAGACGAAAATGGTGTTACAATCCATACAGAGTATGACTGTGAACCTCTCGAAGCCCTTGATGATATTTGGGCGCCGTCGGACTGATGCTGGCACTATAGCTCGTTTCCCTGCTCCCGCTTTGATGGGAAGCTCAAAAACTGTGATCATTCATGCTACATCACCATGCAAGGACCACTGGCATCAATGGGCAAAGGAATATGGAGCTCGCAGATTCGTGATGGATGGATGGAAGACAAAGGAGCTTGCAGCACTCAGGTAGGTGATTTATGCTGCTTGAGTGAAGGTTATCTAAAAGCATATCTAGCAAAGGCATGCTCTTTACGGACAAGAGGGTGTTGCAGATATCCTCCAGCAGGCAGCAAAATAGGGCCCTGCACCCCGGGACCCTCTTAGGATAATCCGCAGCCGAAGAGCCGTCTGCCCTCTATCCGATCAGACCGCGGCCGCGTTCGCCTGTATAAATATTCCTGAAGGAACGATTATTTTACTTCTATTTGGTCTGCCTACGAGTGACGATGTGAAGTGAAGCCTCGTACGTCCCCACCACACTTCTCAAAGCAATATTGCAAATCTCGAACACTTTGTAAGTCCCACTGGATAGTACGAGGTATCGTTCTAGTGACATGCGTTTAAATGGTGCCGCTGTGTGGCAGGTCCTTCGTAAATGTGACCCCCTATCCCGACTCGTCGACTTCCGTGGTGAAAACTAGGCAAGCCGAATCATCCCCACCGCTAACAACCACCGAACCTTGGAGTCCCAGGGATGCGCTGAGTATAGGACCATGGTGCCCAGTGTGCTCCTTGACTAGTGTGCCAGTGCGAGCATCCCACGTGCGGAGCGTATTGTCTGCGGACGCTGACACTATCAAGTGACTTTTTGGTGCCGGGTGAGCTAACAGTGAAGTTACTGCGTCCTTGCAGAGTGTCAGCAGCAGCCTTCCAATACAAACGTCAATTTACCTGATGCTCGAGAGTTGCGCGGAGTCTCATTGTGGTGAGGTCCCATACACACGCTTTTCCATCAGTCCCCCCAGTGACTACAACACCAGGACTGTTTCCCGTTCCCGTGAGATCGACAAATTGCACAGCTTCAACGCTCTCCCCCTCAGCGTGTCCCCCAAGGGCGCCGACGACTTCACCCTTGCTGAGACTTACTATACGCACACTCCCCGACGTGCCACCAACAACTGCGAGCGTAGAAGAGGCATTAATTGCAAGGGATGTAATGTTCTCGAGATCAAAACGGGCGTCCTGTGGTGAAAGTTTGAATATTGGCGTTGGCGATCGCGGATCCCAATATATGAGAGTTCCATCCTCAGAGGCGGTAACTACCCGCTTGCCTGGTGAAACGAGAAGTTGATGCTATTTTATTTGGCTCCAAAATATCGGACATACCGTCAGGCGTAAACTCGCCACATTGAACTGGACCACTGTGTCCGGCGAATACCTGCATGGTATTTCCTGATGGCACTATTTACGTCAGTAGATCGAGGGGCGGCTGGTATATATTTTACACACATTGCCACAACCAAACTGTAGAATCGTTGGAACCTGCAAGTAAAATTGTTCCGCGGGGATGCCAGCGTAGCCACTGAATTCTTGTCAGTATGTCAATATGATCGACGGGGCACACCGATACACTTACAATCACTTCATCTGGACCCTGAAGCTCAGTCAAGAACTCCCAATTTCTGAAGTTCACTGTGCCAACTCTTCTCCATATCCTCACCTTTCCATCCATCCCTCCAGTCGCGATCATCTGACCGTCGGAGCTGAAAGACGCACTGGATACGCTATCCGTGTGTCCAGTCAACTTCACAATAACTTCTCCATCCGTGATATCCCATATGTATCCAAGATCATCTTCCCCCCCGGAGACTGCAAGCGGTTCCGTGGGATGACATGATATAGTAAATACAGAGCCATTGTGAGTGGTGAAGTGCTGCAGCGAGTTGTCCTTCACATCGGAATCCCCAGATGGAAGATTGCCAACCCCGTCCTCTGCTTCTTCATCCTCGTCCATAAGATGGTCGCCGTCATCGGGAACTTCTGCAAGGACATCGCCCGAGTCGATGAACACGTCCCCTTCTTCCTCTTCAATATAGTCTTCTGTTTCGTGAGGTGCCGCCATCGACAGCCTCTGGATGATGTGGTCGGCGTAGTTTTGGAGGAGATGGCTGTAATTTGCTGAGAAATCTCCGGCTGAGTAAAGCTGAGCAATATAGCGAAAGACTCGGATGATAACGAAAAGATAATAGCCACGTGGTTATCTACAGTAGAACAGCCGCTGACTAAGGCAATAGCATCCAGTGGTTCTTGTGCTTAAATTTAAACTCGAAACTCCACGTCGCCTCTCCAGGTTTTTCATATTGTCCAAACATCATGAGGTTGTCATTGTCGCTTCTTTTCGCGGGACTGTTGGCTGGCGTCAGTGCCTCTAACGTTGTGGAACTCAACCCGGACAATTTTGACAGTGAAATCGGCAAGGGGAAGCCTGGTTTAGTTGAATTGTGAGTTCGGCGCGGTACATCCTAAACAAAAACTCCTTTCCTGAACTTCCGTTTCTAGCTTTGCCCCTTGGTGGTACGTCGTGTACTCTCATGTGAACGCTCGTTGATGAACACACCTTGCCACAGTGGTCACTGCAAGGCATGTGCCCCTGTAATATCACGAGAGCAAGCACTTACGGTCACTCTAGAACCTCGCACCCACGTACGAGCAGCTTGCAGATGCCTTTGCACACGCAAAGGACAAAGTGGTTGTCGCCAAAGTCGACGCTGATGGCGTCGGCAAACCTTTGGGGCAAAAATACGGTGTCACTGGATACCCCAGTAAGTTCCCATATGAATTTTCCATCAATATCATACTCAGTAGTTGAGTGCAGCTTTGAAGTGGTTCGACGCGAATGGCAATATCGAGCCTTACGATGGCGGCCGCGACTTTGATGCCCTTGCTTCTTTGTGTGTTCACCATATTTATGGGCTCTGTCCGTGCTAATGTATTCTTTCAGCATCACCACGAAGTCTGGTGTGAAATCGAACATCAAGCCCCCACCACCCCCTGAAACTTTGATCCTTGACGTTCATACCTTCGATAACGTTGCATTGGACGAAACAAAAGACGTTCTTGTCACATTCACCGCGCCATGGTGCGGACATTGCAAGAGCCTCAAGCCAATTTATGAACAAGGTATAGCATTAATCTTTATTCATCTGCTAATTTTCCTGACACATGCACACAAGTTGCAATTGACTTCAAACCAGAGAGCAACGTGCGTACTATCCGATGATCTACTTATTGTTTCACCTCAGCATTGCTCTTCTGCAGTGCGTTGTTGCCAACATTGACGCCGATGCACAACCAAACAAGGAGATTGCTGGTCGCTACGGAGTGTCATCTTACCCTACCATTAAGTTCTTCCCTCGTGGCGGAAAGGAAGTTGAGGCCTATGAAGGCCCGCGCACTGAACAAGCCTTCGTTGCTTTCCTCAACGAGCGCTGTGGAACTCAGCGCGCCGTTGGCGGCGGTCTTAACGATGAGGTAAGTCATGTGCAAACCGGTAACCAAACATTAGCTGAACAAGTTTAGGCCGGTCGTATTGCCGAACTTGATACCCTTGCCCAGAAATTCTTGGGCGCTGCTGGTGACGCTCGTGCTTACATTTACAAGGAAGCTTTGACGCTCTCTGGATCGCTCGGCGAGACGGCAAAACACTACATCCGTATTATGGAGAAGGTCGTAAACGACCGTGAGTCCTATATCGAGAAGGAATCTAAGCGGTAAGCCACTCGCCGTACCTGTGGGCGTTCAACTGATCATGGACCGATTATCTCCTTATCAGCCTCGCTTCTATTCTCAGCAAGCGCACGATATCACCTGCTAAGCTCGATGAGATTAAGATAAAGGCCAACGTCCTGAGCGCATTTGTTGTTCAAAAGCTGGAGGAGGCACAGGAGAAGGTTGAGAGTGTCATCGGTAGAGCTACGGCTGAGCTTTGACGTTTGCACGTTTGATCATATCGTAAGAGTGAAGGACCCACACATTTTGTTAATCTGTATGCCGCATCTATATAATCTGAGTTTCACGTCCACTGGCCGGGAATACTGCCCCCGTGGCCTCCGTGGGCCTCCAATCCAGGCTGCGGTGATTTCCACTACCCACGTCATCATCCTAATTAGTTAGACCGTTAACTTAGACGCCGGGTGATGAACTAAAACAGGAAAGCAGGTTCACTTTCAGCAGGTTTGAACTTATTATGGACACGTTACACTTGTCGTCGGAGAAATAAAACCGGCCTCGAGGAGCCTCGAGGACGGATCCACAACCGATCATATCATGGATTGTGTGGCTACTTATTATTCCTTAAATTGTTATCGTTGCATGTCTCTCCTGCTGATCACGCTGAAGCACTCGACATTTCCTGCATCTTAAATATCGCGTAGCACACCATCTCGTTGAGACGTGCCGACCATCTATCTTATATCGTCCTCGATCAGCGATGTCTGATAACGATGAATCGTTCATACCTTCCCCGCCCTCCGACTTCTATGATACGGAGGCAGAAGAGTCGCCTCCCCTGCCAGTGAGAGTGCGTGTGCGGCATGAGCCAGAGGCAGATGCCCAAGTACCGCTTCGTGCAGTGCGCTATTCATCTCGCAAGAAGCGATGGGCTCAGACTTCTAACTGCGCCAAAGGCGTAAGGGAGCCCCTACCGTCTTCCATCCGCCTCGTGACATGGAACCTCGACTTCCAAAGTTCCGAGAAGAAGAAGCGGCTCCTTGCTGCCCTCTCCTACATACAGCACCGCGTTCTCCGCTGCGGGACCACCAGCGAACGACCTGAACCATGCTGCATCCTTTTGCAGGAGGTACACGCGTCAGTTTTCACGCAGATCCTCAATGCCGAGTGGGTGCGACGGTGTTTCATAGTTGTTCCCACTGGCCCGGACAAGTGGCCAGAGCAAGCATTCTATGGAAATGTCACGCTAGTCTCCCGCACAATTCCCGTGGTCAATGCCTCCACCATCACATTCAGCAACTCTGAGATGTATCGCAATGCCATATTCGTTGATATTAAATTGAGCATCCCAGCTCACGAGGACGAACCTCGCCTATCAGCAGGCATCGTGACCCTGCGCGTTGCAAACACGCATCTCGAATCCTTACCAAGCGGGGCCAAGGCACGCCCCAGGCAATTAAAACTCGTCGGAAACGCATTGCATGCGAGAGGACTCCTCGGGGGCATTGTTGCAGGGGATATGAATGCTATCGTGCCCACTGACGAGACGATCACGGAGGACGCCGGGCTTTACGATGCATGGGAGGGAGGTGATGACGACGAAGATGGTTTTACCTGGGGATACCAGCCTCTGGAGGAGTATGCGCCTGGCCGGTTAGACAAGGTGCTCTCTACCAGACAAGAGGGCTTCATTGTGGAAGAGCCAGAGAGAATAGGGATGGGTGAAGCGATTGGGAACGGCAAATGGGTGAGCGACCATTATGGGTTGGTGACACGCGTGCGCATCGTGCGGGAAGATTAACAAGATAATGAAGGACCAGCTGGTGAGAAATGACGGGGTGCAGTACTTATCATGACCACAACACTGACGCACTACTCAGGAACTGCGGAACGACGAATCAGATGGTAACTGACGTATTTTTACGTGAGTAGCAGTGTTCCGAACAACGATTCAACGAACGCCGAATGTTGTCAATGCACAAAAAAACGAAAATTCAAAGTTATGATGGTGTTGCCCGACAGAAATCAATGGAGGCCTTGGGTTCAGGAAGAGTTTCGCAAGTGTAGGCTACGTAGGCTAGGCTAGTTAACGTTCAATATATGCTACTATTATATTGTACCAGTGGGGTTGGCGTGGCGTGTTTGGAAGGATGATGTAAATAAACAGAGTCGGGCAAATAAATACGAATACTAACAACTTTTTTCCACGCAGTTCAACTCTCTTTCCCCCCGCGTAGTTAGTAACCGTGTGCATCAACGACAAGCTCACAATGAAGACTTCTGTTACCTCCCTCGTATTCTTCATTGCTGGTGCTCTCGCCCAGTTCACAATCAACACTCCGTAAGTCATTTCACTCGTGTTCACCTTGGGCTGTCCAAAGTCTTATTGCTTTTTTGGAACAGTTCCAATGTTGTTGAGTGCGAGCCCACTCTCATCTCGTGGTCGGGTGGAACTGGTGAGTTATTCAAATATGCATTTTCCACGCTCTTTCATGTCTGACCGTGATCTAGCTCCTTATTTCTTGGTCAGTGTCTTCCCATTAACATGGTTTGTTGTCAGCCATTGATTCGCGGTGATTTTTCCCCCTCTTACACAGAGGTAATAACTTTGTTCCATGTGTGTCTACTATCTTACTTAATGCCACTTTTCAGTATCCTGCCAGGCGCGACTCCCAATGGCGCTGCTCTTGAGAACTTGGGACAGCAAAACAGCACCTCAGTGACATGGACCTGTAACATTGCCACCGGGACGTCTCTTGGTCTCACCCTTCGCGACAGCGCTGGTTTAGTCGCCCAAACTGCACCTTTCACTGTGAACCCTGGATGTGCGTGTTTCAGTTGACCTTGTTGATCGGTTGCTTCGGGCTTAACCTTGGCATAGCTTCAACTTCATGCCTTAACACCACGTCGCGTACGTATCTTATTGTGTATAATTTAACAATTCGCCGCTGATGGTTCATTTCCCAGTTGCCCCTGGCCCGACCGTTGCAACTAGTGCTACTACTCCAGCCGGTACTACCGCGGCCGGTGCTACCACCACTTCTCATACCACGACCACCAGGTAAGTTGATCTTGTTGTCAAGTTGTAACGTGACCTGACATCACATCCCTTCCGCAGTACTGCCAGCGGTGGTTCTACGTCCACTGCCGCTTCACCTTCGACGAGTTCCGGTGCTGCCTCTGCCAACGTCATCCGCGTTGGCGCTGCTGGTGTCGTCGGTGTTGCTGTTGCTGCCCTTCTTTTCTAGATCCCCTCTGAACTCAAAAGACGGATACCAGTCGATGGACTTCCAGAGACATTCATGGCTTTTTTTTTTTTGCTAATCATTTCACCTGCGACATCTACATCGTACATTAAGCTGTCTTCTTTTAGGAGTATTTGGAGTTTACTCACTGACGTTTATATTCCCTCGTGCGACCGTTGGGCTTACGTGCCTATTGCTCTTATATCTTTTGATTGAATGATGCCTTCTCATTCATTCGCTCGTTTTTGTTCCTTGAGACATTCCTGCCTCTTCGGATACGCGTTGCTGTTGTAGTGCAGTGTTTCGTACGATCCGAATGATTTATCTCTGCTATATCTTGGCGTTTGCTGCATCATCATTACAAGTGTCGTTTCACTCGCTCTGAGACCAGTCTGATACTGTGGAGCAGTGACTCAGACTCGCTCCTGCTCGAGCTCAACTGCTGTTGGAAGCTTAAATGAACATGCTTAAATGCATCAGTTTTATCTTGACTAAAACGGTACTACGACTCCGGAAGAGTCCGGACGGGCCGACTGCTTCGGCAAAAACCTCGCCAAATATTGGATATACCTGGAATACCAACAGCCCTCCGGGAACCCCTGGACCCGCTGTTTCGTGATCTCTTCCTCCTGTTTCGTCCTAGTTTAGACAGCACGCCTCTTTACCAGCGTTTGGAATATTTGTCATACGTAATACTAACAAGCTTAGGGCCATCCAACGTTCTTTTTTTTTATCATATGATCACCGTCACTGGCACGATCGCAAGATGCGCGTTTAACTTCTGCATGAGCAGTACAATCTAGAAAAAGGCTTGCGAAGATCTCATTTTGAACAATCTTTCCCTGGCTTCTTCAAAAGCTTAAATACAATGCACTCAAGCGCACACCAAGCTGTGCATGTGTGCACTTGCACTTACTTATCGCCTGAGTCGTCCACATAACATCACGTTTTTCTCATTCATCACCCCAGCTTCGAAGGTAGTATCATGTCACGTTCTTAACTTCTCGGTGTTGAGCAGCTCTCCATTCTGTCTCAGACATACAAAGTAAGTATCTGCTATATATCCACTTCTTTCACGCCTGCATGATCTCGAGGACAGCGAAGCTAGCACATCCGAGTCCTCCCCTAAGTCTCTACTACTAACTCACGCGTCGGTCCCATCAACCATACTGCACCGATGTGAAAGCAGAAACACGATTCACTGCCACACTAGTTCAACTTGGATTGCATGCAAAGAGGTTCTACCACATCGGTGAGTCGTGTGGTTAAATGCAGGACTCAAACTAGTCATACTCACACATACTGGCTTCGTAGGGCATTTTGCGCAGTCTTTTTGAAACGCGCACGCGTAAGGACAATTTTTTTGCAATGGCAGGATCGCTGGCAGCTACAGATATCGATGTTGTCAAGGCAGCAACAACGGCAATGTCAAAGCAGAGACGCATTGTTTGTGAGGATCTGATGTGGGATGAACTAAATCTGAAGGGGACAATAGAAGACGGCTTGCTTATATTGTTCTTCATTGCGATGTAGGAAGAACCTATCTACCTGAAATTCCCTTGCGACCAGATGATATCTGCGATATCAGTAGATTGCTACCTAAGATTGTACGTATCTGGTGAAATTTGCATTAGAATGTGGGCTAATCCTTATGAACGTGCACATTGTAGTGCGTGAAGACGGTGAAGGAATCCACGGTGTTTTCGAGGAAGCATCGAAGTCACGAATTTGTCGACCCTTGCCGTGTTCGAGGTGGAAATATGATCCACGGTCCTCTGTTTCCCCGCGCCGACCTGTCGCTACTTAGTGGAAGGGCAGAGCCTAAACATGTGTTTTTTCTTACATCTGCTGAGTTCGACTGCCATACCAAGTAGCACGTGAAAATCCTTAAGATCGGTGACATCTCTAATTCTGTCTATAGTGAACCTGCATATTTCGTGCACAGCGAGAGTGGTCATCGTACCGACGAAGATGAACCGGTCATCTCTGAGGATGACTATGCCCCATCACGTTCTGCATCTGTTGCACCATCACGATCTCATTCTGTTGCGCCGTCACGCTCTTCAACGGTCAACCTGCGAAACTAACTACTTACGAATCTATATAAGCTGCTAAGAGTACTTGAATGATTGCATCTCTAGGAATGGTCGCATTTTGACGATTACACACATGAGTATGGAAGTTGGTGTCCTTTGGTATCATGTCTCGCTGCATAGAGTTCCAGTAGTAGGTTAGCAAGCAAACTTCACGGTCGAGCTTGTAGCTGATCGTACGATATTGCGCCCTTCGGTAGGGTGTAACCATGTATTCTGGATACAATATGAGCAGCTACATTTCCGCCACCCTGGAACTTCCTTTCGGTTAAATATTTCAAAGGTGCTAGTGTGCAGGGGTGAGCCGAAATGTGAACAGGGGGATAGGGTACTTGATATAGGCGAACGCAACACGAACGACCTCGTAACAATTGTTCGTCGGGGCAAATGCAGAAACGCTTCTCGACCGCGAGACCACCCCGGATGTGGAATGGACACGGCTCAGAGAATATGTTGCCCTGTATGATCGGTCGGGTGTTGGGAGTGGTCGCCTGAGATGTCGGCCTCTGCCTATGAGAACATCTGCGTGGATGGTCACCTTGCGCTGCGTGGCAATGGAGACGTAAAAAAAAAACAGACGCGTCGAATGCGATGTTCTTGAACATACAGAGCCGCTGAGCCATGGGCTGCAAGAGATCTATTGTTTCTGTAACTATCTAGCGTTGTAGCATGCTCTATTCGGCAAAGTACTCACATCGCATCAGCGACGTGTATACATTTATACCGATTTTGTGCGGGGATCAGACGCCAAATTACACAGAGACGAGTAAAACATACGCTGCAGAATATTGTTGAGCTTATTGACACGCGACGAGACACTCAGGTCAATGCTCTTATCGCCGAAATCAACAATAATACCACCAAGAACCGAAGGGTTGACCTGAAACGTATCAGAAGCCGCTTGAAAGGATCACAAATTCGAAGTACCTTATTTGTGATCTTCAGTGACTTTGCCTGTTGAGCTGCCTGAGACTGCTCGAGGATGGTCTCCAGCCAGGAGGAAACATCCTTAAGCAGCGGAGCAGCAGACGTGACAACCACCTCCAATTCTCCCTTATATTTTGAAACCAACTCGTTGAAACTCTCGATCGCACCTTGCGTCTCTCCACGTCTACCATTATCCGAAAGGACAGCAAACATATTTTTGGTTATCTCGGAGACAGGACTCCTTCGGACTGCAGCTTTCTGAACGAGCATATACGGCAACAAGACCCGAAGAGCGATCTTTGGCAGATAGTGTCGGGTTGTTAATGAATGCTTTGAAGTCAGGTACTTCGTTAATGACATTAGAGATGGTGTTCAGGTCCAATGTGAGGGTCTGCGGTGATTTCGCGAGAGCAGTCGAATATACGGCATTGGATGCGATGGAAGAAGCTACTCCGTCCAAGAATCAGGGAGGCGATTGCTGGACGGAGCGACGACCACAACATAACTTATAAGTTAATAGTAGTAGGCAATGATACTTAACGCCGCGATAGTGATAGTTCGGGCGTTGCCGCGAACTTCTGTTTTTGAACTAAGGGCCAATATCATATGCACAGCTCGAGAAAAATCATGGAATCTTTCTGCACTACCTATAAAAATGTGTGGTAGAGCAACACCGAATTCAAAGAATCATCTGAAGCGTTTAGTGGCGAGTTTGGTGGGGAGTTGTAAAACTGCTGACTGGACCAGTTGCCGTCGCTACTGTTGATTATCAATATGTTGGATGGGGACAAGATAGTCTCCTGTAGTCAGACCTTGAAATAAGGAAGATAGTCGTCTCATCTTTTATGGGGACAAGAAGGCACAGAGGGGCAGAAGCTGGCTATCGGGCTCCGAGGCCAGCGACTTGCAGCCTCGACCTCATGATCAGGAGTTGCTGCCAGTGCGGCCCGTGGTCACGTCATTAATATCGATAGGATACAGTTATTATTCAGTGTCCACCCAACTTTTTCGCGCCTGTTGATAAGTGAACACTGACTACCACGCACCACAGTTAGTCGATAAAAAAGTAAAAGTTCGCAAAGAATTTGAAATCCACTTGAGCCCACCGAGGCTCCTAGGGTAAGAAGCTTTTGAGAGAGCCGCAGCCGCCACGAAGCAAGCTTTGTAGTCGTCACACGGGGATATTGGGGGAAACGCTTACTAAGATCTAAACGTTGCTTCGTAAGCTTGGTCAGTCGACGATGTCTCATATCGCGGAACTTGCCTATCAGATGTGGTTCCTTCTGTTGCCAGTGGATAAGTTGTCAGTGCGGCACCGAGAGAATGAATCTAGATATGTAATTATTTTATTTAATAGGCCCAAACCTCGTGATAAACGATCGATAATGATCGATAATCACTAGTACTTTGTCTCAGACTGGGCCACAGTGTCTGGCTTGTCTGGGCCATTCATGTCTTCCGGAAAATTTGTGGTTGCGAGAGTGCGAGAGTCTAAAAGTTGGAGCGTATGTAATAAGCGCTAAGTTGGCGCAATTAGCATCATAGTGAGAATAAACACAAGAATACGCCCCGGGGGATGGGGTAAACTTTCAAGCGCACGAACAATTACGACTTCAAGTTGTCATCGATATCTCGATCTAACAAACATTTTACTGCACAGGGGTGCGTATTAATGATCGATTTTTGGGCCGCGGCCTACTCGCCGAGGCCCTTCGCTCTCGCCACGTCTTTCCTTCTGGCAGAAATGTACCAAACTGCGAAATTTCATCTCTATTTTCCCCAAGTACGATCATGGCCAAGCCTTCGAGTTGGCTTCAAAGGTACGGGAACCTTGCGGTTGATCGGAAGCTCAAAAGTGAGTGACATGTCATGGCAAGTGTGCCAGAACACCTATACCTTATAACTTTTTGCCACACCGCAAATGAGACCCAATCACCTTCTCGTCCCCCCTCAATTGCCCATTAACTTAACGTCTTCACCCTTCCATCTGATGGCAGTCCCGGAATGGACGATTCCTGACTTCATTCATCAAGAGCCGTGGTGGAAGAATCGTGGTACGAACTTGGTCAAGCGCGTCGAACAAATAATGTGCTTGACAATGTCGGCGAGCAGGCCTCCTGGTTCTAAATATCTGTTTGATATTACCACTACTATCATCAGCACTGAACGGTCTTGATTCGTCAGTTACTAAATGGTCGGTCGTGAGCATTCACTATCGTGGATGGTCGGTTCACCTTCCCTTAGGTCTGCAGATTTTGCCCGGATGGCAAGAATACTTTCATACTCCGCAGGGGAAAACCTTGGGTAGGCAGTCCTGCATTTCCTGTAACACTCTATTCATGATTACTAGGCCTCATAAATTCTGCCCAAGGCATTGGCGCCCTCAGCGTAAGCTGTAGCAGTGCATTGAAATGACTTCCAGCTCATATTGGCTTCAGGGAATTCCATTTTCTCCCTTATGTGTCTGACTTGCTAGGACGACGAGCAACTGTGTTCATCGGGGCGACCATCATGCTAGCTGGTGTCCTCACGCAAGCCTTATCGACCACCGTGCAAATGTTCATTGGTGCTCGTGTGCTCAGTAAGACGCCCATTCAAGGAATCATTCGGATGCTCATTTCCTTTTTGTAGTTGGCTTAGGCTTAGCTTTCTCCATCAACGCTGCTCCGTTGCTCATCAGCGAAGTTAGCTATCCAACGCATGTGTGTCAAATCACCTCGTCCTTCGTTCGTTGCTTCTAATCCCAGTTAAGCGCGGGAAATTGACTTCTCTATACAATTCAATGTGGTATTTTGGCAGCATTATCTGTATGTGACAATCAGCATCACAGATTTGGTTTCTCACATGTATTGCAGCGGCTTGGATCTGCGTTGGCGCTTATAATCAAGCGGGGGCATCGGAATGGTCATGGAGAGTCCCTGTACTCTTCCAAGCTGTTGTTCCTGTCATTCAAATGGTGTTAATATGGTCGGAACTCTTGGCTCGTGACTTGCTCAATTTGATTTAGTATCCTTCATCGCGTTTAGGTTCATTCCGGAAAGTCCTCGATTTCTAGTGGCTAAAGGTTTGGTGAGTTTTCATGAGGAAATTTTCCCGTAGATCAATTTTAAGCATTTCTGTTCTTGTTTCTCACAGGAATCGCAAGCTGCGCATATCCTCGCTCACTATCATGCGGATGGGGGAGACGAACATGACCACCTAGTAGCCTTCGAGATGGCCCAAATCCGACATGCTTTAAACCTTGAACGAGAGATTACTTTCAAATCATCCTACCTGACGTGCTTTGCAACTCCAGGCAATAGACGGCGCATGTTTATCATTATATCGATTGCAATATTCTCACAATGGAGGTTTGGCTACCTTGTTCTAGTCCATCACAGGAGTTGATGTTCCTTCCAGCGGCAATGGTCTAGTCTCCGCTTATATTAACATTGTCTTGGAGGGGGTGTACGTTCTCAAGGTCGTCGCGGTAGTATATGAGCTAAAGGTTCAACAGCGGCATAACCACGACTCGGACAAAAGCACTCATTAACGGCGGTCTGCAGGTTCATCCATGGCTTCTCAGAAGCTGGAATGTACACTGATCCTGTTTGTATAGCTTTTCAATTTCAGCAGTGCTCTATTGGGCACAATGCTCGTGGACAAGTTAGGCAGAAGGAAACTTTTCCTGATTTCAAACATTGGCATGCTGATCGGTCAGTACTATTATATGGTGTTGATCAAAGGTTTCGCTTAATATATTATCTGATCAGTCTTCTCTATGTGGACAGTTACCACCGCTCTTTTCACCCAGTCCGGAAATATTGCAGCTGCGAGCGGCAAGTTCGAAACCTTGTTATATGCACGTGTGGTTGATAAGCTCGCACAGCTACTGTGTCGCTCATTTTTATGTTCTTCTTCTTCTATGACTTCGCGTATACGCCGATGCTTGTATCGTATACGCTCGAGATCTTGCCTTACAATATTCGTGCCAAGGGGCTTGCAATTATGGTTGCACCTTTTGTGTTTTGTCTCTGAACACTGTCTAACGTCCTGCACAGAACTTTTCGGCCTATCTTACCAACGCTTTAACGTGTTCGTCAATCCGTGGGCGCTCGACTCCATGGGTTGGAAATACGTGAGTCGCTCGAACTTGCTCAAGTTATTGATCGTTAAATATCTCGCAAAGTACCTTGTTTACTGTGGATGGCTCGCCCTGGAGCTATTGTTTGTGATGGTATTCATTGTCGAGACGAGAGGTGACTTCATTGCTTTTACCTTGTCGAACGGCTCTGGACTCTTTTTCAGGTCGTACTCTTGAAGAAACTGCCGCTTTATTTGACGGCGTAAAACTCCCTCGGCATGTCACAGAACGAAGGGGTGAAGCTGCTGTGGATTTGTCCAGTATATCACCATACCTTAGATCACCCCGTCTAGAGAAAGACGGCCCAGACAACTATTTGGAACTTCAGGGACGCAGTGGAGTCCGGAGTAGTGTTCTAGGATCACATTCGCGTCTCGAATCACAGTCAGAAGAATCTGCTATTGCATTTAGATAAACGAGGAACCACCATCACGATACTGTATTTCACTGCGCAATTTACGATTCTGGGAGTCACTTGAACCGTCCCAGTCAACCAAAACAATGTCATTGATGCCATACGGTTTCTGAGAACCGCACTGTCCCCGCAGTATCCTGGAACATCGATTGACTTATATTGGCTATTGATGTTTTCCAGTTTTGATCCAGATCTCAACACCATCTTCCGAAGAAGGAAACGCTCCCCAACCGTCATGGTCAATTGGAACGGTTCGGTTGCCATCAAACAAGCTGCGGAACGTTGTTCCATGATGCTAAAGAATACGAGAAATTAGTTATAGCTATAATTCCACATGAAGACTTACCGAGCCAACGTTCATTCTAACTTTGGACGTAGATAGATCCAGCCTTGAGGAAATGGTTTAGCAGACGAGTCTATCCAAAAGACATGAAGGTTCTCACTTCGGGTCATTACTGAGCACGACTGCACATCCAGCATGATTGGAATCGCCCATGCGCACGAATCCAATGCAGTTTCTGTGCTCGAAGTAATCTACCATAGGCCCATATGCGAACGACTTCCGCGCAAGCAGTAACTGTTTCAGAGTTCGGGAGGTGCCCTCGTCAAAGCACTCGTCATTGGGATACAGGTCACCATAGAAAACACATCTGCCAAGACGCTCGTGTTAGGGTCGACGTTGTGCGAAATGACACATACGGATATCCGTGACATCGCAATAGGATGAGAGCGTATGCTTGAGCTTTGAAGTTGGTGTCCACCTAATCGAAGTTACTTACTCGGAAGCTACGGAGAAGTGTCATACCGCTTACCCAGCTCTCCAGAGACTGGCCGACTTGCTGATACAATTATTGGCCAAATGATGTGCGATCATGCAAACATTTGCTTACCGTGCTATCGGCAGAAATAGTCACTCGTGGAACAATAAATATCCAGTTCCAGCACTCACTCGTGATTGTCAACAAAAGTAACAGCATCTCCTGGCCTTAACTTCACCAGAGAACCGTCTAGAATGGTCCTCAAGTCGTATGAAGCACCTGCTTTGCTTGCTCTGAAAAAGTTCTCATGTAGTGGAACGTCAAAAAAGGAGGTCTGTCGCCATTAAGCCACGAGTCAGTGGTATCATGGAGGTGCACACCTGGCCACGGAAAGCCCGAACATATGGGATTAGAAGGTGCAAGCTGCTCTCATTCAGGGGCCTGTAATCCACGGATTCAAGGACGAACCTACTTCGCTGACCAGTACTCCGACACCGCAAATAACTGCTTCCTGCCATGGTGGTTTCGACTTCTTTGAATCTTCAATAGTAAAGCGGCTTTGTTACCACATGGATTGAATGAAGACAAGATTCCGCTTACAAACTCAAGAAGGAATCTGCGGTCCATGTGTTTAATAGCATCCAGTCTAAATCCGCAGGCACCTGTGGTCTAAAGCGATCTTAATAAACCGCTTGAGAAATGATGGAGACAAGACATACGTCAAGGATCCACGAGGCCCACGAAAATAGGTCGTTTTGCACTTCAGGGTGACGGTGATCAATCTACGATTACCAGGTAGATGATTAGTTGAGCGCTTCAATGAACCGGACCGACGAACATCAATTCCAAGGAGATAATCATAGTTCCCATTCTCATTGTCTACCCATTTTGACCAGCCTTTGTGCCTTTCTGATGAAATGCGGAATACACCTTTGGTTTGCGCGAGCTCATCCCAGTCCAACCCTTAGGTAATTTCAGTTATAAAAGCGAAAAGAGTGCCAACACGGACTGACCCGTAAAATGATTGAAATTCCACTGCATGCTACTATACTGGTTTGTATATTGAGCTCTAGCCGATGAAATCTTAGTGTGCTGAATTTACCTTCCCAAGCCGTCCAGCAAAATCAAAGGCAGTCCAGCCCTATGCGTGATATTGATGAGGTCTCAAAAACAGGCAAGGAGAATCACACCTTGACTGGTCTCTCGTTCTCAATATCCTTCAGCCGGTTTAATGGATCGACGCGTACAGCAGGAAAGGTTTCTTGTCTGTCTGCACCGAGTTTGTGCTTACCGTGCACGACTGAGTGTGAGCGCAGACTCTGAGGTATACTCAACACCCTTACATTGAGAACCGCATCAATGATGACGTTCATATCGCATTGCCTTGCAGCATCACAAGCTCTCAGAAGTTCTTCCTTTGTTCCCCACCTTGTTGTAACGGAGCCTTTCTGGTCGAATTCGCCAAGATCCCACTACACAAATGTCTGTATAGAGGAGTGTTGAAACAAGAGTTACGAGACACCGTACCAAATCATAAGCATCATATCCACGACCCGTCTATAGCAATCATAGCAAGACACGATTGGGTTGTGAATATATCATCAGAGCCACTGACTCTCACCGGTTCCATTGCTTTGTTTGGCGGAGGGAGCCAGATCTGCGTAAACCCCAGTGCGGCCAACTGCGGGGCTTCTTTCGCAAGATGTTCCCACCAGCTCATGTCTGGGTGCCGGGCATCCCAGGTGAAAAATTGTACCTTGAAGGACCCAGTTTGGATTTCAGCCTGCAATTTACCAACTGAAAACTCACCATCGTAGGATTCTGAGAGCTTCCATTAGGCCCAAGTTGCATTGTTGGGAGGGATGAGGGCACCCATTTGAGTAGGAAACAGTCTAACCAATACCTGAACTGGCGGTAGATGCTCGTCGAAAGGCGGATAAAGTACATAATATATGAGTCCATTGAACACGCTGGTCGGACGTCCCAACCTCAAGATTTGTACTTGTAACAAGTTTGGCACCGGCACCTTCCGAAGCCTATAAATTTCCTCGAAGCTGTGTAAGCTTGTTCTCTTCACCGTTTACCTGACCACCTTTCACCACTCATTCCAGGAAGCGTTCCGCTCACCGATGGGATGAGGAGACGTGTATATCTATCGCAGGATGGTCTATAGCAGTGCAGAGCCTCTTTAATCACTCTAATCACGAATATCCACGTTGAGAGGAGTTTCATGATGTGGCGACAATTTTTTTTTTTTTCTTCTTTCCGAGTCCTTTCTCCTCACCACAATATTATTTACACTTCAACCGTACAGATCGCCACATATATAAATGCATTTGATAACCTCATGAGCAGATGAGTACCAGCCGATCGAAGAAATCCATGTGCTTGTTCTGTAAGGGTGAAATATCATGAAAAGGACTAATTATTGTCGTCCTGAATAGGAGAAGAATATCATACATATGGCTTATATGTAGATGTACAATCAATGAAGGCTCTTGTTCGTGGGGATTATAGTATGTAGTGTATAAAAGCTAGCTTGATGGCAACGAGCGCACTGTTTTGCCTGTCACTTCTCACCGAGAAGAACCAAGTAGAAGCACAACATTCATCGATCACAGCAAAGACTTTAGCGATGCGGCCGCTCACCCACCCCGAGACAGATTTCATCCGCGAGTTTGGTTGAAACTTGGCCCTGAGCTTGATGGATGCAATCGTCGGGGGACATGCGCATCCTTTACCGGTGAGAGCTCGGTAGGGATGCCCAGGCCGGTTCCACCCTGCGGGGTGAAACCCGAAGTTTCAGCGAACCCATCGACTAGAGAAAGTTTAGTATAACGCACCTGATCCCACTGAAACATCGGAGGCTGTTGCTGCGCAGAAGGGAAGATGCCTACATTGAGCTTCCGCTTCTTCTTCTTGGGTGCAGGATCTTGCTCGTCTTCTGCGGTACTATCCGCAGCCGCAGCGGATTTTGATGCCTTTGGTTGTGAGGACTCGGTAGCTTTCTTCTGGTTCTTGGCTTCGGATTCAAGGGTGGCTTTCTTTGGTGCCTTCTCCTTTGGGGCGCCGGCGTTGACTTTCTTTGCTCGTGCACGCTTTGGTTTCTCTGCTGCAGGTTTTTCATCGGCACTGTCTTCCTGAGATGCCTTCCGTTTCCCCTTTGCTTTGGCAGAAGGTTCAACCAACTCAACAGAATCACTGTCAGCTGCCTTCGAGCGCTTGACTGGTTTTGCTTTCGGGCGCTTTTGGTTAGCCTCCTCCTCTGGTAACACAGGGATAATAGGAGATGTTCTCTTGCTCTGGAAATATTACGCGTTAAGACATGGCATAGGCGCATGAAAATTTTCTTTACCTTTGGAGCAGCGGATGGTTTGAGCGCAGCAGTTAGCTGAGCCTTCAAGTCTGATATCTCTTGCTCAAGCTTTTCCGCCGCCTTCTTCGCATCTTTAGCCTCATCCTCTGCCTGATTCCGACACGTTTGCTGCTCTTCGGCTTCGGTCTACAAATAATCAGTTTACTGAACTGACAAGTAGAGAAAATTTGACCTTCCAGTCACTAAGGACATCCTTAAGTTTAGTAACTCGACCTTTCTCTTTCTCGTATGCTTTCTCAAATCGTTCGGCGTCTGCTTTCGCTTCCCTTACTTGAACTTCCAATTCGACTTTCTTCTTGCGTAATACCTCCAGGTCCGCATCGTCGCCTTTTTTCAAACCCTGCCAATTGTCAAGTTGACGTTGCAACTTAGTAGCATTGTCCTTGTGTTCCTCAAGCTCCCGCTCGAGTTGAGTTACCCTCGCTTGTAGACCATCACGTTGCACGGTTATCCGAGATAGTTTGGAGACATTTGTAACAGTAGTCGCGTCTGCATCTGCTTGTGATTCCCGGAGTCGGCGCAGTTGATCCTACGACTATGTTAGACCACCGGTCACTGATAAGAATATTGACGCTGAATGAGCAGACCTCGACATCTTCGCGTTGCTTGTGAGCTGCTACAATTTCGTCCGACTTCAGCTTCAACTCAGATGAAAGCGTCGCGTGTCTTGCGCGTAGGTCGAGAATAGTCTTCTGGTACTGCTCATCGCGAGATTTAAACGAATGCTCCGTTTGAGCCGCTTGATAGTCGAGATCTGCCTGGAGGTCCTCTATTTGACTCTCTAGTTCTGCCTCCCTAGCCTGGAACATGGTGATCTTATAATCCCTTTGTATACGCGCAAGCCTCTCGCGCCGTGCAATTTCGCGCTCTTTGAGCACCGCAATTCGTTCGTCGTCCAAAGCACATGCCGTCCTGAGGTGAGCAATCCTATGGCACGCCTGCAAGGCATCGCAACCAGCGTGCCACTCCTTTTGCTCCGCTCGCCACTGTTGTTTTATGAAACTGACGGTGTCCTTGGCGCGAGTTTGTTCGATATCGCGTTCATCGTGTAGCTTCTTGATGGTGTGTTCCAGTGTCCGATTCTTCTGCACTAAGTTTTCTATGTGACCTTGCTGCGAGGCGACCATGGCTTCGTGCGGAGCAAAGGGAGCCGCGGTTCGCACCGGAGTTGGTGCTTTCTTTGAACTGGGCTGCGGCATCACCTTTGCTAATGCATGCATTAGATGGAAATGACACGTTTAGAGCACATCACTAACCAATGCTCGTGAACGAGTGTCAGTCTGTGTCCGTTGTGAGTATTATTATTAAAAGTTCGTTGATTGGAAGGGTCGATCTTGTTCGCGTTGTTGAGATGACGAGAAGGTACATCGTTACAGTATTAGGCAATTATGTACGTCATCAGATGAGTGTATAAACAACTTTGGTGTCGGTCACCGACGACGACGAACGGAAATTGCAGAGCAGCTGAGTGGGTTCTACCATTATAGTTACGATAATGGCACAACAATATCATCTGTACGAGATATTACCGTGAAGTTCGTCCGTGACTGTTAACCATGGCATCGATATTTATGATACCGATTCTACCAGCCCTCCCATCTCATCATCAAAGGACCTCCCCAAACCTATTACTTCCTTGTCCATGGCGAGATATTTAGGGGGTGTCGGAGAGCGAGTGAAGTGACCAAGATGTTTGAGAAACAGACTGATCATGACATCACAACAGGAAGATACGTGAGTTGGTCAATGGAGATCGAGTATTTCGAGAGCTCTCTTATGTCTGAGATTGGATGTCCTCAGTAGCATGTGGAATAACCGAGGCAGTACGTTCCGCTAGTGTACACTTTGCGGTCCATCTGCTCAACTGATTATACATATTGTCACTCTGTAACAGCATCATACGACGGCCACCTACGTTTCTTCGACTATTTCCAAAATCCCGACCTCGACACCTCCATGCATCAAGCACTCATAACTTTTGTCTGCGTCGCGTCTTCACAGCAGAATTCTAGAATATGACCTCACCGCGTGTCTTATATCTCCCACTGTCGTTTCCATAGATCTACACATCAGCCCTCTATCCTCCATATCTAGTTCGCACTCCCGCACCTCTTCGTGGGACGGCTTCGTCGGTATCTTGGGACACCTCAATTCCCGATGACCACCAAGTAACCACAGGCAATAACAAAAGCAGGCATAAGACAGCCCCTGCAAATACAAAACAGGAAAGCACCAATGGCAGTGCTAAAATCGCACACTGCACGCGTATCAAAGGCACTGTTTGCTGACGGAGACCCTGCCAAAGGTAAGGCATGCAGCTGCCGTTTCGACTCGACGGTGCGAACCCGGGATGTCGGGAGCGGTGTGCGTATTGATCCGATTGTAAGCCCTGTATTTACGCTGTGTGAACCCACCCGAATACTTCACCCACCAGAACGTCCCCGAACGACCGTTTCTCGATTTCGCTGATGGAAACCTCGCTGCATCCATTTGAAAGTGGCAAGTAGCAGGTAGTAACTGGTGCTTATGACGGCGCTGCACGGCTGTGGGACCTGCGGAGCACAGAAGGCACTGTGGCCAGCTTCAGGGTGTGGAATGGGATGGAGATCTTCGCGGTGGACCGGGGTAGGGGATGTAGCGGGCATCGGAGGCGAGGGTGGTATGGAGGTATGGAAGATCACTGGGGGATCTTAGGTTTGATACAAATCCAATTGTCTGGACTTGGGTCAAGTCGCAATCAACACCTTGATATCCAGAGAAAAAAGGGGTGGCAGATTCGTCAGACTCAGAATTGGGTGTACTTTGTGAATTAAAGCATGAGTACTTAATGCTTTCATGTCGTTCACCCCAAGCCCCGCTACGATCTGGCGCCCGGGCAAGACGGAACAGCGGACCGGGGAAGTGATATTATGACTCGGGATTCGATTCATCATGACCCGAGGTGTTTTCGAATTCCCCATCTTTTTCACATGGCGTATGCCAATGCCTATGAACCCCCCCCCCTCCCGCGAAGCCTGCTTAGAAGCTTTACGGTCCCGTCCCCTACGACATCAACGTCGCCTTTCCGCTCGACTCCACTCAGCTGGAGACCCTGCGTCTGAGGCTAACACCATTCATCCCATCCATTCACGCTGAAAAATACCATGCAGCCATATCAGACCCTACACACTTCTACCGTTATTATCCCTTTCCAGGAATGGAAGAACCTGGATCATATCTGCTGTTCATGGACGGTTTCGTGCGCCAGAACCCGTACTCCATCCTCTTTGCGATCATCGACAGGACCACCACAGACCCGGAAAATCCGGAGTGGGGAGGAAAGCTCGCAGGGACAATTGCACTCCTGGATTATTCACCGACGAACCTGTCAGTGGAGATTGGGGTGTTGTGTATTCTGCTCGCATTTCAGCAGACACATCGCAACGCATGCAGTGGGAGCACTCCTCAAGTACTGCTTTTCCATGCCATGCCCATCCCAGTCGGAATCCGGGTTGGGGTTAAGAAGAGTACATTGGTACGCGCATCCGGACAATGACGCATCCCTGAGACTTGCTGCTCGCATGGGGCTCAAACACGAAGGGACTATGATATGGGTGAGGGTGTTGCCTGTCGGGAAGACACTCGGAAAGACACCTAGGAAAAACGATCTGCTGGAAGGGCCTAGAAGAGACACTGCGATTTTGGCTATTTCGTGGGAAGACTGGGAGGGCGGAGCAAGAGAAATTGTGACAACACAAATGGCTCGAGTGAAATAATGCATGGGTAGTCAATTTACGCCGAGTGGTGCAATAGACGAAATGTAGAACTAGGAAGTAGTAACTTCAGCAGGAACAAGGATGATATACATAGCACTGAATAACATACGCGGGAATCAATGGTTTCGTGCGATCATGGTCCATGCAGCTGAATGAATCCATCATCTGGTATGCCTCTTGCTGACCTCCTCCTCACATCTGGGGACATGCTGGCACCCATGCTGTCTCTCATACCCATCCTCGCAGGGGAAGCCCCATCCACTCCAGTGCCGTAGAAGTGACCGGGTGAAATACCGTTAAATGGAACGTTCGAGTATCCCCCAAGATTAGGATGACGTGGAGTCACTTGAGGCATGCTCTGTGATACATATGGATAGTTATGATTTGAGGAGTTCGAGTGATTTCGAGTGATACGAGAAGGATCATGTGCACGAAATTCGGGAGGCTGCATTGAGGTTCGAGCGGCGGCATGTTCCTCCTCGCGTTGTCGTTTCTGGTACTCCATCAGTGGAGATGAGTCATAGTAGAGATCAGACCCTTGGTCCACAAGAAACCTGAACAGTTTTCAATTCCCTCTGAATACGACATAGCTAGACGACGCACTGTTGAGTTCCAACATCCCACTGTGGTCCACGTTCAGCACGAGCTGTAATAAGCAATGAATTCCAGTCCGATGCAGACTCCTGAATGCCCTCCTAATGTTAGAGTCCTGGTGTAAGTAACATGGCACTCACAATAGCCTGAGCTAACCCATTATTCGAGTCATAGTTGGGCTGGTGAGTGGCAACGCGCGTTTTCTCTTTCCTAGCCAGCGCTTCGACATGCGCGGAGAATTTCGCGCCTATCCTTTGAGCACCATGGCGCGGAACCTTGATTCTGATAGCTTTGGCTGGCTTTCCAGGTGCCATGGCATTAGCGGGTATGGCAAGCGTGAGGAATTCGAACGCTGACTATTGTCCGGAAAATGCCGGGCCTCATCGACGTCCAAGTCGGATTGGACAAGCATTAAATCGCATTGCTTCACTACCACGAGGTCTTCAACATATTCTTGAGAAGTATCTAAACTCTGCTGGCAACAATTTGTTTCAAACGGCTTTCCTACCACCCACGATGGTACTTTTGTAGCATCATTTCGTATTCGCTCACTTTGTGTTCAGCTCTCATATTTCTTATCCGTCGATGGACGGGGTCGCCAATTGAACCTCAATTGGAAGCGCTAGTCCCGGCTTGAAGAAAAGACGGACTCGTATCTCTATCAATAGAGTCTCCGTCATACAACGAGCACACCCACATCATACAGGTGCACATCGTGCCTTTCATATGCATGATGACATCTTTTGGAGCATTCCCTCACTCTAAGAGAAACAGTTCGTATGACAACTCTTACCTTTACTAGCGCATTCTGCTTTCAGTTAAGGCAGGTTGTTTTCGCCCTTACAGAGAGCGATAAAACTTCCTGCGATAGGCGTTCAATAATAATTGCGTCATACTCGTGAGCAAGAATCTGACAGGTGTCAGAACGTTTCGATCCGATAAAACCCTCCCATACTAATCGGAAAGGTAGGGTAATGTTCCCGGCTCCTAGGAATGAGACTGACAGGCACATACTGGTGACGTAGGTCGATGACGCCTTTGGACTCCAAGGAGCTGCGGCACAGTTTTTGCTATCAAAATAGCTGTTCCCATTTATCCTCTCCAATCTATGATACGCTGCGGCGCATAATAATTTTTGCCGATTGGAGTGCGGTTTTTACTTTTCAGTGCTGTCCGATTCGTCGATGCGGTTCATTGATCGGGAAGAGAGAGGAGTAGCCCAGAACATTTGAAATTGTGGTCAAGAAAGAAGGAAAGATACTTTTTTTCGTGCCGCCACTGTAGGGTCTGTCCATCCTAATGGTGGGCGGCAGTCCGAAGAAGGCCTGATCATGGCTGGCGGAACTGACTACTATGGCCAAAGAAATTGCAACAGCCGGACAGGCTTGTAAGTTAAACGCACCTGCGGGGACAGTGTCCGCAATTTGTGGCGCCAAAAAACTCAGGGGCGCACACTCCACCAGTGTCACGGTGATATCATCGCATTGAAATAACCTCACCGCCAATGCTGCTAGTATAAAAGGCGTCACCTCTTGATCAACTCTCCCTATTCCATCTTATATTGAACTTCCCCCATTTTATACAAACACTATGTGGTTCACGCACGACTCTCCAGAGGCTCAAGCACATGCACAGGTAAGCTGAAGTGGTGTATTAGGTTGACCGCTCGTCTCAACGATGTGTAGGTGACTGGTGGACACACCGCCAAGCTGAGCCACGAGCTCATTGCCTCCGCCGCGGCATACGAGGTTTGTCTTTTGCGTTTGTTAAACATGACATCATCACCGATCACACCTTAGGCTGCTAAAGCGTACGAGAAGCACGTCCAGGCTAACGGAAAACCCGCAAACCATGCGAAGGCCGTCGAAATGTTGTGAGTATTATTATGTAAATGGTTTCGAACTTCTCTGAAATAAACAACCCTTTGTAGAGCGGCGCTGACCGGTGGCTTCATTGACCGCATTGCAGAGACTAAGGGAATGGACGAGGTTGACAAGCAAAAGGCCAAGCATTCAGGTGCGTTGCATAATCTTTTGCAGCATGCAATGCCCTGAAGCACGACTTTTGTAGCACAAGAACGCGCCAAAAGCACCCTCCAGGAGAAGGGTGATTTCTGATTGTGTCGTAGTAAATCAAACATGCACAATAGACTTTGGTAGCAGGATGCACAATATAACCATTAGTAGACTGAACATCAGAATGTAAATTATATGGATGGTTTGAAACTTAATGGGGGGGGAGGGCTTCCAAACGGCGGCGACTGAATATCGATCGTGAATAGTCTTCCTATGAGGATTTCTTTTTAGTGGCTACAGCGTACCGGTACCTGCTAGATGCGGAATGAAGGATGGCGCGTTACGCGCAAATATTGGGGGGACTACTAGCCAAAGAAAGATCAACAAGTAGAAATAACGCGTAAACACGCTCTTCTTGTGACCTTCGACTTGTGGAAGCATCTAAGGAGTTAATATTTGGTTAAGATACTTACAAGACTTGTACAAAACAGTGCAAAGCATGTCCCCTTCTGGTTCTGTTATTCCCTCAGCACCTGGACCATCAAGTCCTCTCACAAACTCGTATACTTACCATTCTCCAACGCCCACAGCAGCAGGGCCATACATCCTTGGTGTAGATGAGGCTGGTCGTGGCCCTGTACTTGGGCCACTCGTTTATGGTGTTGCCTATTGTCCTGCATCTTGGAAGACCGACTTAGAGAAGCTTGGCTTTGCTGGTGAGCATATCTCAAGCGCCCAATTGCATCATGACGCGAGCCATGTCTTCTACCAGACTCAAAAACACTCACATCGGAAAAGCGAGCTCAATTGTTGGGCGTCCTTAATTCTGATCCTCAGAATCTCGGATGGTCTGTCCGAGTCATCAGGTATGCATACATCTTCTATCTTTTGCGAGACTTCTTATGGTGACTAGTCCGCAAGCCATATCGGCTGGGATGTTGAGAGTTCCACCGACGAATCTCAACAAACAATCACAGGATGCAACTGTATTGCTCATACGTGAAGTTCTTCAGAGTGGGCTCCAGTTGTCCGAGGTTAGCATGAACTCTGCGTTTTCGAATGAATACTAAATCACCCTTTGATTAGGTATATGTGGATGCTCTGGGAAACACGACTACTTATGAAGCCTATCTTTCTTCCCAATTCCCGGGAATCGGTTTCACCGTAACAACGAAAGCAGATTCAAAGTTCAAGATCGTGGGAGCAGCTAGTGTGGCAGCAAAGGTGACAAGGGATGCGTGTGTGGATGGTTGGACCTTCGAAGAACTAATCGAAGAAGACGGCAGTACGGTTAGGAAAGCTCGAAAAGAGGAGTGGAACAGAGAATTCGGGAGTGGCTATCCATCAGGTCAGTTACTTGAGTTGCACAAAATTCTGTCTTCTTGCTGAACGCAATCGCAGATCCAAAAACTCAAAGTTGGATAAAGAACTCACTCGACCCTACTTTCGGTTTTCCATCCTTGGTCCGATTTTCGTGGACAACTGTTAAAGTCGTGCTGGAGAAATCTGCGCATTCTGTGAAATGGTAATTATAATCTTATATCATCAAGCAATACCCAATCCTCCGTCCTTTTTTACAGGATCGACGAGGGGCAGGAGTCATTAATGAAGGCATTTGAGGGCGGAAAGGGGAGGGAAAAAGACCGGTGCATTGTCACAAAGGACCTTGGTATCCAGAGCGTTGGAATGCTATAAAAAGCGCTGCGTACATTTGCCAACTTGCAATACTTACAGGTGCTGTGGAGCAAATAGAACGAGTCGGAGGCTTACGGTGTCGGTGTCTTGCTTCAAATGACTGCGCCCTCCAGCAACATTTGTTGGACAGGCGTTCGAGTTTCTGGTGCGGCCATCTGCCCATCTATCTCTAACTTCACCCGTTCGTACGTTCACAAATTCTTAAGGAGTGGACGAAACAGACCAGCAGTAAAAGTTGTGGCGGGCGCGGCATACCGGCATCCGGATCGTGCAACAGATTGCAATGATGATGGCTCGCGCCGTCTTGCTCCATCTTCGATATCACTGCACCGCTGCAAGGGTCTTGCGCCTTCTTGAGGGTCATCGGCTTCGTTATTCCCTTCATGGACCCCGAGTACGCATCCTACTATACTACCTTGAAGGAAGTCACATTCGTGAATTCCAAACCTCTGACGAAGAGATGAAGAAGATCGTGTTCAGGGGTGGTCAATCAATTCTTGACATCCTCATCAAAGCCACTACCCAGCGCCCTTTAAAAAACATAAGTTCAAACAAGTTCTCCTGACCTGTCCGTCCGAGTCGTCCACACGAAGTACATGTCAGCATTCGTTTTCACTCCCCATTCGATAATAACTTACCCTCCCCTATCATATTACACTTCGAAGTTGTCACGTCACGTTCTCAACGTCTCATTGAGTTGTCATTTTCTCTCCATTCTCTCTCAAATATACAAAATAAGTCTATATGAATCCACTTCTTTCACGCCTGGGAGGACCCTATAATTCGCTGCTAGTAACTCATGCGTCGTGCGATCAACCATAATGCACAGATGCGAAAGCAGAAACACGACTCACTGTAGTTCACTGTCGCGACATGCCACTCACTCAGTCACACATATTAAGACAACCTGCCACGCCGGTGAGTCATATGGTTAATCTAGGACGAAACCTACTCATACTCACCCACAGAAGGTAGCCCTGCGGCACGCATTTCTGCCCAGGGCAGCAGTCACCTAAGTTGCAATATTTGTGACATTTTTCAGTATCAGGGTCACTCGCAGGTATTGATGCTGCAGATATTGATGCTGTTAAAGCGGCAACGACGGCGAGGACGAAGGAGACACGCATTGTTTGTGAGGATATGGTATGGGATTAAATAAATCTGAAGGGACAGTAGGAAGACGGCTTGCTTTTATATGCTGAATATTGTTCTTTATAGCGATGTAGGAAGAACCTATCCACCTGAAATCCCCTTTCGAACAGATGGTATCTGCAATGCCAGCAGATTGCCACCTAAGATCTTGAGAACTTAGTTCGTACAGTCCGACTATAACTTGATTACCCGTGAACTTCATTGAAGGTCTACTTCGAGTCAGGCTGGCGATTTGGCGTGGAACAGAATATCACTTTGCAAAGCAAGGTCAATATTCACTGCGGGAATGAGAAACTAATCAGAACCCGTTCCAAGGGAGACAGCAAGGATAATCTGAGGCAAAGTAGACCTAGCTTATCATGATAATCCAGCATAAATCAGAGGTGTGGCCGAATTCGACCCACGATCGCGATACCTGTAATTGGGTCCTTATCAAACGGTCTCACAAGACCTAGGCCCGTCCAGATCATCATTTTGCCTCGGTAAATACATGCTATACCAACACCAGCCTCGGAATATACTCTTTGCGACCGTCTGAAATTCTCTGAATAGTGTGTCCCCGACATCTGGAGTTGTTTATGAGATCGTACGTGTTGACTGATTTCCAAACTCCAGCGAAAGGCAATTAATCAATCGTGAGATAGAAAGTGGAGCCAGAGAACCTCGTGGTTGTCGATGTATGTGATGGGAGCTCGTCGTAAATCGTCTGGACGTTTTTATCTGGGTTTTGACTTGGTGCATCGCGAAGCAGAAGCCTTTCCGCATAAGACGAGAACGAGGGAAAATAACCCATACAAGATGTATTATTCATGCGGTCATCCAGAGCAGACGGCCCCCGCGACACTGATGAAGCATAAGCACTGCCAGCCCTATTCGAAAGTCGAGAAGGTACTGACTGGACTATCACAATTGAATGCAAGACGATGCATTTTGGAAGGTGTGGAGAGATACATCGAACCGAAGTATGAAGGCACCGCGTGTTATGTCGATGTCGTCCAGGAAGACATAAATAGTATTTTTGCAGCAGTTAATGGAGGCAAACCCTCATGCCCTGAGCGTCTACGGAAACACGAGGCAGGTTAATACAGTGAAACAGCATCAAACGCATGGTACACCACCTTTGCATCAGCAATAAACCCACAACCCTCCACCCAAGTCTACCTCGACATCAACATCATCATCAACTTCTAGTAAAATGTCGCAACTCATCCCAAGCACCACACCCATTCGAACATTTAAAGATCATACATCCTTCATATGGGGTGCAGCAGTGTTCCCCGATAAACGACGAATGATCACGAGCTCGCCCGACAAGACGCTTCGTCTGTGGGACGTGAAGACAGGTGCAGTGTTGAAGAAGATGGAGGGGCATAGCAGCGGGGTGTGGGGATTGGCAGTATCACGAAACGGGCAAATGATAGCAAGCGGTGATGAGAACGGAGAGATCATCGCCTGGCACGGAGAAACTGGGGAATCTCTCAACCAACCTATCAAAGCCCACTCCACTTCGATCTACACTTTGGACTTTTCACCCGATGGTACGGTGCTAGCCACTGGTTCATTTGACCAAATGACGAAGCTTTGGAACACCAAAACATGGCAGCCTCAAGGAAATCCAATCCAATGTAGTGGCTTCGTCTGGTGTGTTCGGTATTCGCCGTCCGGCAAACATCTTGCCATCGCAACATCCAACGGTATCGAAATTTATAATTCAAGCACACGGGAACGCTTCAAGGATCACACATCAAACCAATTTTCACTCGCGTGGACGCCCGATGGCAAACGCCTTCTCTCGGGGGGCGATAGAAACGATCCTACCATACGGGAGTGGGATACATCTACTTGGACGCAGGTCGGTGATCCCTGGAAGGGCCACACTCACTGTGTCCGTGCCATTGCCATTCATCCTGCGGGCACCCACGTCGCCTCCTCATCTGATGACACTCATGCTCGTCTCTGGCGTCTCTCAGATCGACAAACCATCGCCATCTTCCAACACTCCTCTGCAACGTACTGCGTCACTTTCTCCATGAACGGCATGCACATCCTCAGCGGAGGTTATGATAACATGATCTCACAGTGGGAGGCACCCAAGGACGTAAATTCAAAGGCATGTCTCTGTCCCTGACTCTGATGATGCAATTCCGAGCATGCTTCATGTCACAGATCCTCTCTGTCAATGCAACCGCCCATGATGCATGCATCGCGGGGGACTTGTCTACCGCTGAAGAGGTATTCACACAGGAGATCAACGCCGATGAATGCGACTACACCTCGTTTGCCAATCGTTCATTCATCATGGCGCGAAAACACGACTACGACCACGCGCTTGAAGATGCCACCAAGGTGAAATAGACCGACTCATCATCGTTCCCTTCGAACCACTAACTTCTTTTGTGATATAGTCCGTCGCCATTCAACCCTCCTTGATAGGTTATATCTCCAAGGGCATCGCCCTATGCGGAAAAGGGCAGGTCCAAGACGCGAGGACAGCATTTAACATCGCATTCATGTTCACGAACGAAGAGTCAAAAATCATCCATTTTCTTCTCTTGATTCAGGTATGTTGATTTTTTTTCTCGCATACTCCCTATTTCATCGCGGATTTCCAGGTCATCGCACTATTTGGTGCAGATCAACATCAGGAGGCAATGCAGCTTGTCCAACAGCTGGCTGCAGCCTGCCCAGATGACAATACTCTCGCGTATCGTGTCGTGGAAGTGAGTACCTTAATCGAGTACAAGGTTTCATGCATTGAAACTGATTTCTGATCGGCGTCAGGCCTATCCTACGTGTTCAGCTCGGAACCAGTGCCTTGAATGGCTCGCGGCACGACGAAGCCTGCAGACCACTTCACTGCCGCTATTCCAGTCCAGCGCTTTTTTGTCAGGGTCGGATCATTCATTTTGTGTACAAGGACTTGGTGGTGGTACGTTGATGTGATATAACCGAACCCGCTTTTCATGCCCTAATCGCGTGCTTTTATAGCTATTCGGGTTGGACCTCGAGAGATTATGGCAAATTGCAAACCAGAACCGATGCTGATGCCCTCCTCCGGGCAGGGAGACTCCGAGAAGCCCTCGAATCACATCAATACATGATGGATATGAGCGACGAACCTACGAAGGCCAGCTGCTTCGACTGGTCCACTGGTAAGTTTTTGTGAATATCCCGCAAGCTAGAATCCTCACCCGTATTTCACTCAGCTTTCACGCAAGAGTGTAGAGTACTTTGTCTTGCCAACGGAGACGCAGCGCTCGCTGCAAGTGACTATGACAGGGCCATCGAGCTGTATTCAGTGATTATCGACCTAGATTTTGCAAACGACATTATCTTTGCAAACCGTAGTAGGGCAAAGTCGCAAAAAATGCTATGGGACGATGCCGTTCTCGATGCGCAAAAGGTTCGATGACATCTGCCGTTTTGTAGCCAATGCTCACTTGGGCGATACATAGGTCATTGAACTTAATCCTTCGTCTCACGTTGGATACGAATTGAAGCATACAGCGCTTCACGCAGCCCAGCGCTACGATGAAGCCATTGAGGCCTTGGAAATGATGATCTTGAAATTGGAGAGTGCTACCGACACGCAAATACGAAGTAAGCTCTAAGTAACCCGTATATCACGACACTCAACTCTTTCCGCAGAGCTACGCGAACAGTATGTCAGTCTCTCCGAAGCAGCAAGTGCCATTCGAAAGGTCGTCCACATTCAACTCAATCTTACCCCGCTGCGTCTACTTAACACCGCCACCGGACTCTTATGTGACCGAGAAGCGCAGATTGGCGCCTTCGAAACAAGAACAGAGTACAAGGAGCTTCTGGTATCGACGATGAAGCACCCTAACCTCGGAATGGAGCACATGACAGAAGTGGTGGCGACATACTTCCGGTGCACCATGCTATCGCATAGGTGGGAAGGGACGGAGCCATTGCTGCATGACGTCAAGGACAAGGACATATACGAGTTGAACCCGGCCGGCGGTCTCGCGAAGTTGCAGTCACTCTGCGAAATTGCTCGTAAGGCGGAGTATCACTGGGCGTGGATGGATTCGTGTTGCATCGACCAGACGAACAATATCGAGGTCCAAACATCACTGGATTCCATGTTTGCCTGGTATCATCATTCAGCGCTCACGACTGTCTACCTGTCTGATGTTTCGCCTTCGTCCACGTCTGGCGCGCTGGCAAAGAGCACTTGGAATACCCGAGGATGGACCGTCCCGGAATTCCTAGCTCCTAAAGTCATTCGATTCTACCAACAGGATTGGACACCATATCTCAACGACCACTCCCCCAACCACAAAGAATCTGTCGAGATCATGCACGAGTTGGAGAGTGCAACGGGCATAGAAGCACGCGCCCTCGTTGCCTTCCAACCCGGGATGAGAGACGCCCGAGATATACTCCAATGGGTGTCTGCGCGCGTCACCACTAGGCCAGAAGATATTGCATACTCATTGTTTGGCATTTTCGGTGTCCGACTTCCTATCAATTATGGCGAGAATAGGCAAAATGCGGTCGGGCGGCTCCTGCAGGAGATCGTGGCTCAGTCGGGCGACATCACTGCCCTCGACTGGGTCGGACAACCATCCACGTTCAACAGTTGTCTTCCAGCCAACATTTCCTCATACGCAACTCCACCATGCACCCTCCCATCTTTGTCTGAAGACGAAATCCAGACCGCGGTCATTTCGCTGCAAAACACCGTGGCTGTGGAATTGGCTGTAAAACTTTATGACCAGCTTGACAATACAAGCACCCCTCGCTTCGCGAACTGCAGACTGCATCTGCCTTGCATCGCATTCCGTGTCACGGAACTCAGACGGAAAAGTGGCCCAGCCCAAGAGACCCGCTTCACGTATGGAGTGAAGGCAGACGGGCTTGACAACCTGCTGATCACCACGAAAGAGTCGTTGGTTCAGTTCTCGCGGGCAAAGCCTACTCGGCAGACATTCTTACTTGTCCGTCCATGGGACAGTCGTCTCCTCGAGCTGCCTGATTTTGCAGAGCTGCCTGCCCTTGGAGACGATGCGGAGAGCTTTGAAGAGTGGTCCGAGCCCGAGTCTCCGTTAGACGACTCACCCGGCGGTTCTCTTATAGAAGAAGAGCTGGATGATTCAGAATCTCACTCGCGAGCCTTGCGACTGATGGTTCGCCTTGGGCAGCCGTTCGGGGCATTTTTACTAACACGACAGCCTAACGGAGAATACACGAGGATTGCATCAGATTATAGTATTATCGCACAAGTCAAAGACGTGACTTCTATTCCCAACATCATGAGCGGAGTCAGGATCGTAGAAATATTGTAACTGTATCTTTTTCTTCAAGACCGGGGATCTCTGAACGGGTTTCGTTTTTCCCTTGACGATCCATATGCATACGCAGATAGTCTATGATTCCTTCGACTAAGCAGCTATTCATTTCATCACGGCCGAGGTAATACTTGTCTGTCGTACATCATCCAAGCCTTTTCATCCTCCCCCACAACCCCGCATTTACCCGACGCCTTCGCTATCATCAATTTACGCCTCGGATCCTCTTGGTTATGCCTCTTACAACCAGTAGTACACGAACCGACACCACATTCAGCTACACATCCCCAATAGCCATGTTCATGACCTCCCTGGTACCTCAAGTAGATTTCTTGAGTCGTCTTTAAAGTTTTCGTTCGAGTTTTTGTTTGTGTACTAAGTGTTCGAATCCGTACAACTAGAGCCGCTTTACATTGATCATGAAGGCGTGACTCAGTTCAACAGTTCGAACGGGATCAATGATCAACGTTCAACGCAGAAGATATCCTTGTACAGTCCTTGTTCAGAACGGGATGACAAAATGTCAGTCGAGTAAAACACTTTGAAAATTATAACACTGCTCAAACATAAGCCGTGTGAAATATACCATTGCAAGGGTTGTTTGGATTGAAAGCTTTTGCCAAATAACTTCCTAGTATGTGGTACATACAATACAGTATTACACGATGCAACTCTTCCATGTCTCTACGAGGCCATGCTCGTTGCGGGCTCGGGGACACCATGAGCACACCAGACATCCCGAATGGCCAACAGCTTTCCTTGCTCAGCGTGGGCGACAGAACGCCCGGGGGTGTGACCATCACGGTATTTGGTCATAGCACGTCGTTACTACTCACCTCTCTGTTGTGATGCAATTTTCTACATCCGTATCAGCCATATTTTCCTTTCTTCAATCCAAGCACTGAAAGGAATGTGCCACAGTTGTAGTGAAAAACCACTCGGACCATCCCAAGATCCGACGACGCTGCCCCACACCTCCGCTGAGAATGGCCATTGAATCACCAACTAACTGTTGCAGAAGAGGGTTTGGGACACACGAAGTTGATTCTCTGCCTGATACTATCTTGGACTTGCGTAAGTTCTCCCTTGACTCTTCCTCTGCTCTATTCGTGTCGCCGGATGTGCTCGTAGTGGTGTTTCTATCCGTCAACGTGTTTTGTGACCTGAACTGACTTTGTTGCTGTAGCAATACTATAAATGTAGACTGCGATAACACGCTACATGCAAAGCTGGAGATGACGATACGGCCCTATCGTCCTACTGTTGGACTACTTCGAGCATATCATGGGAATTACGTCTCGCATTCGCTGATGTATTGTGCACCACGTACGTTGGCGGAAATACAACATGTCCTCAAAGGCTAGTCTAAATTTTGTTGTTTGATGTCGACTTCCAAATGCTTCTCCTCCTCGCGGGGACACGAGAGCCTACCTCCAGTAGCTCGAGCACCTCATCCCGGCCATATGACTGCGAACTGGGGCAGTCTTGGAGCTAAACTTACCATTGGGGTATTGTCGAACTCTGGCGTAAGTGAGATATCTTTTGGGATGATCAATGGGACGATCTCTGCCTACGGGAGACTAGAAGGTGCTTTGTTTTCAGATTACCGACAGCTTTAACTTGATCACACTAGAATGTGTTCATGCAGTACACACTTGGGATGTGACAATATCAGATCAGGACATTGGAATACATTAACTATGAGGTTGGATTTACAAATAGGTTTCCATAACCTTATAATTTGGCTGGAAGCAAGTGTCGTAATTCAAATACGCCAGGGAATGGATGGCTGATTATTGCCAGGCTGCTCCAAACACATATCAGGTTTGTGCCGTTGACTCTCGGTCACTTACACCCTTGATTCACATCGTGACATTCACGACTGACTTGGCCCTCCCAAGTCCGCGCTACATCGGCATTCATGCTGCATGTTGCAAAGTGACTCTTTTCTCTGGAGTAGCAAATTTCATTGTCATTTGACGGGGTCAAAGGGGATATAATAAGAGCCTGGGATTTGAAGGATTGAATCTATGCTTTCGAATCGATTCGAGAAGTTCCAACTGATCCAGTGCTTTAAAAGCTGCGAGGCCGCCCCATTAACATTTGGTTCCCTACTTATGTAGGAACACCCGTCCAAGATGGTGTTACACAGTTGTTTGGAAAGCTAAACTAACCGGACCGTCATCCCAAGATCCGACAACTCTGCTGAGAGTGGCTAGTGCTCTTGAAGCCGCTGGGCGATTGGCAATTAGCTATTGCAGGAGAGGTCCTGGGCCGCACGAACCCTAGATTCTCTTACTCATTCCTCTATGACTCCACCCCGCTCATGTACGCACACTCCGCCCAATCAATAGTCGCGATCTCCAACGCGCTCGCTTCAGAATCGACTTTGCGCACTGAAGACAAGCGTGGAAATGCATTGGATACCATAGCTATCGTCTGGTTTTCATGGTGAAGCGCTTAGGGCCAGGCATGTTTCTCCCTGTTCCTTCCTTTACCCACACTCAACTCTCTCTCACTTAGGTCTATTTCACCCACCACGCCCACCACGGTTCCCCCAAAGGCCACCACATCATCCTCTCCGTCAATCTCCGAACTCCGTTCATCTGGAGCTTGCACTGCGAGTCGTCGAGCGTTCACGATACCCGCGCTTCCCAATGCACTACATTCATCGGGAATCCTGGGCCGGACAGCCGGTACACTACGATGATCGCAATGACATTAACCCCCGTGGGCTGATAACACCCCATCTGTGTATTCTGATGGCTTCAGACTATGTCGATCGGGTGTTCAGCCCTTGAGGATCCTTTCGACACTGTTTTCGGCCGTGGTTCGCGTCCATGTTTCTTACATCGCTTCGCATGAACACCGGGTGCTTGTCATCCGCGTTGACAGGCAGCGTCAATGACGATGCTGCCTCCGCATTTCTCTCTCTGTGACGACGGAATATTAATGCTTGGCAGGCCCCTATTTTCTCCAATGAACCGACTCGCCTCGACCCCTTTCTCCTTTGCTCCTCCACGATGCATATCAAACCCCAAACCTTCGATGATAATGCGTCCGTGGATTCGTATGACGTGATTGGCAACAACCAATTCGTGGCTTCTTTCCGCTTCAGGATGTTCCAGACCCGCCTACGCATTACACAGGAATTGGCCGTGGAATTTGTTGCCGCGGGTACGTGGCCCATGTCTTTTAGCCTGGTCCTCACACTGATACGAACGTGCCATTTCCTGCAGGACGTATATGGGTGTTGCGCTTTTATGTGGCGCCGGAGGGGATGTGGCGCGTTGAGTATGGTCTTTCTGAGCATAGCCTTCCAGTCAATCCAGCCGCTGTGTTCGTGATAGAGGCCCGCAGAAGGTTGCCTGGTTGCGTGACCCCGGCACCTTCAAGGCTAGAAATGACTTCATCGTGCGCGCTTGTACCTAACGGGTAGGTTTATTGATCCGACTCGTTCGGAAGCAGACTTACTGACGGTTTTTATTATGCGTATGGACTATCCCTTTTTCCCTTGTTGGCTGATACACAGAACGCGAAGATACCCCGGCAAGTCTACCAGTAGTATTTGGTGCGGGTTGGGTGATTGGCCGATGGATGAGTAAGTATTCTCCCTCAAGGTCCCTTCGGCGTGACTCTTCCCTTGCCAAACTGACCGTGTTTCCTGTAGCAAAACCATATATGTAGACCGCCACGGCACCCTGCACGCAAAGCTGGAGATGACGATAAAACCTTTGGAATAGTGCTGCCGTGTCAGGTGAGTCAACTTATTTCTTGGGTACAAATAACCGCTCAAAGTGCCGCATGCAATACAGTATCCCGTCGTAATAAAGGCGAGCAACGTCAATGGCCAGGCGACACAGTACACAAATATGTATTTGGCGAGTCTCTAACACGAATCGGTCAAGCTAATCCCACATATGATGGACTCATGTACTACCAGTTCATCTGTACTCGATGCTAGATCACTCTCTCCATAATGAAGGACGAGCGGAGTTTTACATCTCGATACCGGTTCATCATCTTCTGCGTCCAGACATATCAGCGAAGCCGTAAGCCAACTAGCAAGTGACGACGCGCAAAGACTTCTTGACTGATTCTCCCTTCGCCATACTTGTAGAAGAACGTCGGAGCTGGCCGTTTCTTCTAATAATAGTAAGCTGATCGACTAGAAATTGTTGGCTGATCACCAGGGGACTCTGCCAGCGAATTTATCGTGAACGCTCGAGGACTCCATGATGATTGAATTGAAGCGCAAACATTCGGTAGCGACCTTAGATCCGTCGTGACTTAGTCTCCGGAATTGCACACGACACAACCGTTCGTCTAGTGATCATGAGTGGATCACCCATTAGTTTAGGTCCGTACGGATGCATTCTCTCTATCGTGAAAACGGGCCTATGATTCGTGTTAAAACGGGGATGGAGAACTATGTTGAAGGTCACGATCTGACGAACATTCCCAAGACTATGATCCCTGTCCGTTCGGTCTCAGATCTCAGGTGTCAACACAAATGTTCATTTCCTCCCTCTGCCAAATCGCTAGGTTCTAGTTATCACTATGAGGCGGGCGAGGGTAAATGCAGTTCTGTATGCGTAGTCAAGGAATAGACAAATACAGACCAGACTCTTCTACAGCTCCATTATAACTCTCTTTAGGAGCCATTCACTATATGTTAAATCGGATAGAATGACGGGAACAATCACCTGACCAATCGAGACATCCGTGTTGTCGCTTCTCTGCCTGCGATACTCCGAGAAGATGCCTTTCTCTACGAGAAGAATGGTTGACTTTCTTGACATCAGGAGAGAATGACTTCCGAAGGGATGTGATGGCGTTGGTAGGTCCTCGAAGAACGACGAGGTCCTCCCCATCAATCGACCGACATAACGACGTCACCTAATCGCCCCTGATCTCGATGAGCAGTTTGCTGTCCTTTGAACATAAGTGGATTATCTCATCTGAGCCGCCGCTCGCGAACTCCGAGTCGTCGCCTCGTGGAGAGTATTTGACTGCAGTGTGCACTGCACACACACCGGTTTTTATCAGTAGCGCAATTTGTCGGCCGTCACTGCGGAACCATTTTGCGGTAGCATACAGTGAATGAACGCGAACCCTGTAGAATTCAAGTTAGAAAGACGAGAGAGTCGAGAGTCGAGACGCGTTTTGGGGACGACGCGCGATCACTCGTAAGACTGTCACGGTGCCGCAACTTGGGATTTTGGTCGTCCTTCACGATAGAGAGGGTGAATGCATCGGTGAATGCAACATCGAGTTCGAGTTCATTCGCACAGACCCAAATTCGTTTACTACGAAAAAGCAGAGGCAATTTAGAATGTTACATAACATCACATTGAACCTGAATACTTTCCTTGCTCATGCAGCATTCCCTCCAGATACATACCCGAGGTAAACATACTTATTTGAACTTACAGATATGGGAAAGCGAACGAGGTCGTCCTATTCAAAGCTATCGGTATGTACAGACGATCTAAATGAGGCGGCGTAGTTGATGTTGTCGGGTAGATGTGACTCGTAGATCTGATGGCGTGTAGCAGAAGATGAAGGCAGGTGTCCTATTTGGTGTCTATGATTAAGTCATTCTAGTAGAGGCTGGTCACGAGCCTACGCCTGGGCCTTCGTCACACAGTCACATCAATGCTTAATGTGTGCTTACTAGTCACTGCGTTTATATACTGAAGTCGAAAGGAGAAGAAGGTCAACAACTTTACTAAGTAGGTGGCGCAGGGAACTTATCCAAGCATTGGTCTTTCTCTTGTTATTGTTATTATTGAATGACCTAGAACGCAGTCACGGTGGTCTCTGAATCCAGCCAACTTCGCCCGCCTACGAAATGCATGGGAGGCTGACACTCCCCGACATGTCAGCCGCCGTACTGCAATAGTACTTATATGCCGGTGACAGTAAGTACTAGCTGCTGCACCCTTTGCGACCTAACCACCAAGTCCTTCGTGAACAAGTCCGCCACTGTCCTTACTCGTCAGCGCTCGCGAATATGTCTTCCATTCCGCACATATTTGTCCTCTTCATTCACAAATCCTTGACATTCATTACAGGACTGTTTCACTCGTTCTTCAGCCTCTTTTCTCGTGGAAAGCGAGCGGCTGAGACCGATACACCAAGAACCGAAGGCCAGAGCTTCTCTACTTTCGTTCAACTTGTCTCATCCCAGAAGCCGAACCGGTTGAAGCCTTTCGTGCTGCCGCAGAATGTCGTCCTCCGGCGGCTTGAAGACGCCAGATGCAGGATTACTGACCAAGAGATCCCATCGTCTACAAACTCCAGCGACCCAGAGCTTGGTCGTTGTAACGTCGTCAATCTCCGGGGATCTCCGCGACTGTCTCATCCCCTATCCGTTCGTTCGCAGTTGCCTATGCCTTCATTTTCTCCTCCCTCGTCCTACGCACTCCCGAAGCATTCCCATGAATCTGTGTCCCGCAGCTCTTGGCCGCCAGTCTTTGACACACAGATTCACTCCGGCAAGAACTCACTTCCGAGTCCCTATGATACAGATCTGTCAACGTCCCTGTCATCCGCTTCCCTCAAAGTATGGACCAGCTCTCCTCAAGGAAAACAATCTTTCTCGCCTACCCGCCCAAACTGCTCTTATTCGCAGGGTGCAGGAGAGAACCGGTTCGCTTCTCCATTCGGCGACCGAGGCAGCATGTACTTTGCTCCATACTTCCACGGTGTCCCCTCCATCGCATCTGCAGCCGATCTATTCGACTTCTCCGTCTATGCCAGCTCCCCGCACGTCAACGTGGAATGCTATTCCACCAGTGATCTTGCCCATGAAACCAAGCGGCAGGAGAAACCGAGGTTCGCAGCCAAGATCTCGACCGTAGTCTACGATCCCGTCATTCGAGAGGTCTTCACGCTTCGTCCCAGCCACGGCACGCGTATCCCGGGACATGGAGGACGCAACTTCAAGAAACTCGCTTCGTCCACACCCCCTGCGTCACCGATCTCCTCCGTTTCAGATTGGTCGCCGTCAGGTCTCTTCACTGCAAGTCTGGCTGGACACACGTCTTCCTCTTCTTGTGTCACGTCGCACGCAAGGTCGCTTTCGGCTTCATGCAACTCCAGTCCTTGCGATTTCTCTGCTGCTGAAATCGGTGGGGTTCACCCTGGCTCCGTCCCACGAGTCCCTGTCTGGCCTATAGGATTGCCTAAGAAGAGCTTCGTTCCAGATAGCGTATCCTGTCCCGACATCTCTAGTTCTATCAGTCGCACCACCGCTGGTGAGGGTAAGGTCATCATGGCTTGATACTATGTAGTTGATTGCGAAGTGGTGTTTGTATGATCATTTCCAAGACGTGTTTGTGCTTCATGAATGTATCCTCGTGACGAGCGGACGTCAGATATCGTTAGCATTGAAATTTATGGGGTTGGAAAGCTATGGAGGAGATAGGCTCAGACTAGAGACGGGAAAACGCTCAATCTTCGATTGAGAAACCAAATACTACAACAATAGCATAGACGATAGCGAGACGGGAGAAACTTTGGGAAGCTATAGTCAGGAAGGGAAGTGGGTGGGTGGGTAAATACTGATGGATAACAGTCTTCGATTGAGAGACTGAGGGGAGAACGTCCCAAGAGAGTAGAAATAAACGAGTGCGGTTGGAACGGATAGCGAGAGATGAATAGCAGGACACGTATAACAAAGAGCGACTGTGTTTGTAAAGTAAAATACGAAAACATATCTTGATATGGAGGACGTCCAAGAAAGAGAGAAGCCTGCAAGATGACAAACATAACCAGATATCGTGACGACCGAACCTTAGAACATCTCAGCCAGCTTTTCTGGGCTAAATCCTTTGCTTCGGGGGACAATGTGACAAGGGAAGGGCAAAGGGTGGCTAAGAAGGTATCAGAATAAAAAATCCACACGAAAAAAGAACCTTACGAAGTAACGCCCGCAGTAAATTTCGGATTTACATTGATATCGTTGCCTTGCTCGTCTTTGCATTTCTTGATATCAAAGAGAGCGAGGACCGAAACCATCGCAGACCAGACAGATGCATCCGCGATATATCGCCCGACGCCTTTGAGATGTTAGGATTACAAGGAAGCATGATAGATTTTTGCGAGAGACTGACAGATTCGGCGACCCGCACCAAAGGCATAGCTCATGGTGTCGTCGTTCAACTCGCCGTCGGCACCGAAGAAGCGCTCAGGCTTAAATTCTTCTGGGTTGGGGTACTTGGCTTCGTTGCGTGTGATTGCCCTTTGGTAACTGATCAGTGGCAAGAACGTGACAAAGGTTAATCGCTTTGTAAATGCTCACCATGTGTTGGTTATAATCGTAGCGCCTGCCGCGTGTCAATCGAGAAGCGAAAGTTATTAAAACGTGTCGCACCTTGTGGGATGAAATATCCATTATAGATGTCACTATTAGTGGCAGCATGGGGAACGCCTGTGCCATTCATGTTTAGTCCGGCACTGACGACATAGTTTTCTACGATACGAACTTAATGGTACAGCGGGGTGCCACCGGAGAACTTCGCGGAGAACAGCTTCAACATATGGCATTGATGGTCTGTCCTCGAAATTCGGCAGCCTGACCGAACCGACCACAGAATCGATTTCGGCCTGCGCGCGGGCTTGTACCTCCGGGTTTTGGAGCATCGCCAGGACGAAAATAAACATAGTCGAGGCGGTCTGAGAGGAAACCTGTTAACGACATCCTCGTAAGCGACGACTACGGCATGACTTACTGTCTCCGAAGCAGCTGAGGAGGAAACAATAGTATGAGAGATTGGCACAGAAAAATTGAGGGCATCAACATACCCGCAAAGGCAGTTACGGCAGACTCTTTGATGGCCTTTACATACGTCTCGGACACGTTCTCATCCTCGGCTCTTCTCAAAGAGTCAGCGACCATAGATGGGGATGCCGAACCTGACGCCTAATTCATATAAGACGAGATAAACGATTAGAGGTAAGAGATGTTTGGACCCACCATGTTCTTCTCAACGTAGAGAAATGGCGCTTCAATCATGTCCTCAGCATACCTGGTGGACAAGACTGCTGTCCGCTTGAATGAAGCTCCAGGGAACCAAGGCGGAATGTGCTGCACTGGATAACTATGAGATATCGAATGATCGCAACAAAGAGCAAAGGAGCTCACGAAATGGGAATGCACCAAGGAAGGCAGCAACCTCGGGTGTGATAGAAGACACCGCTAATTTGACAGCTCTTTCAACAGTAGAGATGATAGGATCATCCCTCGGGGCAGTTTCGTAACCGTACACGACAGACATAATAATCGAGGCTGAGTGCCTAATCTGGGAAATCAGCATCGAAACAATAGTGACCGGATCAGCATTCCTACGTTTGTACATGCGCCCTCCAGTTTACTGGGTCTTCGAACAAGTTGGTCAACAGCTCTCGCGCCTTGCGAAGCTGCATTGGCTGATACGCAAAAGATGCTTCTGGGCGGAATGCTTGGTGGAACAATCGTCGGTGGAGCCTCCAACGATCACCATACCCGACCATAACTGAATTGAACGACCACCCGAAACTGACTCGTGATTCGATAAGGCTGAAAATTAGATGTGGGATTTTAAACATACAAGTCGTTGGTCAGGCGCATTATACCAGGTCTGTCAGAGTAGTTGTTGGAGCGCCTCTCTAACAGGTCCCTCGCGACTTTCTCAGTGTTAATCACAATGATTTCTTGGTTAAGCAAACGAGAGTACACCAAACCGCCTTTAAATGGGTGATGAGGATTAGTATGCAAGACCATGACCAATGTCTTACCGTACGTAGCACCCCATTGGGTGTATGTGACCCATGGCTCATCAATCTTGAGACCAAGGACATTACCCACTAATGGCAGTGGCTTTGGACCTGGAGGGAGGGGAAGCCCTTGTGGGTTTCTCTTCTTACTTGACCACGAGCTGACGAGGTTATATGCTATCACAGATATGACAGCAAGAGCTGGAATACGGTAGTCCAGCGATACAGACATGAAGCCTGGAGAAAAGGGGAAAAAGGGAACGAATGAAGAAAAGGTAAAAGAATGAAGAGGTAAACTTAAAAGAACTCGGGCTTCAAGGATATTGTGCCTTGGGAGCCTTGTGGGAGCTCGGCTGTTGTTATTACGGAGGCTTCAGAAGATGATTATGTTACAACCGAACCCATAGCAGGCTATAGCAGGTACAAGGAAATTACTTGGGTTGTGCTTGGATATGATTGTTTCAAATTGGCATGGAATTTAGAACCAGGATCATGAAAGTTCCGACTTTCGTACCCTCTAACAGCTGCACTCATGACGGGTCGAATTTCGGCGGGGATATGCATGCCGTCACATCTCAGCGGGGTTCGTATACACTGTAGGACAAAACGCGGGAGATCGGCCGACAGAACCTGGTCCAGGATTCGCGAGTATATATAAAATCGATCTAGCACACGAAACTCGTTTCAGTCATAGACAGTAAGGATGTACGCCTCTACTACAGTACTGAGTCCGTAACCCCAGACTTATGGACCCTGGTTGTTATGCGATTGACACATGTAACAAAATGAAATCGATATGACAGAAAACCGCCAGGAACACTTCATTAGAAGGAACGACTCTCCAGAGCTCTCCAGGAGCAACACCAAGATTGAAATTCTTCAGTACTCGGAAATCGCCGTGTGGGCAGGAACCTTGCTATGCTTGAGGGTCATCGGATACCGTATCGTGGACTATTGGATTGTGCACCCTTGAAAGAGCTTGCAACGTGTTGTCTCTACGCCGTACGGTTAGTGGTCTACCAACCTCTAGATCACGTGAACTAAAAAACAAAAACGTACATAACTTATTGTGGCTGAGTAAGCTACGGGTCACACCCAGTAGTGGGTCACCCGGCGTTTTTCTCGCAAACCACAGTAGCTATTAACTTGCTGTTTTCGCCATCGCATAGAGCGTAGTCGAAAGGTCACTGTCCCAAAATTTTGAGCTGAACTGTCAAGAACTTCTCAAGGTTGGCATGAAATAAGTGCTCAAAGTCACGCCTAAAAGTATGATTTCCACGTATCCTAAGCACTCTACTATGCCCTCGCCTCCTCCTTCACAAAAAACTATATACCTGAATCAATTCGAATCCTGTCTGACAAGATCTCCACCAAGAATAATTGCATGAGCTTGTGGGGTGGGTTTGCTAGCATTGACTGACCCACTATACTGGTATTGAGACCCTCTAGCAAAATATTCATGGACATACACAACACTTCTCTAAAATTACAAAAATTTGATATTATGATAGTCAGGATCATTTTCTATCGTTCTACGCAGATAAGATAGTCTGAAGTAGTGCTGGAAATCAGAAATCAAGGGTGAGTGATCCATTTCCTATTTAGGCACAGTATAGACCAAATTGAGAAAGCTTTTTCCACGCAAAACCCATGCCAATGACTAATGAAGCAGCGCAAAGTCACAAGTGCACACCCAGTTCTCGTCATTCTCAACTACAATGTCTATGGAGGAAAGTATTAGTCTCGAGGAGACAAACAAGATCCGTATCTCTCTCGGTCTCAAGCCCCTTACGGATGACTCCGCACCAGCCAACGACAAAGAGAAGCAAGCCGAGGATAACTATGCAAAGCAGCGCGAGCGGGAGGTGAAAGAGAGAGAAACAAAGTATTTACATGGTTCGTTTCTGAGTATACGACTTGTTCTGATTGACGTTTTTCTTTTCCAGGCAAATATTTGACCGGATAGCGAAGTGAGTCCCTTTATCCTGGCTCTATCCTCTGTCGTTGCTCATTTTTTGCAACCACAGGGTGAGGAACAGACGAGAGCTCCATGCCTCCCTCAAAGGTGCAACGCTTGGTGACCCCGAAGGCGATACAGAAGATACCCTGAAATGGATCAAGAAAGCCAAGAAGCGTGACAAGGAGCTGGCGAGGAAAAGGCAACAGGAGTTAGAGAACTTGGACAAAGCCTTTCAGGGTGACGAGTATACAGAAAGTGCGTGTAGTTTCTGTATTATTGAGAGCAACTTGCCTGATAGTCTATCTGCAGAGGACTTGGTTGGCCTCAAAGTCAGCCACGACTTCGAAGACCTTGGAGAAGGAGATGCCCGTATACTTACATTGAAAGACAGCCGCGTTCTTGATAATGAAGGTGCGTTCACTGCAACTCTTACTACAACCCTTCCGTTTAAAATTTTACCCATCCAGAGGACGAACTTCAGAATGTTGAGATGGCCGAAGAGGAACGCGACCGCAAGAATAATGAGCTGAAGATTAAAAGACGGGATTACACTGGCTATGACGATGACGAATTTTCGGAAGGCAAGGCCGGAATGAAGCGATCAATTCTGGCGAAATATGATGAGGATATTGAAGGTACTCGGGAAACTGTACGTATTTCATCCAGAACGTGAGCTTACAACTAATCCCTTGCCTACGTTTCAGGATTTCCGTTTGGGCAGTTCTGTTACGTCTACCACAATCAATGGCGCTCAGGTGAAACAAGAACTAGCAAGCGTGAACAAAGCTCTGCTATCAATAGATTATGCCAGTATGTTTCATCTTGACTTTGCCTCATGCCTTTTTTTGACATCATCTGTCCAGAAAATCTGGAAACGCGTGATTACCTACAAGAAGGAGATGTGGGTTTCAAGAAACCAAAGGTAAGCATTAATTGCCTTTTTAACCCTATGGTTGATCTGACTCGTCATTCACACTCATTAGACCAAAACGAAACGTTCATCACGTCGTGCCCCCATTGATGGCGATGAGAATGTCATGGAGGTTGATGAGAAACCGGTTGTACCTAGGTCACGTGAGTTAGACGCCAACTTTGTCGATGACGATGAGCTACAAGCTGCCCTTGCTCGATCCCGAAGAGCGAAGCTCCACAAACGCAAGAAGCTCTCTCCGGAAGAGATTGCTCGTAAAGGTAAGCCGGACCGCTTACTTCTGAGGGCTTGGAGTAACTGTCTTTTTAGTCGCAGAAGAGCGCAATCGAGAGCAATCGAGTCAAGCAAATGATATTATAGAAATAGACGACACAGAAGACGGCGACGCCAACGGTTTGACATTCGACGATACCTCAGAATTTGTTCGGGCTATCTCGTTTAACCAGACTGCGGTGAAGACGGAGCCGGCAGAGGCGTCAATAGAGCCCACCTCTGCTAAACATATATCGCCCTCTCGCGACCTTTCAGTGGCTGCAGGCGATGAGGCTCTCGACGAAATTGAAGCTGGTGAAGTTGTTAAAGAAGAGGAGTACGAGGATATGATGGAAGACGTCACTGAAGCAGAGGAGAAGAATGCCGCAGCTGGCGACGATGACGAGGTCGGGACGTTAGGAGAAAAGTCTTTTGGCTCTGGTATGGCGGCCACCCTTTCACTTCTCCGGCAGCAGGGTGTATTGGCGATGCCATCGGCAGATCAAACTGCGCGAGAGGATGTTCAGTTACATAGGGATCGATTCCTCGCCGAATATCGTCATCGACAGGCCCAACGCGAAACGGATCGCCTACAGTCTCGCAGTGGCAACAAGGACCAAGCAACTCGAGAATACGAGAACCGACTTCGAGAACAACAAGAGGCCCGCGCGCAGCTGGAGCTGTTCAAGGACTACAAGCCTGACGTCGAGATTGTTTATTACGATGAGTATGGTCGTGTGTTGACCCCGAAGGAGTCATGGAAAGCGTTGTCCCACAAATTCCATGGCAAGGGCTCTGGGAAGATGAAGACGGAGAAGAGGCTGAAGAAAATTGCCGAGGAGAAGAAACAAGCAGCTATGGCAAGTGGTGATACCCCGCTTAGTATGAATCGTGCCTTCCAGATCCGCCAGGAGAAAACTGGTCAAGCTCACTTCGTACTGTCTGTGGGTAATAGAGGGTACGTTCATCCTTTGTCTGTCCCATTGTTGCCTTCGCTGATTGCGCTCCTTATAGTGCTGTCCCTCAAGCGACAGAATTCTTGGACCCTCAGCCGCTTTCAAAAGGCAAAACTGAAAAGGCAAAGAGCAAGAAGAAGGACTTAGGGAAGGCCGGCGGTGCACAATTACTCGAGTCCACTGGTTTCATGACGCTACCAGCGCCACACCTGCAGTCGCACCTCAATTCACAAAGTCCTGCGCCATCAGGCTTTTCGTCCGTTATACCCGCTGGTGGATCGAATTCACCCCCAGCTATGAAGCCAGGTTTTTCGCGCATATCGTCAGCTGCAGATACACCAACACAAACTGGTGCTCCTGTGCCCTCGGAGCGGACGAAGGTGGCTTTTGGCTTTGGATCGAAGAGGAAAGCGGCAGGAGGACTTTATGGATGAACCTCCCTCCAAGAGACGATGAGTTCGATCAATATCTTGATGGCGTAGTTATTATCACGCCTTCGTTTGTCGGACTCGAACGCAGAATGTAGGGTGCAATTGACGTACATAATCTCCCTATGGAAGCTCAAATCCCCTGAAGCTGTTTGTTTAGATACATGAGGTGCAGGATGGCGAAAAAAATCAAATATCTCGTTTACACGACACTTTGCAGCGGTGTAAACCTGAAGGCTCCTGATGAAAACCAGCGCCCTTCACAACGAAATCAAGTAAAACCACAAATTGGCAGGCCTGTGTTTCGATCTCTTCACATCCTCCCACTGTTAGTTACCCCCGGTTTCTGCAGAATTCCTCTCAGGTTCGAACGCTCTCATCCATACACGGCGCATGAGAATATGGACACATGTGCCGGTGTGCTGTGCTCATCGCGATCTGGCAGGAGACGTTACAGGACGAGACGAATGATTATACGGTTTAGTGTTACTAACCTAGTTTGTACTACGGCTGCATTGTTATCTGCTATCAACTGTAAGGTTTAGGTGTACTGATTTAAGTTGACTTACGGTGATTGACTCGTTTAGGAAGTAATCTCCGCCGGGCTTTAGCGGGTACATCATGGTGTAGATTTAAAAGCCTTCGTTGATGCTTTGAGCGAAGATCAAGGTTCGCCATCCATCTATGATCTAGTCAATCGGGAGCCTTGCCCATCATATTACTGACAGCGTATGATGAAAGATTGTGGCGTTCGAACTAATGATAATCATGTGCGGGCTGCCCCGCTCGAAACCCAAAAGTTTGCATACGCGGTACCAAGGAGCCTCAGCCTCTATGTAGCGTTAACGCCCCCATGACAGGAACGTGTTTTAGGAGCCTCGCACGCGCCCAAATGACTGCTCATATTCTTTGCATAAAACATCGCCCCACGCGATGAGCGGTGGACTTCGTCAACGTCAAGTGAACTTGTTCTCGCCAAGAAAACCTCCTTCGGAATGGACAGGACTATAACCGCTTGGGTGAAACAAGAATTATAATGACTCCCAGCTGAACTATCTCACTAGTACTAGCGAAGGACATGTGTACGACTTTTGGCATGATCTGATGCTCCTTAACGCGCGGCGGGGGCAATTAATGTCTTACCCCACACATGAGTTCGTCTTTCAAAATTTTATTCTGAAACGTTTGCTTAATTCGTACTTCTTTGACGATCCAACAACGGGAGCCTCAAGGTTTCCACTAGCGAATGCAGAGGCACGATGAACCAAAGGAAATGGTTTTGTTGTTCCTCCATCTTTAAAAGCGACACCCTAACCTTGCGGAGAGACCTACAACGCACTCCCACCCCCAACGCTTCACAAATGTTAACAATACCGGAGCTCCTGATATTCTCTACATTTTTATTACTGCTGTCTGTCTCCATCCGTGTCTGGAGGCAACGGAGGCAACGGAAGGGCTTGCCACTCCCCCCAGGACCGAAGGGTCTGCCGATCCTCGGGAATCTGCTTGACATCAATGTTTCCAAGCCTTGGTTATCATATACCGACTGGGCAAAGAAACATGGTACGCCTCAGTTGTGTGGTCTAAGACGTGACTCAATGATGCGCTGTGCGAAGGCGATATTGTCTATTTGAGTATCCTCGGACAGGAGTTTATTATTATCAGTTCTGAGGAGCTTGCGCACACTCTTATGGACCAACGTTCCGGAGTGTATTCCGAAAGACCATATGTCTCCACGAGTGTGCTGCACGTCAACATTTATCACTGTGCTCTTCCTCAATAACACTAATTACCCACAGGTTCGGGATGGATTTCACCACCGGATTGTTACCCTATGGGCACCGATGGCGGCAACGTTAGTTTCGGTTTGACTGCGATGATTCGACTTTTGAATTATCTGGTTGCAGACCGGAAGATGTACCACGTAGGATTCAGCAAGGAAGCCTGTCGCGAATATCAGTCCATGCAGCTTCAAAAAGTTCACCAATTCCTGGAGAATCTCATTGCTTCCCCAACTCAGTTTTCTGCGCATTCAAAAACGTACGCACTCGCGAATACTCTCCATTCAGCGTGAATAACTATTTTGCGTAGGTTAGCAGTGGCAATTATCATGGCTATCACATACGGTTACGATCCTGCGCCGGCCGAAGATCCGTTTGTGACCAAGGTCGAACGTTTCATCAATATCTTTTTCAGGGCACTCTCACCCGAGGGCGCTGCATTGACCGGAGCGATACCATTTTGTGAGTCTTTCCTGGATGTGCCACAGTTTCACTAACTTCATCTCCCTAGTGCAACACATCCCGTCATGGCTTCCTGGGGGGATGTACAAGCGCCGGGCTGGAGAGTGCCGCGGTCTTGCTCATGACATTCTGAACGATCCTGTAGAGTATGTGAAAGTTGAAATGGTAATGTTATTCTGTGACAGATGTTCCCTTTCTCATACTCCAAGCCCAGGCTGGTGGCACGACGCGACATTCCCTCGTAAGGGATCTTTGGGGCAGATATGCGACCAAGGACAACACTGTCACCGTTGAAGACGAAGAGACAATTAAGGCAGTTGCTGCCACTGTATTCTTGGGTGCGTTTATTTACAATCGCAGCGAGATATGATACTCACAGGAAAGATGTACCAAAGGTGGAGCAGAATCTGTAAGTCTAAGATGTTCTGGTTTCTCAGTCACAAATACGTGTCTCTCGTCAGACCGACTCCGTTTTGACCATGTTTTTACTTGTCATGGTCCTTCATCCAGAGGTTCAGATCAAGGTTCGTCCAGTCCATGAACATGTACCTCCCTTTTCGCTGGAGCAATTTTCTTCCAGGCGCAAGAAGAAATCGATCGAGTGGTTGGCAACAGCCGTCTCCCTGACTTCAGTGATCGAGAAAGGCTTCCCTATGTCGAAGCAGTGTATCTCGAGACTCTACGGTGGCAACCGATAATTCCGAAGGGTGAGTCAAGACAAAAGCAATTGTGCTTCCAAGAGCTCATAAGATGCATAAGCCCTTCCGCATGCTACGAGTACAAGCGATATCTACAATGGATATTACATCCCAAAAGGTGTGAATACAATCTATGACACCGACTATTGCACCGACACTTATCTCCAGGCGTCAATGTTGTTGCAAACATTTGGTAAGCCTTACGCAGGTTCGGTTTGCAAGTTGGTTTGACTGTTAACAGGGCGATGACACATGACGAAACACGATTCCCGGATCCAATGAGCTACAAACCAGAACGGCATCTGTCACCTACCGGAGAACTTCTTCAAGGTATCACATCCCCCTACTTTGGTTTTGGACGGTGCGCCGCGCTTAATTGTTTTCCCGCTCAATACTGATGTTCAAGGTCTCTATATGACAGACGGAAGTGTCCCGGACTGTATGTTGCAGATCAGAGCATTTGGGCCTCCATTGTCTCCAGTTTGGCAACATTGCGCATTAGGAAGAGGAAGGACTCGACTGGATGTGAAATCGATGTGAAGCCCGAGTTTACAGCGGGGTTAGCGTTATCAATGTGAGTGACTCCAGTCGAACGGCCACGCAACATTAATCACGTCGACAGTCGACCGAAACCTTTCGCATACTCCATCGAGCCTCGCTCTGCAAACGCAGAGAGATTGATTCGTGCGAGTAACAGGGGCGAATAGGCGACTCCTACGCTCGCAATTTCATGCCCCCACACAAATGGCAAGCGACGTAACGGTGAAGATTGAGTGGTGAATGACCATTCGATACATATACGTGTGTAATTAAGCTTGTAAGTGTTGAGTACTTAGTGTAATACATATTGTAGGTTGGCTCAGTTCTATATGCCTATCCGGTCAACATGAATGTCGGAATGCTTATGTCAGAATTCAGAACATCGTAATAAAATCCTGTCCAATGAGTTCACGAGCGTTCATGTCAAGTCACTACTGCAGTGAAGTAGCAGTGAGTACTCACTGCCGTCCATCCATGATTAGTAGTCAGTCAGGAAACATTAACGCCACACAATGAGCAGGCGGACTTCTCCCAGAAAGGTATTTACGTCAGGAAAACATTCTCCTTCAGGCCTTGAATGCAGAATTTAAGTAACTGCATTTTGGCAATGTTGCGCATTATTTGGAATGAACGACTGTCTTCCTTCTAATGGTCTGATTAGGGGAGTCCAAGGACTCGACCGGATGTTTACGTCGGGGTTGGCAATGTAAGTGACTTCCGGTTAAACGGTCACGCTACATTAATCACATTCACAGCCAACCGAAACTTTTCGTATGCTTCATCGAGCCTCGTTCTGAAAACGTAGAGATTGATCCGAGCGAGTCACGTGAGCGAGTAGGCAGTTTCGACACTCGCATTTCTGTCCCATCCCCCAGGAAGCTCGGAAACAAGTAACAGTGTAGATTGAGTGGAGAATGATAAATATGTGTCAGCTTGTGAGTGTTGAGTAGGGTAGATAATGCGATGCAAGGTTGACTGAGCTCTATGCCTAACTGGTCAACATGAATGATGAGTCTGAATTCAGAACAGCACCCACAGATTGTGAAACGTTCCTGTCAAGTTGGTACCGGAATCTAATTTGCCTATGAATGAGCCACTGGTTCAACATGAGGAGAGCCAAAAGTCATTTGCCAGAGCTCAGGGCCGTCCCTTATTAGAGCCTGATATGGGAAGGTGCAAGAGATGAATATAGAAAACATGGAATGACCATCGGAGGTACGTACGATGACAACTTCTACAGCAATAAGGGCGATGATAACAAGTTCCATCCGATGGGTGGATGACTACAGAAAGGTCAACATCAGCCCACAATGTTTGGAATCAGATAACGTACTTCCGTAAGTAGCTGACGGAGAGTTGACTGCACCTGGGTTGGTTAATTGAGGGTGGTTAGTTTCATGAATGGTTCCATGTCGAGAGTATCACCTCTGTGGCATAGGTAATTTTTTCATTGACCGCGTTAGTCCTAGCTTTCACCTCGAGAGCGGTCGTCATCGATTTGAAGAAACCTTCAAACCATGTTAGAGTCAATGAGGATTCATGAGAGCTACGCCCACCTTCTAATCCAGGCTCGGTCCAGTACAAGTCTGGAGTGTCAGAGAAGTTCTCCCTGTTGAGGTTAAGGCCTTGGCGGAACTTCATGAGCGCTCCAAGCTTCTTGATAAGGGCTTCCCTGCTCAGACCAGGCTTTCCCGTTTTCTCGAGGGAGTGTGGGAGGAGTGCCACAGATGAGAGATAGTCCTCAAGTGACTCTTCAAGAACTGAAAGTGCTGTAGAACGTGATAGTGCTTGGGAGAATGTATATCGCGCCAACAGGGTATCTGCAGGGAGTGCAGGAGAAACTGGTGGTACGGCAGGAGCGTTTTCAGAGCACTCGAGTGGTGCTACCCGCCCAAGTATAATTAAATCTCCTTGTATTCGAGTTTTTCTGGGAGGGGGGTAAGTACTACCGTTGGGCTTGAGGGCTTGAACTGAATACCCACTCTGTCGGGTCGGTTACAAATTCCAGTTCCTCCGTTTCTGGATCCTTTAACCGTCCAACTTCACTAGGTGCGAGGACTTCTCGTGCAAAACGCCGCGCTTCTTCCTCTCCAAGACCCCAGCACACAAAACTTCCATTCGAGAAGACAAAAATTTCACCCCCGTCGCCCCAGCTTGGAACCCACCAGGCATCGTGCAATGTCTGAGCATCCGGAAGACGGGACCGCAATCTTGACAATAGGTAGCGTTCTGCTGTTGAAAGAGTGAAAACAGGCTTGATAGAACTTCTAGTAGGTGTCGGGTTAGAGCGAATGGGTATCGATGCAGAGGCACTACGACGAAGTGGTGTACTGGCTTTTGGCTTGTGCTTCGGTGCCTCTGAAGGTTCTACGTCTACAGAAGTTGAGAAAGCACGGGTATAGAGGAACCGATGATTATGATGTACTGCCGTAGACGCGAGGGTCGGAGGATTCGAGCATGAGCGCAAGTTCGCGCGAAGACTAGTAGTCCTGAGTACTCTGCGGACGCCGTTCATGTAGAGATGGGGACAAGTGCAAACTTACTTATAGCTGAAGCCGGTACTTATGAAGATGTGCTGGTCAAAGCCGACACAGTGACGATGTCTACCGGCAAGAGCGTACTGGAATGTATAAGGAAAATGCCGCGGTACTTCATGCTTCTCAGGGTGCCGATTGACTATCAATTGTCTAATATTAGTCTCCAGTCTAGCTGTGACAGCAGATATTTGTGCAGTAGCACTTAATTCTATGGATAAATACGACCCGCGGTCAGATCACATTCAGAAAGAAACATGTCACCGCCGAAACGGATCGTCATCACCATGTTTCAAATTCAACTTCAATGACTGAGGCCTGAGGAGTTGACAGGACGTCAATTGTACCAGCCAGGAGTCTTGCTGGTCGGGAACATTGGAAACGCGTAGACCAACATCCACACGAGGACGCGTTTACAGTGCACGTCTTCTGTTAGCCCGGCAGTTGCTGGCTTTAACAAATCACCCTCGTCAGACTGCTCATCTGCTCACGACAGTAGTCTTCTGGAACGAAGTATCTGGATATTGACATGGTTGGTTGTGTATCCTTTGTGCGGCTGTTGCAACTAACGCGAATTATTTGACTCTTTTGCGCTAGTCTCGGAGAAGGATCACCGACTGAGCAAACGTAAATAACGTGCGCGGGTTGTTGGAACGTAGCATGTCAGCCGTGCATACTCAGGAGGCCCACGGCAGGGTGAAAGCATGAAGTCCAAATCGAACTGTCCGACGCTATAGGGCAAGCTAAAAATACAATGGTAGAATATCGGCAATATACCCCAACGCAGAGTGCATACACTGTTGGGTACCGACAACCAAGTCATGCCACATCATGCCTACGGTTCATGTGGACTGAGGTTAATTCGCACACGTGCATACAAAAAATGATCACGTACTTCAGCTGAAAAGATACATGAAAATACATACCGATCAGGGTGTATGTATAACTTTGATTACTAAAGACCACAAGTCTGACCATTGCACTTGCAATGTCGCAAGATGTGTGCTGGACTTGCGGATAATAGGTTGCTTGGAGTTATCCAGGGGAAGGTGCGTTCCGTCCGGACAAGTACTGGTAGGTATGCTGTAGAATAGATATACAAAGGAGTGCGAAGGGGGCTTGCTCTGCTCTGTGGAACTTAATCACATCGAGCATAATTCACGAGCTCCTTCCTGGACGCGCATTCCGGATTTCTGCACGCGGTGCCATCTCGTAATCTCCGAACCCAAGAGAGTTTTGAACGTCCTTGTCACTTGCATCTGGCTCAAGATGGCCTTGAGCGTTACGCCGGGCTCTATACAATCAGTCATTGAGATTGTTAAATCTGACAGGCAACTGAGAAAACGCACCTGAAGAACGTATACGAGAGAACCACATCATCAATACCCCTACACGCAGGGTCATCAAGAATGTCTTTATCTATGAAAAAAAGGAGTGGCATATCAACTTCCTCTCCTGCAAGCAATTTCTGCTCCTCAAAGCAGAAGCACTCCACTTTCGAAAAGTACGGTGCGATCTGCACAATCAAGCATCAATAGCTGCTGACTTCTGACATCTAGTGCAGTACTCACTCGATCAGGCGTAACATTGTACGTGGCGATTCCAATTATGTCCTTGCTGCTCTCATTCTTTGCCTTGTAGAAAGCAAGACTAGTCTCTCCGGGAAGTACCGTCACGAACTTCTGCTGTGGAGTAAAAGCCCACGGTAGCGCTTCAGCACGGTCAGCATTGAAATGAACTTTAATGCGACGTGCTCCGTCAACAGGAACCAGGCGCGTGGGTTCGAACCGGCCTGTACCGACGTTTGGGGTGCCGGCAAAGCCAGTGGCTGCGCAGAACATCCGGTACAGGGGGACTGCAGCATAAGTCACGCCTACTGCGAATACAATCTGTCGGAGAGAGATGAGATGAGAGATAAAGACAATAAATTGGGGGGAGCGTACGACTGCAGAGGAGTACATCAGTAGATTACGATTCCGGGCGGCGTATACTGACTGTCGAGATGCATATGGTGGGGCACGTGAATTAGTGTTCAAAGGTTTCCTGGGATGTGAATTGGTGGTCATTTTTCGCCAAAGTAGGGTGCGTGATGGCGACCATGAGAGTGCGCTTTTACCAACACGGGTTACGAAATGAGTACTGTTGACGGTGTGCAATGAATGGCTTAATGAACTGCATCGGAGGAATGCGTCCGGGTGGTAATGAGCAGACTATGAAAAGTTAAGTGTGACAAAAATGACTCATACAAAACACGCCCACCAACTGAGGCTTACAGCCTGCCTTCAAGAGAGGCACAAACAACTTGAAGGACATCGCCGTCAATGTCCAAGATGGTGAGCAAGACATTTCCGCTTCCGATAATTGAGCAAACACGTGACCCTTCTGAGTCTTCGAAGGATTCGGGAACGTCCACGACAACGACGACGACGCCCAAATGTCGACAGGAACATCAACACCTTCTAGCTCGAAGACGCCCACTTCGACAAGCGATACTGATATAGAGCAGCTACTCTCTCGGGAGGCATCTGCCTTCCAACGTGAGCTCGAGGTCGAGCGAATTCTCAAGGCGTTCAAGCTCAAGTACGTGGCTACCTGTTCCATTTGATCGGTCATTTAGCATTGTAACGCAGCCCATATGATATTCTCGACATAGACGAGTCTTCAAAGCCCGAGGGAATCAAGCGCAGATACCGACAGTTATCTCTCTGTGAGCGGTCTCGCTTCACCTGTTCTCCACTTCATTGAACATAGCTAACGGATTTGCGCCTTCGTAATTATGGTTGTTCGTTTGGTGATTCTGGTTGACCTTGAACCGTGGCATCACTTCTTGTCTGGTGGATTTGTGCATGCGTACGTTGTTCCGTACCCAGTCATCCATCCTGACAAGACCCCCCACGCTCGTGCTCCAGATGCATTCGACCTTCTCAAGAAGGTGCGTTTCTCTTCCTTTCATGATCATTACCTCCTCATATTCCCATTCACGACTTCTTACTGAGTTCATTTGTGTATCATCTTCCGTTACTCAAAATACTCTTTCATCTCCAATGGAAGTTTGAACGTCAACTTTCTTCGCACATCACTTTATTGTTGGGTATACTTCCGGGATTCCCATTCTCACTCTTGGCCCAGGCTGAATCTGAGCTATCCGACACTGCTAAGCGCGAAGCACTCGACGCCACAATTGCAGAGGCGCGTCTACAGCTCCTCCGCAGTCACGGTTTCTCTACGAGCACGCAGGATGATGATCCGAAACTTCGAGGGCTTGTCCCATCCTTCAAGGTGCAGCTGCGCGCAAAGGTGAAGGACTTATTAATCGAGGAGGAGGTTAGGCGGAGGAAGTGAGTGACTTTTCTTCGCCGTTGAGCTTGCGGTTATAATGGGTTGGAATTTTTGCAGAGCGATCAAGATGAACCTTGCGAACGAGGGACTGGAAGCGCGGAAAAAGGAAGAAGAAGTTGCTACAAAGAAACGTAAAGCCGAGGAGGATAAATCATGGGAAGGTACGTTCTGTGATTTTTTCAGTCATAACCGTTTTCATGATTCATTATCCAATACTTGTCCATAGAATCCCGTGAAACCCGTGTTGATTCATGGCGGTCATTCAATCATAACTCGAAGAAGAAGAAAAAGACGAAGACTCAGATCCTTGGATGATTCCCTGCACCACCTACATCTTGGACCCGCGGGAAGCCTCAATAGAACCTCATTCACCCGCCTGCGTTCGGACATTTAGATTAATCCCTCGTCCTCTCTTGTAACCCATAGTTCCTGCCGACTTGCAATGTAAGAGATCTATTGCGCCACCTCGAAGGAGGTGCTTCCTGTACCCGACGCACGCATGTCTACAAACGACAACTCGTCACACAAAGTTGTGAACAGAAGCACAGTAGACTTCCGCATATTCACTTAGTGAACAAGGCTGCAGATATCAACTCTGTTTGTCGGTGAGGCACTATGACAATATTATCTTGGATGCATACTACGATGTCGAGGACGAGTATAACGAAGGCGCAACCCGACCTCACTAGACGACCAAGGACAGCATTACTGTGGATCAATCATTGCGGTGAGCAAGCAAGCCAACTGTCTTGCTAATAGCATTAGTCCTTAAAGGCTTTAGTCAGGGCAACCTCCATACTATGCTAGTCATTTGCACCGATCACCATGGCAGCTTGACGGCAGCGCCTGATTGACTGCGGACTTTCCATCTCCTAGTCTTAGCTTCAAAAGCGGAACATGCCTGGTGTGACTTATGCTCTTAATCTTGCGTTAGTACGGCTTTGCGGCTCAGCGACCGGTAGGGACCTAATCCAATCAAGGAACTGCTGACTTGTAGTGCGAGTCATTGCGATTGCCTGCTCGCTTGTGCACCCTCACTCGTATTCAGAAAGGCCAAATTATACGGCACCGGACTTTTTCTTAATGACCGGAGAAGTTTCAAGATGACAGTCGTGGTTAAAAGGAAGTGGAATGCTGCAGCAGCACAAATTGCATCCCATCAAGATGGAGGGCGCTGCTGTGCACGAGGACTCCATAGTATCGCTGGGCGACGTAACATTTCACACCGCGTCGATCCCAGCAGTGGACACCAACCTCTACAGTCTGTCTTCCGAAGAAGCTGCATTCTTCAAGGCGCAAACCGGTATCGATGACGATGAAGACTTGAAAAGACATATTCTGGAAGTTCAAGCGAAAGCGTACGAGGCGAGTAATTCCCAGAGGATCGCGCGATAAGTTATATAACCCTTTGCCACTGAAAGCTCGCAACATATCCTTGTATTCATGGATTTGTCTTTCTTCGGTATGTGAGCGGTAAATTTATGCATTGGCACATAACAAGGAACTTGTGCTCAGTTTGGAATTATCGCGTTTCGCTGTGTATGAACATATCCTCAAGCTTGGTCGCGAGCGCCCTGACGCCATATTACTCGACATTGGTTGTTGTTGTACGTTAAATCACTGTCATCTACTTTCCTGGACAAGCTTGACTCCTTTCTAGTCGGTGTCGACGCCAGAAAGGCTGCGATGGACGGTTTTCCTGCGAAAAACATCATTGCATCTGATATCAACAACGGTAATTCGCTTCCTCTGTGAATCATTCTTGTTAATCATGCGTGCTCATATACAGGGTTCCTCGAGCTAAGCCACGAACTTTTCAGAACGACACCAGCTTCTTACCCCGGGAGCTTCCTTCCTGGAGATGTCTTCGATCCAGCATTTCTCTGCATAGCTGAGCGGTCGGATGATGTCTCTTCCGCCCCGGCTATCGATTTGTCCTCGTTGAAATCCCTCAACCCCCTTCATGGGCGCATTAGCGCAATAAATGCTGCCAAGTTCTTCCATCTATTCAGCGAGGAGAAACAATTGCACCTTGCAAGGGCACTGGCGGGTCTTTTATCTGCGCAGCCAGGTTCCGTTATTTGCGGTGAACAGGTCGGAACTCTCGAAACAGGCATCGTAACTCCCAAGATATCGGGGTCTGTGCATCAGTTATTCGCACATTCTCCCCAGACTTGGTCCTCTTTGTGGGATGGAGAGGTGTTCGAGAAGGGCAGTGTTAAGGTAGAAACGGAGTTAGTTGAAGTTGCGATTCACGGGATGCAATTCTTCGTGATGACATGGTCAGTGATGAGATTGTAGGTAAACATTGTAGTCGATTTGAGAGTGTACATGTACGATGATGCTACTAGGGAAAGATTCAAATATAATATAGCCATAGTTCAGTGAGCATCATCCAACTTGTTGGAGTGGAGGACAGGGAGAATCAACTCAAGACCTGTCTCCACGTCACCCACTGCTCTGAATCTCTCTGAATGTCCGTGTACCACTAGTCTGCGAGTCCTCTCCTATAGTATTTTATTGTATAGCAATGCAGTCGATAAAAAGTGGCCAAGTTGAACGGTGACGGCAATGATCATCTAGTAAAGATGGCACCCGAGGTGTATGGCAACCATTCTCCAACTCTCATCGAGCCCAAGATGGCCATGGTTTGGGAGTTCCAACGCGGCGACTACTTATATATATTGCCATCGGGGCTAACGGGATATCAAAACAAAATCATGTATGTGTGGGTGTATGATTTACCGTTCATATTCATTAACTCGTGGTTGTTGGGCGGTCTGACCGAAGACCTGGAATGTTCGGCCATATAATAGCCGTATGTTCAGAAAGTTTGGAGTTGTGCAGCCTGATGGGAAATAGTTGGCTGCTGCAGATGCACGTTAGACTTGTCATTCTCTAACCAGAGAAGGAGACTTACGAGGCCAGAAGGGCGTCCGCCTGGCTTTGGGTCTCCGTCGTTTGCTTTTCATCTCCATCATCTGGCGTTTCAACAGGTCTTTGACGCGCTTCTGAGACTATGGTTACAGAATCAAGACGTATTAAAATGATGTGGAGCGCCTCAAACAGCATGGAGCGATCGGTAATATCGAGGGGTGCCAATTACATCGTTACTGGCACGGTCGCCATTGGTGTGGCGGTCAACAATGACTGCGAGTGGGAGATAAAGAGACAGGCTCGCACCAGAAGAGAGAAGGGTACGACCAGTGCTCATTGCTCAGTGACCACATCAAGAAAACTTGGGGCCTCGGGGAGAGGGGCCCAGGGCTGGGTAGGTCACGTCAACTGTAAAGACATCGCCGAAGCACCAGCACCAGTAGTGAGGGCCCACCAGTAAATTCTCGAGGGAAAATATGAAGTTGTTGAGCAGCTATTCAAAAGTTGCAGATTATCCGGATTGATAAGTACTAGAAAACTGACAGTCCGACGGACAAGCGCTTGTACATCGTAGTTGAACGCGTTACCGATAAGATTGTTCAGATGCAAAGCATCCAGAGATAAGGTCTCAGTGCCACGCATATGGGAGACGAGCATGAGGTTGTGCATTGCAGATGGACTGCAGTCACTGTACAGCATGTGCAAATGCAAAGCAATACCCCATGAGCCCATCTCGTTCCAAGTTGTCCACTAAGTGCATAAATGAATGCCGCAGCTTGATGGATATCGATAAACGCTGTGCGACTTCATCGGATGCCATATACAACGCTTCTTGAAAGTTGTAACCGCCGGCCCGGGTGCTACATGTCCAAGTATGTATGCATATATAGTAATAATCATCTAACTTTCCACGACACACGATTGTCAACACCTTCAAACATATATGTACAGTGTACACTGTACTAGTCACGGTAGTACTCTGCACTTTTTCCATCCCAATGTCAAACTTGAGCAGGAAGAACTGAACTGATTCAACCTGCAGGCATGTCACATATGTAGCCCACTTCACTAGCGCTAACACTTACCTCCGGCGACTCTTCATCCCACTCCTTCATGTCCTGCGAGACTATGTACTCGGAGAGCATACCATGAAGTACTACGACGCCGGTGAGTCATGTAGTTAAATATGCAAACTACTCATACTCACACAAGTATGCCCATCAGCGCAGTGATCGCAGTCTTTATGGTACAAGCACAAAAAAGGACAACCATTCAAGCACAGAAAACAATATTCTTCACTGTCAGCCTGAGAGTCACTGGCAGATATTGATGCTGTCAAAGCAGCAAAAACGGCGAGGACAAAGGATAAACGCATTGCAAGTTTGTGAGGAGTGATATGGGATCAAATAAAATTGAAGGGGACAGTAGGAAAACGGCTTGCTTTTATGTGCTGAACATTGTTGTCGGAAGACTGCAATACCAGCAAATTGCCACCTAATATCTTGAAGCAAGGTCAATACCAGCTTGAATCCGCTGTCAGGAAAACACAACGTTTCCTGTCATAGCTTTTTCACTTCATCTCTATGACGCCTGAATTTTTCAGCTATAACTCACGCATCAACTTGCAGCTTAACATCACAAAAATTGCTCAACTCAACCCGATATAGCTTGTCAGTGGGCGCACATCACTGCCGGGTTGTGTACGCCCTAACATCTCGTATCGCCTTTGCACGCTGTCAAGTTCAAATTGTTGGGGCCCCACCACAGCGGTACCGTGAGGTATCTCATATATTAAGGTTTTGTCGAGAATTAAGGTTTACCCTCGATCGAGTAGCTCCCCCTCTTCTCCCCCAACCCAAGACGAGGAATGGATACAACTGGAACTGTATGTGTCCATTCCTTCCTGCCTGTAAGCATTGATAAAAAATTAATACACCTACCGGTAAGCTTCGCCTCCGGCCGCTGCTACGCCATAAAACCCCCGTCGATGTTTTTGGAGACTTCCTTGTTTATCTCTTCCGCTGAACGAAGGAATTTGTCTTGAGTCATCCCAACGGCTGGGAGGGCGCTCAGCAGACGAACATGCGACGGGCCGCCGCACACGGTGGTTCAATTCCAGATACAGACGAAGGTCAAAGCGCGGATCCGTTTCATCACAGAAGGAGAAGCCAGTCTCCGCACGTGCGTCCAGAACTGTCTCGCGGCCGATGTTCCTTCCGTGTGATTTCCGACATGCACATCAGGACATATCGCGCACATTCGCTTCTTGTCTGACGTGGCCACTAGAATTCGTCCAGGCATAGATGACGACTTGTGGGCTATGACCCATGCGTTTTCGACCCTTGGACTCTTATCTTGGTTCCTTACTGGATATCCGAGGAATCTGTTGGTTGTATTGTTTTCACTCTACGCGCTCACGATCTGAACAGGTCCGGAGTTCAAGTATAGGACGTGTTCCATGGGCTGTCACATAAGTGGATCGATTGAGCATATGCTACATAAGAATAATTAGGGGTAAGATGCCAATTATCTGTAAATGACTCTGTTGCGCTTATATCCTATAACTTGGTATGCAATATCTCCTCGGACCTTCGTCTCGATTCGTGTATCTCCCTCAAACAAAATCCACCAATGTAATTCGTCATGCAGTCCTTCCGCAACCTCGGATCCTGCGAAGAACAGCTTTGGGCGGTTCTAATACAAAATCTCCCCGACAGCTCGTCCCGAACCTGCACTATTCGAGTCCTCGCACATGGGTGTGGGTCTGAGGTCTTAGTTTCCTGGAAGTCGACAAGTGCACGACCTTCCCAGTGGTCGTTTTCTGGGACTGCGATTCGATAGTCATTTGCCAGGGACTTGCTTGCCCTTTCTGTTCGGGCATGGACAAAAGTCAGAAGATGCGCTGCACTGCGAATAAAGACGGGTACTGCGAGTTTTGTGGACGTAGAGGTTTAAATTGGAAGGTGAGTCACTCCCAAAAGCCGAAGTTGTACGATAGAGTTCACGGTGTACTTCTCAATGACGTGGGCATTGGGTTCCGAGTCATCGAGGTCAGGTCGAATGAATCGGATCTGGCCATCGTACAAAGATACTATAGCTCATTTATGCAACAATTTGATGATGCGTCCGGGTGTCACAGCAACGGGGCGAAGCTAGCCAGGATGGGGTAAGTAATGGAGGGTTTGCGTCGGAGCCGCTGGGTGAAGGGAATATTATACGCAGCCATTAATCGCGTGCTGACGAGCAAAATGCGCAGAACCTGACCGGACACAGATCGAACCACAAATTAATCAATTATTTTTCCATCTTCGCACTTACACATACCATCGTGATAGCCAATTTCAACAGTGATATCCTTTCGAAAACTGTTGCAATTCTCGTTTAGCTGCATGATACGCCGGGGATGCCTCCTGTCGGAAGTAATCCAGCCGTAAACGATATAGTCTCCTGCTGCTGCAGAGTCGTGACAGCGTGCAGAGGCGATATAAGATGTTAAGGAGTGCACAACCCGACAGTGATGTGCGCCCAACAAGCTATAGATATCGGGTGGAGTTGAGCAAATTTTATGATGTTGAGCTGCAAGTTGATGCGTCAGTAATCCAGGCGTCATAGAGATGACGTGAAAAAGAAACCTGCAGAATGTTCCCGACAGCGGATTCGAGCTGGCATTTGACCTTGCTTCAAGATCCTAGGTGGCAATCTGGTGTTACAGACATCATCTATTTGAGAGGGTGAATAGGTTCTTCATACATCGCCCTGAATAACAACATTCAGCATATAAAAGTAAGCCGTCTTCCTACTCGCCCTTCAGATCTATTTGATCCCATATCACATCTTCACAAACAATGCGTTTCTCCTTTGTCCTCACCGTTGTTGAGTTGCGACTCGGAAATGACCAAGTCCGAGCGCAGCCATTGTAATTAGTAAGCAATGTACAAACGTTACTAAAATTTGAGCCAGTACGGTACATAACTGAAGTACTGAAATTTGATTGAAGTTGAAAAATACTGTGTACAAGTGCTCCTTACACCTTCGGACGTTTTCGACCGTCAATCACAATAAGAGATGTCTGTACACTACGTTTGCCGTTGTCTTTTCCTCTTTCTCCCTTCCGAATAGCGATCGAATGTCTCATCGACATCGCACTCTCGATAGCGCTGTGTATAGCTATCCGTGTGCGAACGAATCTGTGCGCAAGTCAAGCACGGCTTTCTCTAGCGTCAGCCCTTGACATCCGTTGAATGTCGTTGCATAGGCAGGTCGCAGAGGAAACTGTTTGCGATTTACAGTCCAGCTTGAACGTGCTGGATTGAAAGTGAACGTGATCCGAGGCAAGCAATGTATCTCTCCGGTATGAGGAATCTGAACCTCAACAAATCTGCGATGAAGAGTGGTGATGCGGACTCGCGCATTTCGCACCAATCCGTTTTCAACGGACATGTTACGTTGTTAATGTGTATGCTGCTCGGTATAAGCCGGTACCGGAGTTTTAATGTGCAAGTCGGGGTATGGCTATGCAGAATTGATTATGTGACAACAGACGCTGAAGGGAGTGGTGTCACACCTGACACGTTAGAGTAGAATGGAGAGACAGAGGGTACGAAAGGATTAAGTGAGTGGCGATATAAACGGGTATGGTATTTGACGAAGTGACGAGAGAGATATAGAATTATATACAAAGTCCAGACTGTAATGACCGTGAATAGGGTGATAATGACGAGAAAAGGGTGCTAAGGGTCGAACGAATTGGTAGTGACGAAGAATTGGCGGTAGATTGAAGACGGGGACTTGCTGGTTGACGGCGGTGGTGAGCTGCGGCGGTGGTGGTTGAGGTGAGCGCTAATTCGGCAACTTCCGGCAGTAAACGATGTGTAATCCTTACACACATCTAATATATGTAAGGACGAAACGTTTGATCCCTCGGAACCAATTCGCGTGACTCTTGGATCAAAATTGCGGCCTAGGGGGAGTTGCTGTCCCTTGGTCAGTGACACTGTATAGTAATAATCTAACTTTCCACGACACACGATTGTCAACACCTTCAAACATATATGTACACTGTACTAGTCACGGTAGTACTCTGCCCTTTTTCCATCCCCATGTCAAACTTGAGCAAGAAGAACTGAACTGAACTGATTCAACCTGCAGGCATGTCACATGTGTAGCCCGCTTCACTGGCGCTAACACTTACCTCTGGCGGCTCTTCATCTCACTCCTTCATGATCCTGCGAGACTATTTACCCATAGAGCATATGAAGAAGGACTACGACGCCGGTGAGTCATGTGGTTAAATATGCAAACTACTCATACTCACGCAAGTAGGCCCATCATCGCAGTGATCGCAGTCTTTATGGGACAAGCACATGAAAGGACAACCACCCCAGCACATAAAACAAGGTTGTTCACTGTCAGCCTGAGAGTCACTGGCAGATATTGATGCTGTCAAAGCAGCAAAAACGGCGAGGACAAAGGATAAACGCATTGCAAGCTTGTGAGGATGTGATATGGATCAAATAAATTTGAAGGAGACAGTAGGAAAATGGTTTGCTTTTATGTGCTGAATATTGTTGTCGGAAGACTGCAATGCCAGCAGATTGCCACCTAAGATCTTGAAGCAAGGTCAATACCAGCTTGAATCCGCTGTCAGGAAAACACAACGTTTCCTGTCACAGCTTTTTCACGTCATCTCTATGACGCCTGGATTTTTCAGCTACAACTCACGCATCAACTTGCAGCTTAACATCACAAAAATTGCTCAACTCAACCCGATATAGTTTGTCAGTGGGCGCACATCACTGCCGGGTTGTGTACCCCCTAACATCTCATATCGCCTTTGCACGCTGTCAAGTTCAAATTGTTGGGGCCCCACCACAGCGGTACCCCTCTTCTTCCCCAACCCAAAACGAGGAATGGATACAACCGGAACTGTGTGCGTTCAGTCCTTCCTGCCTGCAATTATTGATCAAAATTTAACACTCCTACCGGTAAGCTTCGCCTCCGGTCGCTGCTACGCCATGAAACTCCCGTCGATGTTTTTGGAGACTTCCTTGTTTGTCTCTTCCGCTGCACGAAGAGTTTTATCATTGACACGCATGCCAACGGCCAGACCTTGTGGCACCATGTCGAGACCAGCATCGAATTTGTCTTGAGTCATCCCAACGGCTGGGAGGGCGCTCAGCGGACGAACATGCGACGGACCGCCGCACACGGTGGTTCAATTCCAGATACAGACGAAGGTCGAGCGCGGATCCGTTTCGTCACAGAAGGAGAAGCCAGTCAGTCTCCGCACGTGCGTCCAGAACTGTCTCGCGGTCGATGTTCCTTCCGTGTGATTTCCGACATGCATATCAGGACATATCGCACACATGAATTTCTTGTCTGACGTGGCCACTAGAATCCGTCCAGGTCTAGATGACGACTTGTGGGCTGTGACCTATGTGTTTTCCACCCTTAGACTCTTATCTTGGTTTCTTACTGGATATCCGAGGAACCTGTTGGTCGTATTGTTTTCACTCTACGCGCTCACGATCTGAACAGGTTCGGAGTTCGAGCATAGGACGTGTTCCACGGGGTGCCGCACAAGCGGATCAATTGAGCATATGCTACATAAGAATAATCAGGGGTAATATGCCAATTATCTGCAAATGACTCTGTTGCGCTTATATCCTATAACACCAACTAACTTGGTATGCAATATCTCCCTCAAACAAAATCCACCAATGTAATTCGTCATGCAGTCCTTCCGCAACCTCAGATCCTGCGAAGGACAGCTCCGGGCGGTTCTAATACAAAGTCTCCCCGACAGCTCGTCCCGAACCTGCACTATTCGAGTCCTCGCACATGGGTGTGGGTCTGAGGTCTTAGTTTCCTGGAAGTCGACAAGTGCACGACCTTCCCAGTGGTCGTTTTCTGGGACTGCGGTCCGATAGTCATTTGCCAGGGACTTGCTTGCCCTTTCTGGTCGGGCATGGACAAAAGCCAGAAGATGCGCTGCACTGCGAATAAAGACGGGTACTGCGAGTTTTGTGGACGTGGAGGTTTAAATTGGAAGGTGAGTCACTCCCAAAAGCCGAAGTTGTACGATAGAGTTCACGGTATACTTCTCAATGACGTGGGCATTGGGTTCCGAGTCATCGAGGCCAGGTCGTATCTGGCCATCGTACAAAGATACTATAGCTCATTTATGCAACATTTTGATGATGCGTCCGGGTGTCACAGCAACGGGGCGAAGCTGCTAGAATGGGGTAAGTAACGGAGGGTTTGCATCGGAGCCGCTGGGTACAGTGAAGGGAATATTATACGCAGCCATTAATCGCGTGCTGACGAGCAAAATGCGCGGAACCTGACTGGACACAGGTCGAACCACAAATTAATCAATTATTTTTCCGTCTTCGCACTTACACATGCCATCGTGACAGTCGATTTCAACAGTCATATCCTTTCGAAAACTGTTGCAATTCTCGTTTAGCTGCATGTTATGCCGGGGATACCTCCTGTCGGAAGTAATCCAGCCGTAAACGATATAGTCTCCTGCTGCTGCAGAGTCGTGACAGTGTGTAGAGGCGATATAAGATGTTAGGGAGTGCACAACCCGTCAGTGATGTGCGCCCAACAAGCTATAGATATCGGGTGGAGTTGAGCAAATTTTATGATGTTGAGCTGCAAGTTGATGCGTCAGGAATCCAGGCGTCATAGAGATGACGTGAAAAAGAAACGTGCGTTCTCGACAGCGGATTCGAGCTGGCATTTGACCTTGCTTCAAGATCTTAGGTGGCAATCTGGTATTACAGATATCATCTATTTGAGAAGGTGGATAGGTTCTTCCTACATCGCCCTGAATACTATCGGTTACGGTCTATTCGTGATGAGCCTCCATTTCGTGAGTCACACTTTTTGGCCACCTGGGTTACCCAATAAGTAAGCCTTATTATACTGGGTGATCGAGCGCCTCGCTAACTATTACATAGCTTAGTTGCGTTATATCCCAACACCAGCATTAAACCTCGCCCTAAATACAGCCCATAGTGTGATATTCATGCATGATTGTATTACATTTGTAAGACAATCATGATGCATGAACAGTTACTGCACCTTTTGAGGCACGCTGGTGAATCTTTGCAAATTCCTAATGCATCAGTGATGCATTAGCGCTCTAGCTCACCGGGGTGCTTCTATTTGCCCAATTTGGCCATACAAAAAGGGGAGCGCTAATGCATTAGCGCATGCATTAGCGCTCTAGCTCACCGGGGTGCTTCTATTTGCCCAATTTGGCCATACAAAAAGGGGAGTGTTAATGCATTAGCGCTCCAGCTCGGGGTGCTACCATAATTGCCTAATACAGCCATACAAAAAGGTGAGCAGGCTTCCGTTACCCCTTACCTTTGGGACTATTAAATATTGGGGCTTCCTGTACCTGGCTTCGACATCAAAGTTTGACCTGGCTACGTATACCCCATACCTTCATTCCTGAGCTCTATCATTAAATAACACAAGTTTGTACTTGGCATTTCCCGAACGTCTGAAAATTGACGAAGTCCATAGTATTGTGACAACAGCATTTCCTGTGTGCCCAAATTTTTTTCAAGTCCTCCAACCAAGAGTGGCGAGAGTCAGAATGTTGGGAAGTCCATACGTGCACCATGATCCAGAGGTTATTAACAAAATTAAATTCATTATACACAAAGTACGATACTTCCAATTGAAGTAAATATGCTACAAAGTCTTTGACTTTTTAGACCCATGAATTACATCCTCGCCTTTGTGCTTGCTGCCCTGTTTTGAGTTTCCACCAATGACATTGTCAAGTTCGCACCGGTTAAAAGGGACTGATGGGCATGCCCTACCAGTACGTTGAACAGGTTGATCATCCTCTGGAAGAGGAGCAGGGGCTGGCTGAGATGCAGGATTAGTAGGAAGTGTGGGAGGTTGAGGCATAGGAGGCTGAGGTGCAGGGATCACTGGGGCTGGCTGAGGCGCAGAGATCACTGGGCCTGGCTGGGAACGCAGACGCAGGAGAGGGAGGTATAGGAGGCTGAGGTGCAGGGATCACCAGGGCTGGCTGGGACGCAAATTCAGGGATCACTGGGGCTGGCTGAGACGCAGAAGAGGGAGGCGTAGGAGGCTGAGGTGCAGGGATCGCAGGAGAGGGAGGCGTAGGAGGCTGAGGCACAGGGATCACAGGAGAGGGAGGCATAGGAGGCCTGAGGCACAGGGATCGCAGGAGAGGGAGGCACAGGGATCACCGGGGCTGGCTGGGATGCAGACACAGGGATCAACGGGGCTGGCTGAGATGGCTGAGACACAGACGCATCAGATGGAGGGATCAGCACTTCACATCCCCCTGGAGGAACAATGGGCGACTGTAAGTCACCGGTCTCCATGCTCAGGTGTGTCATACATACCTAGGTCTTTCAGAGATGTCTCAAGAAGAGCCAATGCAGCGTTGTAGTCGGCACGTTGAAGACTGTCATAGTCAATACCATCAGTGCGTGGTTCATGCTAGAGGAATAAACAATGTTAGTCATGTGTATTATTAGTAATGGAGGCTGAGCTTACCTCCTGCACACCATTTGGCTGTGATGCATTAAAGTTGTCAGGAATCCAGTCCTTCAGCTGATAAAGTGATTCCTAAGAGTCTGACTCTCCCACAGTTCCAACATCGTCTCCTACCGTCTCAGCGACCTCATCTCTCTCTCTCTCACCAACCTCACTGCTAGAGTCATCCTCGCTTGACTCATCTGAGTCATCATCAAGGTCACTGGCATTGTCCTGCTCAACAGCCGGTAGAGTTTCTTCATACTCTTAACAGTTGCATTTAATGTTAGTAGGTCTCGCAATCTTCATATGACTCCCACACCACTTACCAACACTTTTCTCTGCAAACCTCGCATATGCCCTAAGCACCTTGCCATATCTATCATACAAGTCTGAGAATTGCCCTCCTGTAGTGCATTCTCCAAGGTGGTAACTGTTTCAAATCAATCAATTGATCAATTGATGAACAGTATCACAGCCACCCATGAGGACCGAGAATTTCCATCCTCCCATCATGTGGCTTAGGTGTTGGAATATGCGATCTAACACACCCGGAAGCTCAGTGGATTGCCCTGTCCACTTGTCAATTTAGCGGTGAATATCCTGACCAAAGGTACATACCTCATCTTTGTCTCATCGTCTACCTCTTCCCTTATCTTGGCTCTCGCAATCTTGCGAGCTTTCCTAAACTTCTTGCACAACAATTTGTGCTTCTTCCTAACTCTGTCCTTTACAGTGCTCGACTCTGCCTTGTATTTCTCCGCGGTGATCTCACGACGTACAAGGAGCTTGGAACCATGAGAGGTGATGTTTCCCTTTGCAATCACCTCGTCGGCTGACTGCTTGACGTTGTCCGCATAGTACATTTGGGAGTAAACCTCCACTTCCTTCAGTGCCCGTGGTCCCTTTGTTTTCTTGCCTCCTACAAGTACTTCTTCAATGCTGAGGACCCCCCTGGATCCGCCCGAATGCGCAAGACAGCGTTGGATTTGTTTGCCAGCGATACCAGCACATGATTTGCTGCGACTAGTGGTCAGCAAAGACTTTGTTAATGTAACAATGGTATGCACAAATTTTCGCTGTTTCAGTGGCTCCTTAATCACCTCCTTTTGTTCATCAGTTAGATCATTCTCATTCTCGACGTCGGGGAAAAATTGTTTGTGGATCAGCCATTCAGCGAAGAATTTCTGGTTGATCTTCGGCCAGAACTGTGAGTAATTCTTCGAAGGTATGCATGTCCGATAATCAGCTGACAAAGACTGCAGGACTGCTTCTTGCTCGCAAGTAGGTCCACTTTTTGGGCGCCATTGTGTCAAGGACAGCACACTGTCAGCAGGCCGCAGAGTGTGTTGGGGGGAGGGGAGGGGGTTCGTGTACCAGGAGACCCGCACATAACATTTAATGCATTATTTTAGTGACATTACCGGTATCCATGTAAATACTTCGCTGTCAAAATGAGGATCTCTTTCAAACATCTATCTACATACAAAGAAGCAATTTTGGCATCCAGCCACATCACCAAGTAGTTTCTCCATCTCCGAGGCCGCTGTTGTGCAGGTCATTCGCTGCACTGCGCACTGAACACAACCGCAACACTCACTGTATATCTACATGAGCTTGAATATGTCTAGCGGTGAAAAAGCACTGTCGAATGTGGGCTGCCTTTCTGCACACGAAATAGTTCTGGATCAACTGCAAATAAATGAGCAACAGTCTGGACTACAGTACAAGTACATCTGAACCACACCTCTCGGCAGTTTTGGTATCCGCGCCTGGATTATGGCCTCCCCCAACCTGCTAATCTTCAGCTCCCCACCCTGGTAAATGATACCGGCAAGGTACATATCGCACTCAGGCCACCAAGTGAACCAAGCCTCATAAATAGATTCAAAGAACTCATCATAGCAGCTCGCAGCAGTGTGAGAGAATTCATCATACCATTCAGCAAGAAAGGCACGTTGAGCTGGAGACGTTAGTGCTTCAAATGTTCGAGTCATTGGAGGCAGTGAGTGCAGGATGGAAAGAGTGACAGGTAGGAGGTGAATCCTGGAGGCGATGAGCGCGGGAGGTGAATCCCGCTTGATTCAAATAAGGGAGGCGATGAGCACGGGATGGAAACAGCAGGTGAATCCCACTTGATTCGAATGAGTTCTCTGAAAGAAGGAAATGTATCAAAGTCATGCATTACAATCAACACGACTCAATCTCTACCTTCACTCAGGCACTTCACACTCCTGCTCACACACAAAAAAGACTTGGAGGTATGTTTGATGCCCGCTCCAGAACTTGGCCTGATGCAATTGAGTAGATGTCAAACATGTGGCAGCCAACACGCGAACAGCATGTGTGGTTAATGCCCCGGAGACGTACTGTGGCCTGACCAGCAGGAGGTGGACTTAGAGCTGACCTGCTGACTGGGAGTCGAACTTGGAGCTGACCAAAGATCAAAAGAAGGAGCTGTGTTCAGCAGAAAAAGCACGTGGAGAGGTGAGCCACCACAACCCATCGCCCGATTGGAGAGCTGACAGTTGATGATGGTGGATTTTAGACATTGTTGAGTTGGTTGGGGTGGGCATGGCTGAATGTGAGATGTGCTCATTCGATGTACGGTCGTTCGGGGTGTTGTGGGACAGATGATGGTCGTTGTGTGAAGTACCCTATCGCACCGGACTTGCTGATGCTTGGCAACAATGAACAAGTGTGATTAAGTGATATGTAGATGAGCGCTAGTTCCATAGCTGTTGAAATAAGAATCCGTTACTGTTATACTTCTCTCGCAAGTCTGTATCGTCCACCAGAACATCACATAACACATCCTCCAGCACAGAGAGCACGCCCTTGACAGTTTTTGTGGCAAGACTGACCTTGGCATACCTTTTGCCAGTACTAATTCCCTGCACAAGTAAGTCATTTTCCACCTGCTGAGTCTTGACGAATATCTCATCTATCACTCCTATGACCGCCTGAAGTTTCTCTGACGACTTGGTGTCCAAGTACTCCAGCAACAGGCCACCAATAACTTCACGAGGTTGGCCTCCAAGATAAGTCGTCAAACAATCTTGCTTGTGGTGCGTTTTATTCGTCGGTCCGCCACTGATAGATACATCACGTTCAGAGGTACATTCAGAGGTACTTGAATCCTGTGCGCCATCCCTTAAAAGCGCTCAGAATGGAATGCACTTATGAGGAGATTCGAGTCACTCACGCCATTGAAGATGGGCTCAGTGAAACATTCCCCTTGTCCTGCCTGGCCCGTTGAGAGTGATATCTGGATTTGCGCTTCAAATTAATGATAGACTGATGCCTGTGAGATTGAGGTGAGAATATCAGCTGTGTCATAGCCCGTACCAAGTATCAACTACAAGTGTATATTTACATACTGTGCATAATATGAATGTCCATGCATTCGTTTGGCTTCTCTACATTCTTCAGGAGTATGATACAGTTTCGGTCGACCCATACATGAGGATGACAACGGAAGTAGAACAAAATTCTTGTGACTGTCAATGTTGGTCAGATTTGGGCTTTGCAACCGGTAATTTTCGTCTGACTTTTATAGGACTTAAACCCACCAATGTCAATTGACAGCATACTTTGTCCTGACATCTGAACACACTCCTCACCACATATTCAGGTAAAAATCCTACAGGTCTACAATAGAAATAATGTCAGTCTTGATTCGTGTGATCCAGTGCAGCTGCCATTATAAGAATCATCTATGAACGGTGAAAACATGCGCCGTCAACCAACCATCAACCAATTTCAATCTGCCTGATGCTTACATTTCTGAATTTTGGAATGTATGGGGCATATACCATCATTATTGGGCAAGAAACTTGCAAAACACACATAGGATGAGTACAAGTGGGTACATAATTTGTATATACATATGGTAGGTATCAGAAGGGCTTATTAGACTGGCAACTCCTGCACGGTACCATCTTGAAGAGCCTGTGCATATGCCTCATCAGCACTCGCATGAGAGGAGTACCATCCAAAGCAAGCACCAGGCACACCAATGACATGGGAATGCACGTTATGCCTATAAGAAAATTAGTGAGTCTGCTAGAATGAATGAACAGGATACATACCATCCTTGAAAAACACCAGTCTCCCGCCTGACGGTAATAACGTACCAGCGGGCAGAAGCTGAAGTGCTTCCATGAGCCGTTGTAGTGGCAATGGCTGGAGTCGCAGTGCCTGGAGTCACAGTGCCTGGAGTCGCGTTAGGTACCACAGTGTTGGCAGCAGTGTCACCAGCTGGTCCAACATCAATGGTGGTGTTCAAGGAGCTTAAACTGCTCACAGAGGTCCAGGCACTCTGCACCTTGTCTGGCATCCTCCATTAGAAACTGTCAAAGCTGAGGAAGTAAGCACTTACCTCCTTGAGACACACCTCCATGCTGAATCTGAGCCTCACACACATAACAAGTGTGTGTGTGAGCACGAAAAACACAAGTGGGGCAATAACCGACTGCAATCGCTTCCGCTACCTGTTCAGGCAGGTCAGCCTCAGGATCAGCCTGACTGTGGGCCGCCTTGAGGGCTGAAAATGATTTCAGCGTGTTGACCTGCAAGTATTATTACACTGGCTTACTAAGCTGATCATGCAGAAGCTCGACCGCAGTAACCAATTCAGACAAACTGAAGGTCTGTTCCTTGATGAGCATAGGAAAAACTTTCATTTTAATTGAATGGGGGTGCAAGAGGGAACAGGACTGGATGATGCTAAGTGTGAAGGGGCTTGGTGGCTAGTGGTAAGTAAAATCTCGTTTCAATCGCATCTTATATCACACTCACGTTGACAAACTCTGCCGAGCACAGTTCTCGCACTACATAAGACTTAGAGGATCCCAAAGTACAGTAAGTGATCCTCCTTACGATTCCTTACGCTCATTGCTCCGACAGCCCGCACTGGAGGATCCTAAAGTACAGTAAGTGATCCCCCTTACAATTCCTTATGCTCATTGCTCTGACAGCCCCACTTGCATCAGATACGACATAGAAGACCTCCCCTACGATGTCAAGCTCCAGCGATGTTCCAGCTGTCCCACCCATCCCACCCATCCCAACTGTCCCACCCGTCCCACCCCCACCAGAAGTAACTGTCGTTCCAGTCGGGATGCTGCCTTGGACATTCCGTGAAGTTAACAGTCGTGGTTGTGGACGCGGACGTGGACAATGTGGCGTCAAGCTTGGTCGTGGTAGCGGGTGTGGGCGCATGCAATCTTGTTTCAATGAATATGTAGTCCTTCCTTCATCTAGTGTGCCCTCTGCTCACGAGAGTGTGAAATTTTCCTCCCTGTCACGTGGTCTTTTAACATCTCGCCAGACTGTCTTCAAAGATTCAGGTACCCTCCTGTGTCGCAACTGATCTCGGCACTAACATCAGCGACTATGATCATCCCTATTATGATCACTCTCCGATGGATGAAGACACACCACTTGAAGCGGACATAGGAGATCAGGCCAAGCGTGATCGCACACCTGCTGTTCGTGCAGAACTTCCCACTTGCCTTGCACATACTTACCCTTTCTAGGATAATCCTCTCCATTGCTGGATAGACCATGGCCGTGAACTGTTCCTTCTTGAAATGCTCTGTCACGATGGAAGAGGCCATGATTCTTTGTCCGACTTATGCAGGTCCTGCAGGATGAATGTCGGCTTGTACCGCTGCAAAGATTGTTTTGCCCCTGATTTATTATGTCAAGCGTGCATTATTTATGCTCATGCTCATTCACCAGTGCATCGTGTGGAGGTGAGTGTTTTTCTCGATCGAGATGCTGCCCATGATTGATGGGAACACAGAAATGGAACAGTGCCTATTTTCAAAGCGTAACCCTCAAAGATCTCGGTCTTCGCATCCAACTTGGTCACAAGGTTGGCGACTCATGTCTGCTTCCTACTTGAGCCTACAACAACGATTTTATTCTGGTTGACACCCTAGCTATCCATCCTGTCGCCATAGACTTTTGCGGGTGTGATAAAGCGCAATCCCACGTTCAACAACTCTTACATGTCAGATGGTTCCCTGCGACAACCAGCGACCCGAGAACCGTGGCTACTTTTCGTGTGCTCCGTCAATTTCACATTTTATCATTCGAATCGAAGGTTTCTGCCTACGAGTTCTATCACTCCTTGGTTTGCTTGACTGACAATACTGGTCTTTTGAAGCGGAATGACCATTATGAGGCATTCATGCGCATGGTGCATGAATTTCAGCATCTCAAGATGTTGAAGCGAGCTGCCCGTGGACACGACCCATCTGGCATCGCTGCCACGCAGCAGGGTGATTGTTCGGTATTATGTCCAGCTTGTCCTCAATCTGGGAAGAACATCCCTGGATGATTGGACACTTGCTTCGAAAGCAAGGAGGTACATACTTACTTAATTTATGTCAACAACTTCTTGATGTCTCTAGATGGTTGTACACTTCATTTTTCACCATCGACGCTAACTTTCGGCTCAAGAGATGGATAGTCTCGAAAGACACCGTGGATCCCAGCTTATCAAATGGGTGGAGTTATTTTGTCGACGAGACTGCATACCGGTCATATCTGAACGATCATGGCATGGAGACCCAGGAGGTGCGTATTCAATTTTTAACTTACATAGAAGCTCATGTTAATGGGATGTAATGCAGAAAAGCTCATGCGCTAGTCACAACGCGGTGAACATGGCAGAGTCCAAGTCATCGAAGGGCCTGGCAGCTACAGGACTTGGCACAATCGATTGTGCGCGCCATAACATGAAACTTCCTAACTGGTGTGGGTGACTTGCAGAAAGGCAAGAGGTATGTACTGTTTCAATGTTCGCGTATTCGCATCACTGACTTACCAACCTCAGATATATTAATATGGATTTTTTGTTCTTTTCGACCTTACAGCCACCGCTCTGTGGAAGTTCTCAACATATCATATGATATTGCGTGCCAATGGCACAAACATCTCTGGTCTAGAATGGCAACACTTCCAGAAGATTACCACCTTGATCACACTTCCAAAGACATCCGCTTCTTTGTCCCTAAGTTCCACCTTCCCATGCATATCGCAAAATGTCAGACATCTTTTTCTTTCAACTGGTCTCATTGGGTTGGGCGCACTGATGGCAAGGCTCCGGAGCGCGGATGGTCTAATATCAACCCTGTGGCATCTAGTACAAAAGAGATGGGCCCGGGCAGTCGACGGGACACTTTGGACAATCACTTCGGAGACTGGAATTGGAAAAAGGTTGTCAATCTAGGTAAGTGGTTGTCGTCCCCCGAAGATGCAGCTCTAACTACTTTCAGGTGCAAGCTTGCTACATAAGATGAAAGAAGCAATGCGGGAGAAGGCTGGCTTCCAAGTGGCCTTCGAAGAACTCAACACAGCCATCACTGAACAACATCGCACAACCTGGGAAGCCAAGGTAGAACAGTGGGAGGCTAATCCAACCAATACGAGCATCCCAAATCCGTTTGAGGTGAAGTCAGTTGGTACGTGTCTGCTACGAGACTTGTGAATGAAGGAGCTAACTTATTTTTAGCAATCACCCAGGCTGGCGCTCATCTGAGGCTAGCAGAACTGGAGGGTCGGGAACTCGAAAGCGGTGCAGATGTATCGCTGCATCCTGAGGTCTCAGCAGCGGTTTTGATTGGCTTGGGGCTGGACTTAGAAGAAGATCAGTGAGTTCCATGCATTTGTCTCCTGATTATGAAGCTGAGGGATTTTACAGACGACGGGTCGCTAGGTTTGCGAAGGGTCTCAGTAATCATGTGACAGACACACAGAGAGGGAAGTTGCAGTGCCAGAGAAATGTGTTACATCGCAAGATCGAGTCGTGGCGCACAGCACAAGCGCTGTACATGCCTATCGTGCAGAGCATCCTCTCCACCTCAACTTCGACCTCGTCAACCTCTGTGATTGAGTGTGCAGAGGACTCAAAGCTCTGGCTCCCTTTGGCTATCAAAAATCGTCCATGTCCCACCCACCTCCGACTTTACGAGTGGGAACTCCACCTGGCCCAGGCACACAACGCACTACAAGAGCTCCGTCAATGTCTACGTATATGTTCATCACTCCTGACATACAAGAAGGTGTGGGTGTGCGGGCAGGGTGCAAATACGAGGGCTCAGAATGCCTTGGAACGTGTCCTTGGATGACAAGCCGCATGCACTGCAAGGTACCATGCTGCATGGGATGCATTAAATACCCTGGCACGACAACTTGGAAAGGTGGGGTGGCAAGGTGGCCTTCGGTCACTGCACCCCGATGATATACGACCACTGATTGATCCGGATATCATGCCTGGGCAAGGGAGACGGAAGTTGACATGGATTTGGACCATGACTGGCGTGGATAGTAATGGGGATGGCACAGATGACGAAGGTGAGTTGCAATGTTTGGAATCACAGGATTAACTAACATATATCATAGGTGTGAGGGTGGAATGGTGCAAAGCGCGAGCTCGCATGATGCGGTGGGCCGAGGAGGTCGAGCTACTCCATGAGGAAATGTGATGTGTTCTCAAGTTTTTTGAGTGGCAGGCCAACTGGTGGGTTGAGCAGGGGCATTGGCATACTGAGATGGACGTAGAGTGTCTTGAGGGCGTCCGCGCTTATGCTACCAAGCAGGCAAGCATTCGCTGGGTGTTTATGGATCATTTCCAGATCTTATGGTCTCCCTTTTTATCATCTGACAGAGCTCTCTCAAACATAGACTCAGATGATGATGCTGACCTCCTGGATCTCTCAGCGCCGCCTCTCCCCGAGATGTAATGTACACCATACATTTATTTGGCACGGATTATATGTTTTGCACGGAATATATGTTTTGCACGGACAGTCTATTTTGTATGGAAATGCGGGGAAATGCTTCTTCTAACTGTACCTATGAGGGGAAGGTACTTCTCATCATCATGATCGATTCTTGTCATCACCGGTCCTTCCGATCGAGGACCAATTCAGAAGTACTGGGTGCTGAGTGTCCTACGGGTGACTGTCTTACAATGTGTAATGGCTTGATGCATGATTATGCGTTACAAGTAGTAAGCCTTCATGCATCACCATTGTCTTACTATCATAATGGTTAATGCATTGTCACCCCAGGGTGTTGTGCTAAATACTGTATTACTTACTACTAACTGTTAAGTATTGTATGTACTGAAACGGGTAAGCGACACTTTGTTCCCACACTGCGGACAGCACTCCACACATTTCCGAAACCTTCATGCTCGCTGTTGCCCACAGCGAGCTCAACTACTGCAGTATTTCACTACATTTCCTTGTATTTTTTTTACTGTACTATGTAGTAATACATTAAATAACATTGATCTCGCATTTTAAAGCCCTAATGACCACAAAATAAGTGTATATGAATGTGTGAAGGCTGCAAAGGGTACAGTGACTCCTCCTCCTCACCTAGAGGCCCCAGAGTGTTACTCCCTGGTCGAAAATACTCGATTTAACCATAAGATCATTCCTCTATAGTATAAAATGCGAAATAAAAATACCTAGGTGTTATGGAGGGCGTTCTGAGGGGGGAAATGGGGGTAGGAGAGAGGAGGAGAGGAAATATATTGCACTGAGCATCATATAATCGTCAATAGAAGTCCTATATACATTCTCAAGTAAGGAGAGAGTCAGTAGAGGGTGCCAGGGTTGCAAAAAATGCGACCAAGGCAGGGGGCTGACTCCAGGTCAACAAAACCTAAGGTAGCTACTCACCAATAAAGGGGACACACAAGCGGTGTTCATAGAGCATATCTAGACTCTATTTTAGTCATATGAGCTGGTACAATGGGCGAGAAAATGAGCATTAGAGACATACTGAAAAAAGAACTGAAAACATGAAAAATAAAGAAGACACTTACCAAGGAGTATAGAGCGCAGTTCTGATGTATTGCATAGTGCAGAGAGTTCCCCTAGTCCACTGAGAGCAGCAGGACTTGTGAGGATGGAGAGGAGAACAGGTCAGAAACAAAAAATGTCCAAAAATGCGAACCATGGGACTCATCAGGGCAAGGGAGGTTCCTAGCATATGTACCAAGGGAAACTATGGTCATATTATGATGAAGGACATCCTAGAGTGCTATTATATCAGAGGCAAAGTGCTATGGACAAGGTGAAGGCGAGTTACAAAGAAATAAGCTCAGCATGGTGAAAATCACTCACCTTGCCAATACAGAAGCCCTTGGAGGTATATAATAACCTAGTGAAGTCATAGATAAGTAGAATACACCTAGAAATGTTAGCACAGCAAGTTTCAATACATATTAATGAGTTGTGGTTGAGTTACAGTGAAAATGGAGGTTAAGGGGCAGTTTGCAATATACTGTGCAGTTGCCTTATGTGTACCAAAGTTCAACTAGACATTCAACCACTCATTTACCCTCTAACTCGACCACAACTCACTGGTTTGTCTTGAAACCCGCTGTGCTAACATTTCCAGGTCTATTCTACACTATTCTGACACCTCTTGGTCAATATATATCTCCAGGCCTTCTGTATTGACAAGGTGAGTGGGTTTCACCCCTGTTGAACTTATTTTCTTTCTTACTCGCCCAAACCTTGTTCATATCACTTACCCCTTGATATAATAACATCCTAGGGTGTTTTCCACCGGGTTGTGACCTTATTTTTACCTTGGTACACATGGTGATCCCTCCCTTGCCTTGGTGAGTCTCATGGTTCGCTTTTTTGACCAATTCTGTTTCTGACCTGTTATCCTCCCTATCCTGATAAGTACTATTGCTCTTAGTGGACTAAGGGCACTCTCTACACTATTGTATGCAGCAGAGCTGCGCTCTGAACCACTTGGTATGCATCCTCTTTATTTTTCATGTTTTCAGTTCATTTTTTTACTGTGTCTCTAATACTCATTTTACTGCCCATAGTACCAGCTCATATTACTCCAAGAGAGTTCAGGTATGTTCTCTGAACACCACTTGTGTGTCCCCTTCCTTGGGGAGTAGCTACCTTAGGTTTCATAAGGAAAACCACCGGTTCCTTTTCTAACTTAATTCGTCACTTAATGACGTGAAAAGTACCATTAAGTCATTTGAGTGAAAAAGCATGAACCACTTAATTAAGCCCACTCCATCTCTGAATTTTCGCTTATTTCACACTTATTGCACTTAAAAAACCAGATAAAGTGGCACAAGCCTTTCATAAAAAAGGGGGCATACACGAAAAAGCATAAAATTAAGGAGACTCTCTAATATAAAAAGTCGAGAGCCAGCTGGGGGTACAGGAAAAATGGTGGACATGTGGGGGAAAAAATGGCAGCGAAAATGATGATACAACAGCGGGATTCCACCGGCGGTGTAGAAGAGACAACATCCTACAATGATGAATGTCAGTTGGATGAAACCGAAATGACAAGTACTTACAAAGCATAGCGCACTCATCGTCCTCCGACTCGTCGTCGTTAAGTGAGTCCTGCTGTGATTCAATGGCATCATTTAAGGCAGTACAAGCATGTGCCATCTGTACTGTGGTCTCTACATACCCAGCAGGCTTGCTCGAGATAGATTTGATGAATGATGTGGTGACTTTGGCCCAGCGAGCTGCTGAAAACAAAAATGGGGCATTAGTCATCTTCCCGGTGACCTTGTTGAGGACTTTCAGTAGTTTGATGACAAGTTTGCCTCTCGCACTGGACACCAAGATATCTTTGGCTTTCAAATTCTTGTTTGTGAACATTCCCAGGGCACGCTCGATCTAAAAAAACAATAAATGTGAATTAAACCATCATAAAATCAAACTTACAGCTGCAGCACAGATAGCAATAACACCCGACATCTTGGTGGCACCTGTTGCAAGTGCGTGTGTGTCGAGGTTGGGAACCTCAACATACCCACTGATGGCATTAAGATGCGCTGTGCCCAACAGCTGTAATATGAAGGGAGAACGGTATGTTGTGAGGGGACTTGGCTTGTCAGGGTCCTCGAATAGGAATGCATAGTCTGCGAGAAGGTAAGCGGCAAGTTGAACAGAATCGCAGTCAGAGTTTCATGACAAAAAGTCCACAATAATGACCAGGCCCATTGAGCTGAAGTTGCTGCGCCATTCAGAAATTCGCTGCGCAGTCTAATTACGAGTACAGTCAGTAAAGCTCGATATAAAATAGTGAACTTACGAGGGAATGAATCACACTACCATGAACAATAGTGATGTTGAGCTCCTTGTATACTGCGTTAAAAATTAGCTGCGCATGAAGGAGAAGAATGTCGTCTGGGATAGTCCAGAGATCTTCATAACTTCCAGCCCATAACATGGCGGTAGGAAGATATTTCTTTGCCCAGCGTTGATCTACCTGCATCGTGGCAGGTAAATCAACGTTACAATATGCACTACAAGGTTTCATGTTCTCCGGCACAGTGTCCACATTGAGCTGGCGTTTGATGGTGGGAGTGCCATGGGCACATGCAGTGGGTGCCCCGACTTTGATTTTTTTGGGAGCAGGTGATTTGCTGTCAGCGACAGAAGTCACAACCGATACCGATGTCTGTGTGAGTGTCAGAGTGAGTGCGATTATATTCAGAGTCCTTACTGAAAATGTCATGCACGGATCTTTCTCCTTCTTCACTACCACTGGAGGCTCAGGCTTGGGCTCAGGCTTGAATGTGTCTTCAAAATCGGGGCCTTCAATATCCATGGACCAGTCAGAAACCATAGACTCCTCGTCGTCATCTAAGACGTCATCCACGCTAGCTTTCCGCTTGAGGGTCCTGCGATTGTCAATCTGCGTGAATGGAGCCTGAGGCCCCTGTGAGCCCTATTCCTGTTCTTCATCTAAGACGTCATCCACGCTAGCTTTCTGCTTGAGGATCCTGTGATTGTCGATCTGCGTGAATGGAGCCTGAGGCCCCTGCAAGTACCATTCCTGTTCTGTAAATGAAGTCACAGAATCATCATCCGGCTCATACCCTACCGGAGCATTAGGCTTGTCAAAGTCCACATTATCTTCGAATATCGAGGCCACCTGCAAAGCAAATAATTAGCGCGCGGATACCAATGATCAAACAGTAGCTGATCACCTTCGATTTCCCCTTGCCTTGCGCAATAGTGGCCTTGCACTCCAACGTATCATCAATATCATCTGCAAAGTCGCCAATGAGGGCTTCTGCAACAGGAACCACAGGCTTGCGAATTGGGACCTGTGCATCCGAAGTTGCTGCAGTGGAGGCAGTGCCTTGTGAGAAAATTGATGTTGGAGGCACTCAAGTTGAAAATGAAATGCTGGATGCGCAGGACATGGGCTTCTGATTTTCTGGGCTTGACTGCCTGAAATCCAATTGGTCACCTGGCCACCCAATGCGAATTTCTGAGTGGTAGCATTGAAACTGGAAGTGAGATTGAGGAAATACAATGTTGATTCAGTGAGAAGTAACATCAGATGGTGAGAGAAAGGAAGCCTTATGGTGCTGGCTGTATCTTTCCCATCAGATACACGTGCTACATTATTGGCGTTATCAGTGTCACCTTCCAATTTTGATGGTGCTTCGTTGATCTTCTTCTGCATGTTACTGATAGCGTCCTTTATCAGCGGCTTTCTGCCTTTCTTTGTTACCTTCCTCTTTTTTGCTCCTGTGGTTCCATCCTCCATGTTCTCGACAGCCTCCATGGTCTCGACAGCCTCCTGGAGGTCGTTTGCCTCATCAGCCTCCATCATGTTGTCAGTATGATCATCACCACTCCTTACTACAGGTTTAGTCGCCTTACGAGCCCTTGGCTTGGGCCAAACAGGGATCGCCTTTTTGTTGAGTAATTCTTCCTGCACTTTCTCCATCTCATTTTGCATACCAGCTAAGCGCTCCAACCCTTTTTGGACCTGTGCTTCCTGTGCTTCCTGTGCTTCCTTGAGGGTAAGGTCAGTTGGCGGCCTTTTGTGCCTTGGTACACCTCTTGATCTTTGCGTCAAGCACTATCTGGCCAGGCCGAGCGGTTGCATTTGATGGACGGGTGCAACAGGGAGTGTCTTGGGTAGACATGACTGAGGAGATGAGTTTATGACTTGGGAAGTTAGATGAAGGGCAAAACTTTTGCTGGAGTGAGAAAGGCGGGCTTGGAAGTTGGAAAAACTCGTAAGCTCCCAAACAAGTACCGACTGGTGTACACACACTAATCAGACTTTGTTACACAGTACAGTTGAACTTAGTGTTATCACGTGTTTTCGACCAGCTCTTCGACTTGGCTACCATAGGATGCCCAAGGCTGCTCACAGGGACCACAGTGCCCTTCAGATTCCATGTGGGTACTTAAAATGTGACCGCTGTTACAGGGACGTTACGTAAACCCCTCAGGACCAGCTTATTCTCTTTTGCCTATCTTTTCATTACCGCTCGCAGCCGCTAAAGCGACTTCCATCTTACCGTTCACTCGGCTTATCCATACTGGCTGATCATTCTCGCACTGCTTATCTGGTTTATCCGTTATCTCTGACTCATACCCTATGCCCTTATCGCATTGTCGGTACTACCTTTGACCCTTACCATTCAACCGGTATCTTCTGCTTTTCATATATAAAGGACTCTGTACGCTGTAGTAGTCCTTAACTTGAATCTACTCAGTATCACGCCTAAAGCCTCAGGATAGAGGGATAGCACGAAAGCTAGATAGCAAGCTTCATCACTTCTATCACATTTACACCATCTTCTACTAGACTCTCTGTCTAGTAGTCTTACCTTGAAACTCTTCGCAACACTAGATCGGTGCTCCTTGCGGGTATCTAGTGCGGAACCAACTGAGTTCGTAACATAAGATTCAAGTTTCTACCCCGAACAGTCTCTCCATCGTGAGAGCGTACCATTGACCAGAAAAGATAGCATCGAGAAGACCTCATCACACTTGGGAAAGAGCTCCCACACCATCTGACCCATCATCTGCGTCAGAAGACGTCGAATCAGAATATGAAGACTTTCGCCCACTTCCCTCTCCATGAAGAACAAACCCCCCACCTAGACCACCCATTCCCCCGCTTATCCACCCAGCAATGTCTGGATCAGGAACCACTGCCAAACCCGTAGAAATACGGATCGGTACACCCACCGAATTCTCTGGAGATAGAAAAGACGCCGGACGATGGATAAGATCTATCACCGCCTACATTGATGTCAACGAAAAGATCTACGACGATGATAAGAAAAAAATCATCCTCTATCTGTCATACATGACAAAGGGAGCAGCCACCACCTGGGCAGACGACTTTATGGAACACACCCAAGATGCAACCAACACGGCAAAATATGGCAAGCTTGAAGACTTCCTTGAAGACTTCAAGAAGGCATTCAAAGAAGTAGACTCCGTGGGAGCAGCCATTACGGAGATGAGGAATCTCAAGCAAACCCATTCTCTTGGAGAATACCTCGCCTCATTCTGACAACTCACCACGAGAGGAGGAATCACCGATAACGGTGCACTACGCCAATTCTTTTTGGATGGCCTGGACAAGAAACTCCGCTGGAGACTCCTGATCAACAACAGCGACATCGAAACATTTGAAAAACTCTTGAAGAAAGTGGTTGACCTAGACAACAACCACCAACAGCTGTTGGCTATCACCGCAAGGGAAGGACGAAACAACGGGGGATTCCAAAAAAGAACTGGGAACCCCCGATACACTCCTCCCAAAAGAGAAGCCAGAGACCCAAACGCAATGGACATTGACCGCATGGATGAAGAAAGGCAGAAATGCTTCAGGGAAGGACTCTGTTTCACTTGCAAGAAAGCAGGACATAGGGCCAATGACCCAAGATTCCACCCTAAACGAGGAGCGTTGAAAAGCAGGCAGACCATGCCTGAGAAGGAGGAAAAGGGACAGTCTGGGATTACCCAGCTTGATGATGAAGATGATGATGAAGAAATGCCCGTTGTGGGTACAACAAGTGCAGCAGAGTGAAATCAATCTACTACACAGTTGGGTCTTTGCTGCCTGCTGCCTTGCTTGGGAACAAGTGCGTTCGACCCTTAAGGGGATTGCTACTGGGGAATACTAGTCTCTGTCTAAAGCGACCCTATAGGATGAAAGATCCACAAAAGCGGATGAAACGGATAGGATGCGAAATGTACAGATTCGTCGGATGGAGCGGATGGCACTTGCGGATCGGACGGGATGCGAATCAAAGTCAAAGGAAGTTCATTAAAGGTTAGATGGATAGTGGGTATAAGTCAAAGTGACCTTCTGGTAAGGTGCAGGAAAAGTGGGAGGAAGTTACATGAAGTAAGTATTTTTCGAAAACCTCCATGCTTATAGGGTACAGTATTTTCAAGGAACATAGAGATATAGGTAGCGAGTCTAGACCATGCCATAAGCTATCCGAAAAATACTGGAGTGTGAGAGGATATGTCTGTGTTCAGTCAGTAACAAGAAAATGCGTGTGAGTACGTACCAATGAGGTAGAATGGATGTGAACAGGACGGATGCAGCGGATGCGCAAGCTATAGGAGGAGATCCGAAGGTATCCGCATGTCATCCGAAAAGCGGATGAGTATCGGATGGAATGGATAGGATGTGGATGGATGCCGGATGGACGGAAAAACAGTGGATACGAGCCTAGCGTAGGGATACTCCCTACACCGTAGCCAAGATACGAGCCAAGGAGATCTCAGTGGCCAAAGGAATGGATTTTTAAACCGAAGGACTGTCGCAATGTCAGCACCTTCTACTTGTGTACTGTATACTAAAGCCATTGGAAAATCCAATGAATTCCGCATTCCCATCATGCTTTTTTCTACCAAGTACGCAAAAACCATTGCCACCACTGCCATAATCGACTCTGGAGCAGGAGGATCGTTCGTCGATCACCTCTTCGTCCGAAAAAATAAAATCAGCACCTACCCCCTCACTGACCCCTTCCACATACGAACAGTTGATGGAAGCAACTCTACTGCAGGAAGGGTAACGCACTACTGCACCCTCGCAGTCAAAATCGACCAACAATGCATGCTTGGAAATTTCAATATCACGAAACTATCCAGGAATGATGACATCCTCCTCGGAAAGCCGTGGCTTTCCGCCATGCAACCAGAAATTGATTGGAAGAACGATACCATCTCTTTAACACGGACAAAACGATCGACAGAAATCGAACAAATGATCAATGACGAAAGACAGGCGAACGGAGCAGAACCTTACAGATTTCCCCCGATTCGAAAAACAACCGTAACTGATGAACCTCCTGAAGATTTCTCCCCTTTAAAGAAATTACCCAAAGGTTCAAAATACGCTTTAGAAGAAATAGCAGAAAAACGGCGATGAAAGAAAAAGGCAACCACAGAAAAGAATAAACCAGCAGACCCCATATTTGACAATTTCGAGGATACCTGGCTCGGATGAGTTAATCTTGCTGAACCAGTCACCGATGTTTCCACCTACCAGTTGGAAGATGATGAAGTCCTAGTTGAATATTCATTTGATGGTACAACCATCTGAATGATCGAAAACCTAGACACTGATTCCCCGCTGGTACGGGATGGAACATCCTATCAAGAAATCAGAAAACTCGGCAGACCAGAATCATTGTGGAACACCTGGATCCTCTCCCAATCCCTGCATGAACAACTTGAGGAAACCCAGAAAACCAGTAACAAAGCACAAGAATTCACGATGAAGGACGTCCAGGAAAAAGTCAAGAAAACCTTCGAAGAACTCGTTCCCGAATACCTCCACAAATTCCGGGATATCTTCGCCAAAGACGGATTAAACCAACTCCCCCCAAGCCGACACCTCGTAGATCATCGTATCGAAACAAAACCTGGATTTGTCCCGAAATCTACCCGCATGTACCCCCTCTCCCCAAAAGAAACTGAAGCAGTAAAAGCCTTTCTCGACGAACAACTCACAAAAGACTTTATCCAACCATCCACGTCGCCACAATCAAGTGGCTTCTTCTTTGTGGGAAAGAAAGGAGGAACCCTCCGCCCCTGCCAGGATTATCGCTACCTCAATGACTGGACAGTCAAAAATGCTTACCCACTTCCACTGATTCCCCCTTTGATCGCAAAACTCAAAGACGCCAAATACTTCACCAAAATGGACATTTGGTCTGGATATAATAATATCCTGATTCACCCCGACGATCAATGGAAAGCCACCTTCTCCACATCATTTGGTCTATTTGAGCCAAAAGTCATGTTCTTCGGATTATGCAACTCGCCTGCGACATTCCAAGCCTACATGAATGAGACGTTTAAGCATGAAATTGATGCTGGATGGCTGATTGTCTACATGGATGACATACTCATCTTTTCAGACACACTAGAAGAAAACCAAAGCCGAACGAAAATCATCCTGCAAAAACTACGCACCGAAACATTATTCCTCAAACCAGAGAAATGTACATTTGACGCCCAAGAAGTAGAATACCTTGGGATGATCATCCGCCCGGGCAAAGTTTCAATGGACACCGCCAAATTGGAAGGGATCAGTCAGTGGCAAATGCCAACTACTGTCAAAGACGTGCGATCATTCCTCGGATTCTGTAACTTCTACCGACACTTCATTGCTCATTACTCGGATATCGCACGACCCATGATTGATCTAACAAAGAAAGATCAACCCTTTCACTGGACAGATCATTGCCAAAACGCCTTTGACAAACTCAAACACAGTTTCCTCACGGAACCTGTGCTCCGTAACCCCGACGCAACCAGACAATTTGCCCTTGCCACTGATGCATCGCTCTTCGCCACTGGCACTGTGTTATTACAGACCGATGAAAATGGCGCCTACCACCCTTGCAGGTACTTATCCCAATCATTCAATGCCGCCGAATGCAATTATCAGATTTACGACCGTGAGCTCTTAGCTGTCATACGCATGCTCAAAAGTTGGAGACACTTCTTGGAAGGCAACCCCCACCCTGTTATTGTCTTCACCAACCATAAAAATCTCCTCTACTTCCGATCGGTGCAACAGTTGACATGTCGCCAAGCCCGGTGGCAGCTTACTCTTAGTGAATTTGACCTCGTCTTCCACCATGTCCCTGGCGCAAAGCTTGCCACCCCTGACGCCCTGTCACGACGACCAGACCATGTCGTTGGCGACCCTGATAACACCAATGTGACCATACTCCCAGACTCCCTCTTCATCCACCTGGTCGATGGCGTGCTCGCGCACCAGTTTAAATCCCTTACCGAGTCTGCACCTGACTCCACCATCCAGACCGCCCTCCAGGCTTTGAGCGGTATCTGTGCGCCACCCATCAAATCTGCCCTCTCCGATTGGGCCTTCACCGATGGTGTACTGTTTTATAAAGACCGGGCCTACGTACCGGCCGATCTTCGCTGGAAAGTCCTGGCTCTCCACCATGATCACCTTACCGCGGGCCATCCCGGCCGCACTATCACCGAATGGAATGTCAAGAAAGCTTATTGGTGGCCTGGTATGGGCACTTACATCCGAAACTATGTTGCTGGGTGCGCCATCTGCCAACAAATGAAGTCCGACACTCACCCCATCACCCCACCTCTGATGCCAATCCCCTCCGTTGCTACCTGCCCCTTTGAGCAGGTCTCCGTTGACCTCATCACTGATCTTCCCCTGTCCCATGGCTTCGACTCTGTTATGGTCGTGGTCGACCATGGCCTAATGAAGGGGGCAATTCTGTGTCCATGCAAGAAAACCATTACTGCAGAAGGTGTTGCCAACCTTTTCTTTAAAAAGGTGTTCACACGCTTCGGTCTCTATGACAAAATCATCTCCGACAGAGGACCACAATTCGCTTCCAAATTTGCCAAAGAACTAGGACGGATCCTGGATTACCAAGTAGCCCTCTCTACAGCCTATCATCCACAGACAGATGGACAAACAGAACGACTTAACCAGGAACTAGAAACTTACCTCAGAATCTACTGCCGCACCACCCCCGCCGAATGGTCACAACATCTGCCGATGGCCGAATTCATCCACAACTCAAGGAAACATTCCGCCAGAAATACATCACCCTTCGCCCTAATGATGGGATATGAACCAAAAAGCCTACCCCAGGTGTTCCCCGCAACTTCGGTACCAGCAGTAGAAAAACGACTGAAACACCTTGGAAAGATCCGGGAAGAAGCACTGGCATGCCACGCCCTTGCCCAACAATGAATGGGAGAAAGAATGCAGGGAAGAAAGTACACCCCATAGAAGAAAGGGGATAAGGTCTGGCTATCCGCAGCTCATCTATTAACAAAACTCCCATCAAAGAAACTCGCACCGAAAAGATACGGACCGTTCACCATAGAAGAAGTTTTATCACCAATCACATTCAAGATCAAACTTCCGGAAACCTGGAGAGTTCACTCCACATTCCACGCTTCCAAACTATCCTCCTATCACGAAACCGACGTTCACGGCCCGAACTACGAAGAACCACCACCTGATGTAATCAACGGCGAAGAAGAATACGAAATAGAAGCAATACTTGCCCATAAAGGAATGGGTAATTGCTGCTGATACCTTGTATCGTGGAAAGGATATCCCGAATCGGACAACTCTTGGCAAACCGAGTCAGATTTGGCTAATTCATCCGACATCCTGACAACGTATAAAAGAAAACTCGCTAGCAAGAACTAAGAAGACAATTCTGCAACCAACAAACATGTCCAACTCATCAAACGACTCCAACTTCTTTGCCTCCCACCCTCATCTCACACCCATGAACGAAGACAAAGCCCTCTGGGAGGCACTCATCCTAGACAGCCATTATGCTATAGAAATCGACAACCTCATCATCGCCCGCAACGACCCTATCCTCTTCGAACTCATTGCAGCATTCAGAACCGCAGATACCCTCACCGCCTGCATCGTCAACATGCAGGAGTGCAAATGTGGAACATTCGGGACAGTATCCCTTCGCTACGCACAAACCAAAATCAAAACACTGTCATGACACTCCTAGCCACGAAAAAGTTCAGCAAACTTGTTGATCAGATCAACAACGGTGAATTTGTAGCACAACCCACACCATCCCCTATCCAACCGAGCATTCTTGATGAAGAAAACATTGAACTGGCACCATTCATACCCACAGAACCCCATGCTGAAACTCCAGAACCCCCTGAAGCAGAAAACTTACCTAATCTCATCGCTGAAGAAAGCGAGTTTGAAGGAGATTTCTTAGAAGCAGATGGAACTGCCACACCGTCCATCATGCATTACTCCCCACCTCCTACTCCGAAAACTCCTGAACGAAAACCATTACATGTCCCCAAACCAACTGGCCGTACCACCTCCCCCAGTAAACAAAATCGCCGTAACCGTGGAACCACCATGCTCCTTTCGCTTGGTCTACCGTTATCAGTTAAATACCCTCCTATCTTCCATGGCATAGCGCCCAACTGTCGAAACAGGGGAACCAGAAAGAGTCATGACTACTACCGCAGATCGTATCCATCATGCCAAATTCGAAGCTATTGAAACAGAGCAGACCCACCCCGCCAACTTCATCTGCCGCTGCTGCAAACGATATGGCCATAGACATCGTCATTGCCATCAGTACTTCTGTCGTATCTGCGGGGTCTTCACCCCAGGACATTTCACCTCATACTGCCCACATCTTAACGGACGCACTATTCTTTGTCGCAGTCGTTCCGACCCTAACTTCCACGCGCAACTCGCGCGTCTTGAATGCTTTTATGATGCCCGCCAGGGCATTATCCCTGACCATGACGACGAAGATGACCGTCGGCTTGAAGTTAATGAGATCGAAGGTTTAGACGTCGACGATGTTTTCTTAGACGATGCCCGCCTTGACGCATGAAGCCAGGTGACTTCACCCTTAGAACGGGAGGTGATGTTACAGGGACGTTACGTAAACCCCTTGGACCAGCTTATTCTCTTTTGCCTATCTTTTCATTACCGCTCGCAGCCGCTAAAGCGACTTCCATCTTACCGTTCACTCAGCTTATCCATACTGGCTGATCATTCTCGCACTGCTTATCTGGTTTATCCATTATCTCTGACTCATACCCTATGCCCTTACCGCATTGTCGGTACTACCCTTGACCCTTACCGTTCAACCGGTATCTTCTGCTTTTCGTATATAAAGGACTCCGTACGCTGTAGTAGTCCTTAACTTGAATCTACTCAGTATCACGCCTAAAGCCTCAGGATAGAGGGATAGCACGAAAGCTAGATAGCAAGCTTCATCGCTTCTATCACATTTACACCGTCTTCTACTAGACTCTCCGTCTAGTAGTCTTACCTTGAAACTCTTCGCAACACTAGATCGGTGCTCCTTGCGGGTATCTAGTGCGGAACCAACTGAGTTCGTAACAACCGCTACTTCAAGACTCAGGCAGGGTGCAAAAAGCACTGGAATGCTTCACACCCAACATTCATATCAGCTCCTACCACCAGTGTCTTGCATACTGCTACAGTCGAAGACGAACCCGAAGAACCACACAACAACTTCCTCGCAGGACATGATGACTTCTCCGCAGGCTTATTTGGCGCGGGTCAGGCTCTTGATGAGCCTGATAATCTGGACATGCAGTTTGTGGGGCCGGGTGATACATTATACCGCAACTATCACCCAAAACTAAATGGTACATTTCTTGGTCCTTTTCCAGCTAGTTGCAATTAACGTGGGTATTTACACAAGCTTGTCCTTGTGATGCGACAGGTCAATTCCTTGAAGATGGAGCATTCCCAATGCCACCTCCAAGCAAATCGCCTGATGACTGGACTCCATACCGGGATCGTGTTGAATTTGAGACTGCCAAATTCCTGTACACATGCAACCAGATGTCTGCCGGGGACATCAATGTCTTATTGGATCTTTGGGCTGCAACCCTCCTGAAACATAATGACAAGCCGCCGTTTGCGGACTGCCGTGATTTACATAAAACCATTGACAGTACACTGGTGGGTGATGTCAAATGGCAATATTTCAGGGTCCAGTACATGGGGAGAAGCCGGAACACAATGTACCATTGTGGATGGGTCAATCTCATGACATTTGGTATCGAGACCCCCATGAGGTCATTTGGAACATGTTGGCAAACCCAGACTATGCCACAGAGATGGACTACCAGCCCTACCATGAGTTCTCGACTGACAGCAATGAATGCCAATGGCAGGACTTCATGTCCAGCGACTGGGCCTGGAACCAAGGGGTATTTCTCTTTTCTTGTTTTATGTGGCTATACATGCTGACGATATTTGGTAGGATATTATTTCCAAAGATCCAGATACAACTGGCTTGACCTTTGTTCCGGTTATACTCGGAAGCGACAAGACGACAGTTTCAGTGGCAATTGGCGCCAACGATTACTATCCACTGTATGTATCAATCGGGAATGTTTGTAATAATGTCCGGCGTGCACATTGTGACGCTGTTGCCATCATTGGCTTCCTAGCTATGCAAAAAGTAATCTTCATCCTATTACTATTGTTCTGTGCTAACTACAGTGGAGCAGCTACGAAGGAGCATGCCTCCTGCCCAAAATATCGGAAATATTGCTGGCAACTCTTTCATTCGTCTATCTCAAAGATTCTTACAAACCTAAGACCCAGCATGACCAAACCAGAGGTTGTGCGCTTTGGTGATGGGCACTATTGGTGTGTAATCTATGGACTTGGGCCATATATTGCAGATTATGAAGAGCAGGTTCTATTAGTGTGTATAGTGCGCTCTTGGTGTCCAAGGTATGTTCCTAGCAGTAATTGTAATGTACCTTTCGCCTTACCATTGTTGATATACAGGTGTATGTCACACTGCAAAAGTTTGGACTCTGAGTCGTTGTGTCACAATCGTGTGTGGGACGAGTATGGGATCATAAATGACCTCGTCATAAGTCATGCATCTTCTCATAGAACTGCAGTTCATAGTATTTAATCCCTCCTAACCATTTACAAATGACTTCCCTTGAGCTGATATTCACGAACTTATCACGCTGGACCTCCTACATCAATTGATCAAGGGGACCTTCAAGGATCATTTAGTTGAGTGGGTTGGAACATATCTGCACCATGTGCACAGAAAGAAAGGAGCAGAGAAAATCCAAGACAATATAGATTGAAGGTACGTCCTTTTGTCTAAATTCAATGTTTCAAAGCTCATGTCATGGAAGAATCGCTGTGGTTGCTTCATTCTCAGGTCTTTGACATTTTCCACAAGGTCGAGGATTCAAACAATGGACCGGCGATGATTCAAAAGCGCTTATGAAGGTATATTCAACATTATTTCTAGGACATTGTGACTGCCAGACTAACAACAGTTCAGGTTTATCTACCTGCCATTGAAGGTCACGTCCCAATGGACGTGGTCCGCACATTTCATGCATTTCTTGAATTCTGCTATCTTGTATGGTGTAATATCATCATGGAATCCACACTGGTTCAAATCCAGGATGCTCTCAACCGATTCCATCATTACAGGAAGATCTTTGAGTCCATGGGTGTCGTTCTCACATTCTCCCTCCCTCAACAACACTCTTGTTCCCATTACATCCTCCTTATCTGACAGTTTGGTGCACCCAATGGTCTTTGTTCCTCAATCACCAAGACAAAGCACATTAAAGCCGTAAAGGAACCATGGAGGCGCTCAAGTCGCTACAAAGCCCTTGGTCAAATGCTGGTGACAAACCAGCGTCTTGATAAACTTGCGGCCTCACACATTGATTTCAAGAGCCATGGGATGCTGAATGGCACCTGTCTGTTGGAAACACTTTGAGCATTAAGTGAGTTTCTTTAGCGCTATCATCTTTATTATTCACTTGAAATATATACTAGAGCGGTTGCGGTTAAATACAGAGCCTAATGCCGACCAGCCCGACCAACCCAACGAGAATAGCATTCTGCCACTCCCCGACCTCAACGTCACTATACAGGGCAACGATGAAGAGGGTGAAATTATCGACGGCCCAACACTGGTGCAGGCCCATGTTCAGTTGGCAAAAACACCCCATAAGCCAGCTCATATTTGACTGCGAAGACCTTATTTGATTTTCAACATTGCGCAGAACGCACACGTGCATGAACTGTACCTGACTTATCTGCAGAACTCACTATCCCCCATCTCTACAACCTCCTCCACCGATTCCTATTCGAACAAGTCAACCCAGATGACCAGCGGTCTCCCTCTGAAGTCCCACTTGCAAGTTGTCCTCAATTTGATGGCAAAATTCAAGTCTTCAACTCTGCGTCTTCGACATTCTATGCGCCTAGCGACCGCAGCGGGATTGGTGGCATGCACCAGGAGCATATTTGTGCTTGTCCTCTTTGGAGAAACGAGGCACCGCGATATGACTGTGTGTTTGTGAACACAGATGCAGGTGTCAAAGGGATGAGGGGGATGGACATAGCACGTGTGATGTGTTTTTTCTCTTTGATGTTCAAAGCAGTTTCATACCCATGCACTGTGGTGCATTGGTTCAACAAAGCTGATGATGATAGACCCGACAAGGACACTGGGATGTGGATAGCACAACCTTCATATGATATTGACCATTCTCCATCAGTTGGAATCATTCATATTGATTCTATTTACCGCGCCGCACACCTCATCCCAATCTACGGAACACATGCCATCCCACAGAACCTCAAACACTATGACTCCTATGATGCTTTCTGAGCATTCTATATAAACAAGTTTGCAGATCATCATGCATTCGAGATCGCATCTTAGGTAGGACTGTTTGACTCGGACTCAAATAAGTACTCAAAGGCCAACTACAGACACTCTTTTGATGCTGTCACACAGTGGTACTCATTTACCACCTCACAGAAGAATATGATCCACACAGGTGCGACCTTGTTATGCTTGCCAGATTCATTCGTGCCCCCTCATCCACCCATGCATCCCCTATGCAGTGGTACCCACCCACCATCCCGAAGAATATGATCCGAACAGGGGCGGCCTTGTTATACTCGCCAGATCTGTCCATCCGCTCCCCTAATCCACCATGCAGCGGTACCCACCCACCATCCCAAAGAATATGATTCGAACAGGGGCAGCCTTGTTATACTCGCCAGATCCGTCCATCCACTCCCCTAATCTACCATGCAGCAGTACCCACCCACCATCCCGAAGAATATGATCCGAACAGGGCGGTATCCACCCACATCCCGAAGAATATGATCCGCACCTGTGCGGCCTTGTTACACCCGCCAATTTCATCCACATGCCCTCTATAAGGGATATTGCGCGCCTGCTGTAGTTTGCAGCTCCGAATCTTATGTGTGCCCTGTCTTATTGTTGAGAACGCCCTCAGTCAAGATCACGCTCATCGTCGACTGTCAGATGTTCACATTTTCATATAGCGCTAATTTATACAGCAAGCCGAGTCATTTCATGACGCCCGGCAACATGTTCTAACATGAAAAGGTAAATCCCCAATCTGCTGTACATGAGATATACCCTCATACCTTGTCCAGTCTGTGGCAGCTCAAGGATTATGCCACACCATGGATACATTCGAGCAATGCTTGATTCCAACGGCTCAAAAACCCTCTTAGCCTCCTCCATAACCCCACCCTCACCACACCTTGCCCAACCGCCTCATCTGCTCGCACGTTTGGCTGATCCTTCACATCCGCTGGCACGTCTGGCCAATCCACCATGACAGACCACCTTCGCCCTTGTCCGCAATAGATCTGTGGTTTTGTTGGTGGCAAAAGAGTCAGAATTCAGACCAATATCTATTGAATGTGTCAGTGATCCGCAATCTACACAATGTGTGGGCCACTGACAGCATCCTGAGGGCCCATCTTAGTCACAATCAAGTTTGCGATGTATAGGTTTGTAGGTGAGTGGATGGTCTGAACTTGTACTATTATTCATACTTGCAACTTGATTATCGGTGTTTCCCGACAATTTCTTTTTTCAGACAATGAGCACCGCCGCTTTCCCATAGTGCGGTCCTTCTGGATCACCATGAACCACAAGCACACATACCACTACTAGGAACCCTGCTGATGAATGATCCAGCCAGAACTCATCACCAACTCCACCCGTTCACTCATCAAAACTCAGCACTGACACCCCCCGAAAACAGAACCCAGATGAGGCTCGTGTAGTACTTACTATTAGACTGAATACAACTTGAACTTTTACCACTTTTTGAATGGTTGTGACTTGTGAATTTGAGCACTCCCTGAATTCACTTTTCTGTAGTACTTATTAGACTGAATACAACTTTTGCCGCTTTTTGAATGGTCGCAACTTGTGAATTGAGCACTCCCTGAATTCACTTTTCAGAAAGTCTATTAAGTGTAAAAAGCGATGTTCTAAGTTTCATCCCTCAGAAATTAAGTGACATTAAGTAAAATAAGTCAAAAAAGCAGCCGGTGGTTTTCCTGATGACTTTTGTGTTACCCACAGTCAACCTCCTGCCTTTCTCGCATTTTTTGCAACTCTATCACCCTCTACTGACTCCCCCCTTACTTGAGGATGTCCATAGGACCTCTGTAGATGATTCTCTGGTGCTTGGGGTTGTATAATCCTCCTCTTCCCCCCTCCTACCTCCATTTCAACCCTCAGAATGTCCTTCTCAGTACCTAGGTTATTATATATCGCATTTTTTACTATATGAGAATGTTCTTATCATTAATTGGAATGTTTCTGACCAGGAAGCAATGCTCTGGGACCTATAGATGGAGGTGGAGGTGCCATTGTACCTCTGCAGCACCCGTACACTATGTTGGAATCTGGTGAAACGAAGGAAACAGAAGACGGACCGTAGAAGATGAGAGTGAAACAGTACAAGTGCAACCAGTGAGTACGAAAAGGCAACATGTTGATGTTGGCCGAGGCTCGTCAATATTGGAATGTCTATCTCTAAGTAACGGACAATTTACTTATCATTTACTTATCTATCCTATCTGTACTATAAAGGACTGGTCGAGTCGTTAGAACATCTCAGGTCTTTTCATAGAGCCTGAGATGTAAGTCTCATATATTTTACGTGTTATTCTACAGAGCTAACATACCATTAGATATTTATTCTACTAGGTACTTTACCCGCTCTTACTTAGGTCTTTTCATTGAGCCTGAGATATATTTATTCTACTAGCTCCCGCTTTGTGTGCTGCTCGCCTGAACTCACTTTAGGTTATGAGCCCTGACATGGCCATGGAATCTTCGCTCCCCAGCACCACTTCTGCGCTATTCAACATCCCCAAGCTTGCCGAAGATGGCAGCAATTGGATTACCTACAAGGAACACATGTTGACTGCGATCAGTGCTAGAGGTATGATGCGACATGCAGACGGCCGTGCCATGAGACCAGTACAATATAGTATTGACCCGACGACAAGCACCATCAAGAAGCCAGATGGCTCGACGCCTATGCCAGTGGAGATCGAGGAGATAGAGAAGAAAATAGATGAATATTTGCAAAAGGACTCACTTGTGAAGCAGCAAATCTTCAGCACAATCACAGATCATCTCTTACTGCGCATTCAGAAGCTCGAAGATGCCTCGAAGATTTGGGAGGAAATCTGCCATATCCATGAGGGTAAGACCAAGTTGGTCCAGATTGACCTCCGCCGCAGGCTGCAGGACTTAAGGTGCGAAGAGAATGGTGATGTCAAAGCCCATTTCTTGGAACTCCTGAGACTGCGTGAATCCCTGGCAGGCATGGGCTCGGCGATAGAGGATTGTAATTTCCACACAATCCTACTCGGCTTGCTCCCCAAATCCTATAGACCCCTCCTATCCTCCATTAATGCCGCTGCAAAGATCACGCAGAAGGCACTCACCCCCAATGAACTTATCACCGTCATCAGCGAGGAATATGAGCATCGTCTCCTCACGGACCATCAAACATCCAAGAAAGGGTCGAATGCAGCACTGATGGCCAAGAACAGACCTGGGAAGGGCCGTAAGCCCTCAGGAATGAACCAAGCTGGCGCAGATGTAACATGTTTCAACTGCGATCATAAAGGACACTATAAAAGTGACTGCTGGAGACCTGGAGGGGGCAAAGAGGGCCAAGGGCCAAATCAGCAATGCCAGAAGAAAGGTAGCCGTTCATCTAAGGAGGGAGCTAATGCAGCGACCTCCGAACCTATGCCACCAGAGAACTTCATGTTTGCAACGTCTAACTTGGCTAGCATAGCCAAGGAATTGAACATCCCCATAGAGCAACGCAGCGCCATCATTGATTCAGGTGCCACATCTCACTTCTGCCCGGATCGGTCCAAGTTCACCAACTATGTCCCCATAGAGGCACAGGACGTGCATATGGCCAATGGATCCACCATTAGCGCTATAGGCAAGGGAGATGTCGTGTTGGACTTACCAAACAGCAAAGACTGCACTTGGGTCACTCTCAAAGATGTGTTATATAGTCCCAAGATGGCCTTCACACTCATCTCGACTAACAGGATCACCATGGGAGGTTCAGCCGTCCATTTTGAGGACAAGATGTGCAAGATTTTGTCGCCTGCCCCCAAGTGTAGCGTTATCGCCACAATCCCCCAGATCATGGGTCTCTATAGTGTCGCTGGACGGCATCAGCACCATGCTAACATCGCATGAACAAAACTTACTGTCTATGAGCTGCACCGAATGCTAGGACATGTCTCTCAAACCTAATCAACGGTGTCAACCTAGACCTGAACTCCAAGCCAGGAGTTCTGCGACACATGCGCTAAGGCTAAAGCGACGCATAAGCCATTCCCGAAGGAATCTGAGAGTCGAGCAAAGACGTACAGTGAGGTCATCCACACGGACCTGTGGGGTCCAGCCAGAACTGAGAGGCTGGGTGGTAGCCTTTATTATATGACATTTACTGATGACTTTACTCGGCAGACTAAGGTCAGCTTCCTCACGCACAAGAGCAACGCACTAGAGACATTCAAGGCATATGAAGCCTGGTTGTTGCAACAACGCGATGGGATGCACGTCAAGACCCTCAGGTCTGACTGCGGGGGAGAGTACTTGAGTCGAGAATTTGACAAGTACCTGAAGGAAGAGGGGATTCAGCGGCAGTTAATGGTGCATGACTCACCACAACAGAACAGAGTGGTTGAGCGCCTCAACTGCACGCTTGTAGAGCTAGCACATGCTATGCTCCTTGCCCGTGATCTCCCGAACTTCCTCTGGATAGAGGCGGTTAACTACACCACTTGGCTAAAGAATCACTTACCTTCGCATGCTATTCCAGACCACACCCCTTTTGACTTGGTCCATGGACGACGTCCATCACTCTCGCAGGCCCACAAATTCAGATGCACCATGTTTGTTCACATAACGACTGGAGGGAAGTTGGACACTAGGGCTGAGGAAGGACTGTTTGTCAGGGTGGATGAGGAGAGCAAGGCCTATCGAGTATACTGGCCAGGGAAGAGGCGAGTGTCGATTGAGAGAAACATCAGTTTCAGCCCAGTGAGTGTGACTGTGGCAGCAGACATACCGGATGAGGGGGAGTCCAGAATGCCACCAGCAGCTCCTACCAACAGTAACATCCAGAATGTCGTGCCCCAACCATTCTCCACACCGCCCAAAGCACCTCGACAACTCGAACCGCCGCCAGCACCCAGAGCAACCCACTCACGACCTCTGCCTGGATATTACGCCACCCTGCACCAGGGGGAGAGTGCATCCTTGGTCTTCCACCCTGCAGAAGC